TGTTTCAAGTATAAAGAATGTAAACATATTATTTCAATATCAAGTAAACAAAACTACAGTATGAGCCAAAATAATATCTTTTTTGTGTGCAAGCATTGCATTGAATGGGTGTCTGTGATAAAACTGAAAGACATTTATGATGCATGTGAATGTAATTCATTCATACAATAATGTGAATGAGGTGTATCACATCTGTAAAAAAACTCAAATGCATCAATACTCTTATACACTTACAAATTATCTTATACATTTTTTTCCCTTACAAAAAAGCAGTTAGATGTTATGAAGCACACTTCAAATAAACTCAGCAGCAAAGACTTGATTGAAATCTGATGCTGATGTAGTGAGTGAAATGTGTGCTGATCAGTCAAAGGGAGGTAACTCTTTCAAGCAATTCCTGTTCCTTCTCCAGTAAACAAATAATTTCAAGAGATAAAAAAAGACAAATCAGCAATATCAAATGCAAATGTTAATAATCATTAAAAAAGACCCCGAAAAATATCATCCTTCATTAGCATCTGGTTCTTCTATACCACATTATGAAAGCCCTTAAGTAAACAAAGGTACAGCCATGCCTTTGCGATATTGAAGATTTGGATAAACCCCTGGATAATCAATGACTCCCAAAAATTTTAATATTTTCCTCACAAAAACACATCATCATGTCATTCACATTGGAAATAGTATATCAACAAATCCATACTGAATTACACATGTCAAAAAAGAGATCTGAAATGTTTGTTCCTAAAGGCTGTTTATGCTGTCAGATTTGTTTACATGATGTCAGAAAACACATACAGAATGTTTATGGCGTCTTAAACATGTTCAACAGCTCAGCTAGAGTGAATATGGATCAAAGCTGCTTAAAGCAATATTTGAGCAATATCATGGTGCGAGACACAAAGTATGGTGGACCTTGGGTACGCAAACTGCTTTATCCACTAGCCTACCCTAGTGACTGGACACAAGGAAGCAAATTCCTTAGAAAATATTCATAAGGCTAAGCTAATCTTTTTCTTGTTCTACACATTTTCTTATGCAAGACTACACAAGATTACAAGAAGCGAGGTGAGGCATTGGTATATTACATACATGTATAAGCATGATGACAAATCCTGCGGTAACAAAAATTACCAAACAGAAAGAAAAGTTACAAATGTCGACATTTAACCATGTGTATCTGTCTGACTGATTGCAACTTTTAGGACAAGAATCTGCTTATTATTTCACTTTCATGAAATACCTATGGTTATCGGAAAGAATGGATGCATGCTGATTGGGTCCCATTTTGTTTACAAGTCAAAAGTGATACCATATGAATATCAGACAATGTCTGGCAGCTATAAAATTTATCTTATTTATAACTTACTCAAAAATGGTATATTAAGTGTATGGAAAATGCTTCACTATTCATGAAATAAGCCAAAATGTTCTCAAAATTAAGACACATTTCATAATGGAACCTCTAATGACCTTTACCTTACCAGATCCCACATTTGAGTTCACGTATATTAAGTTTCAGCAAATTCCAATTAAGAATACATATACCCAAATAATATCGCGAACACAAACTAGTTGATGCCATACCCATACTAAGTGAGCTTGACCTTCAATGGCATCCAATCATGTCAGAACAATATCATTGATACGGTGTGTCCTGGTTAAAGCAGTACTTCAGTAGTAAAGATGTAGATAACAGATGAGAGCATCATTCTTCAAGTTTGCTCAAGTAACATCAGTGCCCAAGAGAGAGAGAGAGAGAGAGAGAGAGAGAGAGAGAGAGAGAGAGAGAGAGAGAGAGAGAGAGAGAGAGAGAGAGAGAGAGAGAGAGAGAGAGAGAGAGAGAGAGAGAGAGAGAGAGAGAGAGAGAGAGAGAGAGAGAGAGAGAGAGTGAGTGAGTGAGTATGGTTTTACACTGCTTTTAGCAATATTCCAGCAATATCACAGAAATGGGCTTCACACATTGTACCCATGTCGGGAATCGAACCTGGGTCTTCGGCATGACGAGCGAGTGCTTTAACGACTGCCCCCGAGTGTGTGAGTGAGTTGCTGTGCTTAAGTAACATGAGTGAGTGAGTGCTGTTTTACTCCAGTCAGTAATATTCCAGCTATATAATATTTGCTTGTAAATAATCAATTCTGGCCTAGGTAAACCAGTGGACACCAGTATGTGCAATAATGTAAGACTTCAGGCCACAATGACACACAATCAGTTCGGTCAGACACTCTCATTTCCAATCTTCAATAGTTGGTTCTTACAAAATGCTTGGGTCAATGAGTGAGTGAGAGAGTGAGTTGGGTTGAACGCCGCTTTTAACAGTATTACAGTTACAGTGATTCCTCGATATACCGCTGTCATCAGGATCCCGACCCCACGTTGTAGGAAAGAGCATTGTACAGATATTCATTGCTGATGTTTACATTACGTAATGATGGCAGTGAATAGAACAGTGGCGCAATTATTTCACAGTGGCACGGGACATGTAGATCTATGTAACACTGATCGTGGACGATGATTCAAAATGCATGCGTAAAAAAATATTAATACTTTTTAGTGTAAATAAATCAAAATACAGTGTATTATTTTACGACTGGATGTTATATACCGTATTTTCTTGAGCATAGTGCGCACTTTTTCTCTCCAAAAAACACAGCTGTGAAGAAGGGGGTGCGCATTATACACAAATTAATGAGTTTTGATGTTTTTTCCCCCCATGGAAAGACATTACCGTGAGCACGTAACACCGGAAATACCATGTCAACAAATCCATACTGAAGTTCGCAAATTATTCATGTAATTACACTGTCTGGCTATAAAAAGGGTTATTTGTATATCTGGACTGATGCTAGTAACTTATTTCATTAATTTTGTTCAAAATTACTTTTAATATTGTTTTAATTAATTTCCCGCGAAATCGTGTGTGAAGCGATCGGAAGATAGCACAACTCACCGATGTTAACCGCAACCACGGTCAGATTACCGCTATTGACGCCTTGAAACAAACTTTAGTTGACAGAGAATGGATACATATATCATAAATGCCATACATTGAATCGTTAAAAGTCATATTTGTTTTTGTTGGACAATTCTATGTCAACACGTAATTCTCGCGATCACGCGATCACGTGCACGGAGGCCTTGACGGTGACTGGTCAGACTGGTTCCATGTAAAAAATAATACCCGGCAATAGCGATCAGCTGCTTCGCTTAGGGTTATTATTATTTTAAATATGTTTAGTAAAAGCTGCATCTAAATTAACAAGATATTGGAATATATTATTCCTGATTAAAAAATAGTTTCAGATACAACTTTTGCCGATCCTTGCATTATAATCCTGTAAAGTTATATCATTGGGTGTGTCTTGACCGAATCACCGGTAGATTCCAAGAAAACGTGTGTACAGCTGATTGCTGTGTCCGGCTTAGTTTACAAGAAAATACACAAGGTAAACTTAATCCCTGGATATAAAACAATGCCTAGCTGAACAAAAAATACAATTTAAACGGTAAATCAACATGTCTGGTGATTTTTTATCTCAAATTTTGAATTTGTACTGACAAAGTTTCTCATCACCCGTTTGTTTGCCGGACTTCGCTGAAGGGGTACGGTGTAAATCTTTTCTGCGCATTATATTCAAATTTCTTTTTTTCCAAAATATTGAATCCGCTAGAGGGGGGTGCGCATTATACATGGGTGCGCACTATACTCAAGAAAATACGGTATGTAGATTCTATGTAAGGAAACAAACTGTTGTTATATTCTAGTTTCTAGGAAGAAACGTGGTCTGATCGCCAACCTACTCATTATCGATCGATGAAAGTGTATTACAAAGCCGAACAAGCCTTGTAACCAAACTAATGTGAGACCAAGGCTGTCATTGGTTAATATATGATGACGTTTCAACATTATGAAAAACCCGGACACAGCCGGCGCACTATATGCACCTTATGTTAATGTACATTACGTGTGTAACTACACGGTTGTTTGAGCAATTCATAAATATCAGACATACACAAATATAGATTTGAGTGGATGAGGGATATATTTTGTTCTATGAAATGGTAAAGACTAACAAACAGATATATTTCATACCCTTCATAATTACGCTATGTAAACAATGAAGTTGCAATGTTTTTTTTAGGTCTAACAGTTACTCAAGTCCGGATTAAATACCGGAAGCCATTGTTTCTATTGTTGTTATTGCATTACATGCGGTTGGTTTGAAGTTCGAAGACATATCACGTGAGATGAGTATTAAATAAAACAATGCAGCTGAAGTTTCTTGTTGCCGTGATTTGATTTTATGTGAGTATAATGCCAGATCTGGGTACAATATGTCTTTCACAAAGGGAACAAAAGGCAGAATGGTTTGATCTCATGCAGCCGGATACAATGAACGTAATTGTTTTACAAATACACACACGACTGGGAATTAAATCTCATCAGTTTATTTGTCACTTTATTGGCATTTACTCGCTTTTAAGGGGAAATTCTTCATGAATTTTTGGGAGCCATGGTTTACCCTGCGGTGCATCCGGAGTAGCTGTACATCGAGGAGCATTAAGTCGAGGAATCACTGTATATCCAGCATGTCAGCTTAATGTGGGAGGAAAGCCCAATGTGATGCAGGTCTCAGACGTTTATCACTTCGGTGAAACCAACGAGCACGAGTATGGTGCTGACAAACATAGAAACATAATCGGGGCAAACAGGGATTCGAACCCACAATAATAGGTTTCTTGCGTGCCCAAGGGATGCAACTCTGCACAGCGAATCACGGCACCTTAGAAACCCTGGCCACCCGTGCCCCCCACTTGGGTCAACGAGAACCATTACCCTGGTTTCTTCATGGAGACATAACAGTAGGAGCTGTCAGTAGGCGATGGAACAGTTAATGTATACAGAACTGGAGAAAAATCATCTTCGTCAGCAAATAGTTACCAGTGTTCCATTACCTGTAAAATGGCATGATGAGATGTCACAAGACAATGGTCCTACCTGGTATGAACACAGCTGAATATCCATGGCGAGGTTGTACAGCTGCCAAGCCCCCAAGCGGACGTGGGAAGAAAGTCAGGGCTGGCCATCGCACATCCATGTATTTTTCTGGTGTGCCGTATAGCAGTGCCCTCTTAGCATCAAGACTCCCACAAAGGTCCTGCCTCATCTTCTGCCAAGCTGCACTTCGATCCACAGTGTACCACTCAATAGATCCACACCGCACCTGAAAATAATCCACATCGTGTTCAATGTATGTCTTCAATTTCTCGTATTTAAGGATTTTGAATTGTATATATTTTTATATCTTACGCTAACAGTTGTGACTGCTATCCTTTGATAAACCAATGATAATGTTGATCAAGGTTGACCAGCGATGAAACAGAAGGTTGTTTGGAGGAAATGACTGCTAGGAAAACATGTACTGTATGGTGCTACACAGGGCTAGAATTAAGGAACTTCATTTAACTTGTACCATGAAAACCTAGTTGCACCAGACAAAATAAGGTTGCATTCTTGTCCCATAATTTTATCAAAGTTGAACCAATACTATATTTAGACACTTTCAAATTTTGCGAATTAGTGCACTGATGCAAAGTCATAGTGAATCCGTTTTTAAAAAGCTGTTCTCAGTTGCAAGTCTTTTCTGCAGTTATCAAAAATAACATTAAATTTTGAATCCACATCAGCCAATCACAACTGTGGCAAAAAGTATAACACACACACTTTGTAATTACATGCTTATATAATCTTTATCATTTATCTTTTACATAAACAAATCTTGAAATGAAGGGCAAATGTGAAACTTTTGTTGAAATAAACAATTCAAACATTTGTTTGTCACCTCAGTAATAAACAAAACATCAGACATTGATGAAATAGTTGCAACTGACACGATAAATGAATATCACCTGTAAGTTGTATCCACAGGCACTGAACCTGGACCTGTCTGCTGTACTCATCAATATTCCAGCTATATGACGGTAGGCTGTAAATTATCAAGCCTGGGATCGAGCATCATGAGCATCATGAGCATCGATCTTCACAACTGGGATACAATGACATGCATCAACCAAGTCAGCGAACCTGACCACCCGATCCCACTAGTCACCTTTAACCACAAGCATGGGTTGTTGAAGATCAATTCTAACCCGTGTCTTTATGGGTAACTCACATGTGATGTAAGAAACGTAAGTTACAAGCAAGTACTGTTGTCCTACCTTTGGTATACAGTTGTAGAGAAAGGCTGGAATTGAAGTGGGCTGACATCTAAACACTCTATCTGGCCTCAGTCTATGCGGATGGATAGGTAGAGAGATTTCATCAAAAACTGGATTCCGTTTCGGGGACTAAAGAAACAAATAAGAACCAAGGTCACCATACACATATATTTCATGATGCATTTTCTGCACTCTATCTATGACAATACATAACTCAACAACTATACATTGTTCTAGTGCATCTGGAAAAGCAGCCTGCAAACACATTATTTCTGTTTAATGATAAACAACTTAGAACCTAAAGAAGAGCATTAGATGTCAACTTCTTTATTATGAGGTGGTGAGGTGAAATGGGGTTTAACGTTGCGTCAAAGATTATTGCACTTATATAGCGACGTGCATGCACGTGTGTGTGTGTGTGGCTGCTTGTCTAGACCGGACTGATGCCGATTTATAGTGCTAGCTCACTGAGATACCATGCCGCAGTTTAACATGAATACCCCACTCAGACACAGTATGCTGACTCCGAGCCGACCAGTACTTGTTTTAGCCCCTTAATGCCGAGCGCCAGACAGGGTAACAACAAGTACCATCTTTTAACGTCTTAACAGTATGACGCGGCCGGGGATCATACTCCGGACCTTCCGCTCTACCACTATACCACGGAGACGGTCCTCTTTATTATGAGGAACACAACGTTTTGGAGTATGTCCTTACTCCTTTATCAGATGTTCCTCATGTTTAAGAAGTTGACATCCATAAATTCTCTTCCTTCCATGTATAACTTCTAAATGCCATTCAAAGACTTGAACTCAGAACCTGTCATCAACAATGTTGCACTGTGACATCATTAATGTGACATGAGTTAACCTTACATCGACAATTGTATCTGCATTATGGCAAATATGCTGTAGAGTGCCTGATGATTATTAAATGTGTGCTTTGCACTGATTTTTACCGATCAGTCACTTATCTTGAACTTCACATTGATAATATGGTTCAAAATGTTATGCTGAAGTGCTTTTATCTAGGGACCCCTATATGTTGAATTCATAACACTGGGGCTGTGAGAAGGACCTCTTGACTTTCATCCTAATCTTAAACAGTGTGAGTGAGTGAGTGAGTATGGTTTTACGTCGCTTTTAGTGATATTCCAGCAATATCACGGCGGGGGACACCAGAAATGGGCTTCACACATTGTACCCATGTCGGGAATCGAACCCGGGTCTTTGGCGTGACGAGCTAATGCTTTAACCACTAGGCTACCCGACCGCCCCCTTAAACAGTTTGAGATAATGACCTTGGTAGGAGAATGAGGTGGACTGAGCTGGTGCCTCTTCAGGGCAGCAGCTAGTCGCAGGTGCCGCAGTCGGATCTGCCGGTGACTAGCTGTCTCGCTGATGTAGTGAAGGACATGTGTTTCATGAGATGTGATCCTAGAGGTGGTGGCGGTGAACACGAGTCGGCGGAGGTGGGGACTTGCATCCATGTTGGTGAATGAGGTAACTCCACAGGGCTGCAGGAGCAGAAGCTGGTTTGAGAGCTGCTCGCTGGAATACAAGACACAAGTTGTTTACACTGCTACAAGCACAGAGAAGAGTCCCTGTGGTTCCCAAGGCACAAGTGAGCTGAAAATCATACGCAGTCAAATTTTCAAAACAAACCAGGCAAGTATGCCGGTTACAAGGGTCACAGGGTGAATGTGTATGGTTATATACTGCTTTGAGCCATATTTATACAGCCAGTCATGGTGTGACTCCAAGGAGGGGCTTCACACACAATACCCATGTGAAGAAATACTGCAACACAAATATACCAACTTGGAAACACTGTTGTAGCATCAAACCTTGAAATCTTAAAATTGGCTAATATTCACTGGAAAATAATCGATCAGGGACTTCAAGAGAACTTTCATTTGACACTGTAACCAACCCGTCATTCATGAAACCCCCCCCTTTTTTTTCTTATACCCTGCACTCAGCAATATTCCAGGTACATGTACATGATTGCAGCCTGTAAATAATTGTGTCTGGACCAGACAATCCACTGATCCATAGTGTGACCAATAATACACAATGTTTGGATATCAACCAAGTCATCTAAGCCTGAACACCCGATCCATTTGGTCGCCTCTAATGACGAGCATAGGCTGCTGAGATGACAACGCTCCTTTATGCAATATAAATTGTGACAGATGACTCTGAATGTTTAGACTTAATACAGCACAGAAGAGGGCTTTATTTATATCAGTATATATCACAGCATTAGTCCGCAAACTCACCTGCCATTCTCGTGGCTCCAGTTGTCATAGTGGTGTATCCTATAAGCCTCTTTCAACCATAGGAAAACAGCTAACCACCTGCATGTAACATGTCACAAAATATAATAATGTACTTTTTTTATTCTAGAGAGGATACAGAAATTATCACAATTACAAAATATTTTGATACTATAAATATTTATTTATCATTCAATATGTGTTGTGTTGTGTTGTGTGTGTGTGTGTGTGTGTGTGTGTGTGTGTTGTGTGTGTGTGTGTGTGGTGTGTGTGTGTGTGTGTGTGTGTGTGTGTGTGTGTGTGTGTGTGTGTGTGTGTGTGTGTGTGTGTGTGTGTGGTGTGGGTGGTGCGGTGCGTTGCGTGGCGTGGTGTGGTGTGTGTGGTTGTATGAAGGGGGTGTATATATAGTCTTTATTCATTATGTATTGTAGGCCACAGGCCCATTATACATGACAGAGTATACAGTGAGAGAGAAACATTATAATACAAAGGTAAATTTTCCGTGATTTACACAAGACGTAGTTTCATTGCTTTGTAAATGACTACGGATAGATTTTGAATGATTAATACATTAATTGATGCCATTAAAATATTAAACGTATGTATGGAGGGGTACAGGTAAAACCTTTTGGGTATATATTTTGATTGCAAGCTAGACACAACCTTTCAGATTTTAACTCTTTTTTATACCTCCCAGTCTCAATTCGGAGCTGGTGGGAACAGCATCTCAATTGCGCAAGGGCACGTCTATATTTAAAAATTGCTAATTCTTTTAAATATGTTTCTAAGCCGAAATTTGTTTTGAATAAACTGTAAAGAGTTGATTTTGAGCTTGATGAAAGAGCTGATTGCCAGTTTTGTTCATAAGATAATTTTAGACGGAGTATAAATTCAGACAGAAAGCTGGAGTTATTACTTATAAATTGTTGTTCCCATATGAAACCAAAACCAGTAGAGAATAGGATGTGTTTTACTTTTGATGCCCAGTTAGTTTTACCATTACTACAGTCTAACAATAATAAGTTATACCATTTCTTTACCAAACCTGATTCAGGCATATTAATTATTTTCCATCAATACTTAACGGGGGTAAAATTGTCACATATTTGTATCTACTGAAATAATCAGTTATTCTTAAACAAATAAAATATATTCATGACCCTATGATACTTCAACAGGTCTTCCACAATGAATCGAATCCCCCACTGATGGGGGCCTATGCTGTTTTATTTTAGAAATCGCGTGATACATAGAATTTGATTATTGTGGAAAGGCATCAAATTCGAAAAGTTAGTCTATTTCTTGTGAACGGGTGTACATTTGACAGATTTTTGTTACACACTGCAAGTTTTCTTCTCTAAGGCTTGTCAATGCTGCCTACCTGACCAACAGCCCTCCCATGTAAGCTGTCAGCTCTGCTGGGGATGTGTTGATGAAGCGGAGAAATGAGAAACAACTATGTACATGCGAACCTGCAATGTACAAAACAAAACATGTCACCAGCCACAGAACATGTCACAGGAAAGGGTATCAAAGAGTCTCGAGCCCCGTATACATAGCCCTGAAATATGGTTGTGAACTTAACTATTTTTCAACATGGTCCCCTTGCAGTTGAAAAAACTTGCTCTCTCTCACTCTCTCTCCGGACTAATGCTGATTTTTCTCGTGCTAGCCTAATAAGAAATGATGCCACAGTTTAACAGTATACTGTCTCTAAGCTGACATGTCCTTGTTTTAGCCCCTTAATGCCATGTACCAGGCAGGGTACCAACAAGTACCATCTTTTACCATCTTTTTGTATGACACGGCTGGGAATCAAACAACCCACACCCTTCTGCTTTTCGAGTGGACACTCTACCACTAGACCAGGGAGGCGGTCAGGTGTAGAAAGAAACCTCTGTGTCGCCATTATATCTGGTCAACAGGGCAATAGAAGTGGCCTTCATTTTGTCAAGATAGCATTTTAGGAACCCATCGGGAACAAACCATTGACATATGTCGGTGTTCACAAAGGACTGTTTCTATTGACCCACGCAAGAAGCCTGTGGTCATGGAGTGTAATGTGCCTAATGTTGAGTACCAGGTTGTGCACAACATCAAATGTTTTCTTTTTTTGGTGCTGGTGGTGGGTCAACCAGCGAGGGGACATCTTCCAAACTCTCGCCACGTTGAAATTCCTTCACACAACACTTAGTTGTGGCATATGGTGGGGAAGCTTCCACATAAACAGCATGTAACTGTTCATCAATATTCTTTGGTGAATGACACTCAAAGGAAGGTTTTGTGACTGCCTCATTTCCATGCTAAGGAATAGGGCACCCCTTGGTCAAAGTCAATTATCAGTAAGTCACTGGCCTGAAGGGAGCCAAATTGTGCCAGATGATTGAATTAACACAGGTCAATACTAATATATATGACACGTAAGCACAACAACAACAACCTAGATATGCCAGGCTCAAAACTTTCTGATCCCCCCTCATATTTGCATCTTCCCTTTGAAATAATTTTTTCATCTTGAGCACGAAAAGAGTTTTTCTTTTCTCAGCCAATTGTTTTCATTGTTTTTCAGATTAAATTGGCAAAATTGTTTAATTTCAATATCAAATGACAGTTGAAAACTAAAGCATCAACACTTTCAACAGTTTTAATTTGAAATTGAATGTAACATTAATTTAGCACCATAATAAGGAAGTAGACTTACTGGAATGAGACTGGGGGAAGAGTGAATGATGGATGTGTTCAGATGAAAATATGTACATCAAGTTATACAAAACTTTGGCCTTGCTTGGCTGAGCACTTTCAAGAATACCTGTAAACAAAGGAACAGGGATTATCATCACTGAGAAGTATTTTTTAAAGAGTGAGTGAGTATGGTTTTACGCCGCTTTTAGCAATATTCCAGCAATATTCCAGCAAGGGACACCGGGAAATGGGCCTCACACATTGTACCCACATGGGGAATTGACACTTGGCTACCCCACCACCCCAATTTTCAAAGCGGAAACAAAGGGTATAAAAGCAAGTTTGAGATATGAGAATCATTTAACATGATCAGGTGTCCAATGTCAAGGAAGCCATTGTTCCTTTAGTTGGATGGTTGGTTGGTTGGTTTGTTGTTAAAGCCGCACTCAGCAATATTACAGCTATATGACGGCGGTCTGTAAATAATCGAGTCTGGACCAGACAATCCAGTGATTAATATCATGAGCATCGATCCACGTAATTGGGATACGATGACATGCATCAACCAAGTCAGCGAGCCTGACCACCCGATCCTGTAAGTTGCCTTTTACAACAAGCATAGTCACCTTTTACGGCAAGCATGGGTTGCTGAAGACCTATTCTACCCCGGAATCTTCACGGGTCTGTTCCTTTAGTGACTGCTGAGATAAAACTCCCTCAATGTAGCATCCCCTTGACAAATGTTATGCCTAACTCTTTATTACCATGGAGTATTTAATGAAATTTATTGGAGGTAATAAGTGTACACGTTTCCTTACCTTCACGGTAGATAAGTTTTGGCACCGTATATGGCTCTAGAGCCATGTAGAATGGGGACTTAGGTTCTCGCCTTTCAAATAGGTCAGGATGATTGCAAACCTACAAGAAAGCAAAACCTGAAAGTGAGTGAGGTAATATAATCTAATGAATATCAATTTTAACACTGAAAAGCTATATTCCAACATTATCACATAGGATCTGCTAACTACATTTAAGTATCAGGAAACAATCCCTAAAGGCTGAACAATCATCATCATTACTGCACAAGAACATCAATTGGTCACCAACAGAATTGTAATTATTCTTTTCAAAGACAAACATTTCCAAAGATGCATCTGATAAGATTAGCAAGTGAGTTGACACATAAAAGGACAAACAAAACAACATCGCAAAAACCAACTCAAGTATCTTTCAGTAGCTAGAGAGGGCACGGGTGGCCCAGTCGTCTAAGGCGCCGTAACTTGTTGTGCAGAATTGCCTCTCTTTGGCACGCCAGAAACCTATGATGGTGGGTTCGAATCCCGGTTCGCCCTGATTATGTTTCTAGGTTTGTCAGCACCTTAACTATGCTCATGGGTTTCACCGAAGTGGTAAACCTCTAAGACCTGCATCACTTTGGGCTTTCCTCCCACATTTAGCTGACACGCCATGATATAACTGGAATACTGTTAACAGCGGCGTTAAACACAACTCACTCACTCACTCCAGTAGCTAGAAGATTTAACATATTAGGAACACATAATAAGGATCCAATAATACAAATTATTGTACCACTTATAGTAACAATATAGTAACAATTTTAATGACCAATGAAATGCTCTCATAAAGTTTTGTGTCAATCGAGAGAATGTACAGTATACATATTGTCCTGTTTTCGATCAGAGCTTTCAGCATCATTTATGCCTTTATAATTCATGACACAAGACAATTATCGTCCGATCACAGGTTTTCGGACATCTGATAATCATATGTTTTCTATCACGAATACATGCACTATGACGAAGGCAGTGGCGTTACAGAGAAATTGTAAATACTCAGAGTATGGCTTGTTTTTAAGATAAAGTTGTCCTTTATAAGTGAATGAGATATTTTACAGTTGTTCATGTGATTAGCGAGAAAACTATGAATGTTTCTTCAGCCCTGTAACACGGGGATATATGTTGTATTAATGTCATGTCAAGTAAGTACAAGGTACGTTTTTTTCAATATGCTTCAACATGGGGAAAGGGTCAGACATTACACGCTTGTGACAGTTCTCCTTGTGTCTGGGGGTTAGGGGGTAAAGTTTATGGCAATATTGCTCCCAGACCCGGCAGGTAGCCGGGTGCGAGAAAGCTATGCCCGATATTTTAAAAGTAATGATTTAACTTCAAAATTTTACTGCTTCCGCCATCTTTGTTTATTTGACTTATTGACTTTTGCCATTGACTTATTACATTTCTTAGGTCCAAGTCATTGACCTGTATGCAGCCTTTTGTGTCAAAATCACTGACTATGACACACAATCAACCAAGTCACTGTGTCTGACCAATCATTACATTAAGTCGACCCCTATGACATGCATAGGTGGTAAATTCTAACACAGAATCTCCACAGGTATCTATTGTAGACCAAGGCTTAACATATAGCCAACAGACCTTCCTGAACTGCATGACGAGGTTCATGAGACTGCTGGTGGTGGACTGAGCCTGGGAGGTGTTGGACGTGGCACTGTTGATGAGGTCCTCAATGGAAATCTTGTTCTTCACAGCCTGGTACAGGAACTTCTGCCGTGATGTCAGAGGGCAGTACACCAACACCTCAATCTGCAACAAACATGTCACGTGTGTACCTGTTATGTTGATGGACGGGTTTTGTGTTTAAACATACACTTTTAAAGTTCTCACTCTTTGCTTGAAAAGATTCAAACTGACACGAGCAAAGTGTCTTTCCGTTCTAATAGTTTTTTCAGTGATTAATGTCTGAAAAACCATTGGTCATGAATTGTAAATTTCTCATTAATATCCAATACTCTCAATTACATATATCAATATACGAAATCCTGAGTGAGTCAATTTTATTTCGCCCTAGTAAGCTCAGCAAATAAACGTTCTCAAATTAACATTAAAATCTGGTGGAAATGATGTAAAGTTTGGGCTAGTAGGCTCAAGTGTGTGAATGATACACTGTTGTACTTCCTACGCTACAAACCACACAGAAGGATGCAATGTTACCTTGTCTGACAGTTCATTCTCTACATCTTTCTTGACTCTCCTCAACATAAAAGGTTTGAGGATCATGTGGAGTCTTCCAAGTTGATCTGCAATAAAGGACCAATGAACATTGAAGTGTGTGCAAAATGCAAGTCCAAAGAATGGTGAAAACTGTTGATGTGAAAATGAACGAAATGTGTAGGAAAAATATGCTATCAAAATATATGAAAATGTACATGAAACGTTCTAAATCTTAAACGACACAAGTCTAAGGATAAAAAGCAGTCCTAGCAAGTATATATAAGTCATTAAAAGAACTGTTTATCTGCTAACCCAATTTTTCTGATGAAAATATATCTATTAGTTAATTAGTACCATGTTTTAGAAATACCCATGTCTTTAAGTACAATATCCAAGCCCATACTGGAAATGGGGCACTATACACTGGAGGCAGTAGAGGCAGTAGAGGCAGTAGAGGCAGTAGAGGCAGTAGAGACTATGATGTACAAATAATTTTACAGGCAATTTCTACCCAAACTGATGCGTTAATATTATTTGGTTGGTTTGTTGCTTTACGCCACACTCAGAAATATTCCAGCTATACGACGGCAGTCTGTAAATAATCAAGTCTGGATCAGACAATCCAGTGATTGATATCATGAGCATCCCTTCCCACAGTTGGGATCGATGACATGCTTCAACCAAGTCAGTGAGCCTGACCACCTGATCCCGTTAGTCGCCTCTTACGACAAGCATGGGTTGCTGAAGACCCATTCTACCCAGAATCTTCACGGGTCGCATGAATATTAATATCCCTTATCATCTGTGACCTACCTGCATCAATTCCTGACTGTTTCTCTGCATGACTCTCAATGTCTTTGGAGAACCATTCATTGAACTCATCATGCGAGTCAAACAATGTCGGCATGATGAAATGCAACAAGGCCCACAACTGCAATAGAAATTAATTAATTAAAGTCTCTTGAGGTGTCAAATATTTCGTATATTAAGGAAGAGTCTGAGGTCTGTCTTATTTTAGAAGAATCTTTCTAATTTGGTATGGATTATCTGCTGTTGACCACTCAAGTGCAACCCAATAATGTGAGTATTGTGATGACAAACCAAAGATAAATCAGGGATAATCTGGGAACTGAACACACAGTCAGTGCATCCTGCTTAAGGGATGCATCTTGGCAAAGAGAATAGAGGCACTGGGACCTCTAGTGCCTCTCAATGTCATTAAATGTCTGTAAGTTGCATGTTTACCTCTGCCATACTGTTCTGGATAGGGGTCCCTGTAAGCAGCAGCCTGTTCCGACAGTTGAATCCAAGCAGAATCTTCCATCGAACACTAAACAAGAAGAAATATTCAGAATGTAACTGGATATTTGTTAAAGTCTGCCACTAAAAGGTAAGTAAATGTGTACAGTTATTACCTACTATCAATTTCATCAAAGACTCCATGTTATAATGAGACAAAAGAAGCTTATTATTTAGCAAGGGGAGATAACGTAAAGGTATCTCGATGAGGCTACATTGAGGGGGCTATATTACGATTAGGATATTTTCTGATTACTTTCTTTGTCATAAAATTTCAGTGGCTTTTTGGAAAACTGAGGCGTACATTGTTTGGAATAATGACTGTCATGTGCCTGAGCCTCACCTTGAGCTACTTTTCAAGGCCTGAGCTTCATCTAGGATCATATATTGCCACTTGATTCTCTGGAAATACTTGACGTCCTGAATGACCAGCTGGTAGCTGGTGATCACCACATGGAACGATGCATCTTCTGTGTGAAGGCTACGCTGGTCCCAGAACTTGCGTAGAATCCGTCGGTCCTGAGCATTGCCCCAATATGGGACAACCTGCAAGTTCAAGAATCACTTTAAAGTACAAGTGTAGAGTGGTAAATATAGTCGAAATATGTCACATTTGCTAAAATGATGATCTAACAGTTTGAAATGACACTTCTTTAATTGAGAGGTGATGGAGAAATGATGCAGGAATCTCATCATACCTACCTTGAACTTGGAGACAAATCTGGCACACTCCTGCTGCCAGTTGTGTAGTGTAGATGCCGGAGCTATGATGAGGAAGGGCCCCCATATTGACTGAAACTACAAAACAAAATACACAAGTGAGATTCTGTGTGTGACCTAAAAAGGAACATCAGATCTCCAACTGAGAAACATCAGCCCTGTTATCAAGGAAACCAAAGACTTCACTGTCTATCTATAGATGTCTAACTGGCGCACAAAGAGGCCTGGGCCCTGTTCCACAAAGCAATCTTAGAGCTAAGGTGATTGTAACTCCCATACTTTAACATAGACCTATGACAATCGTAGAGCTAAGATCGCTCTGTGAAACGGGGCCAAGTACTATAAGAGCATTTGTTAAAATAGATGAATAAGCAACAACTCAGATTTCTCAAATCAGAAAAAGTTCTCATGATTTTGTTTCTTGAGCATAACTCAAGTTCTGTTAAATTTTGTGGTATTGCTACAATCGCTTTGTGGAACGGAGCCCTTCATTACATCAGATATAACTGTTGACATACCTCTGCCAAATGTGCCAGGAATGCTATACTCTGAACTGTCTTTCCCAGTCCCATCTCATCAGCCAGGATCCCGTTGATACCCTGGTTGTACAAGGTAGCCAGCCAGTTCATACCCTGAAATCAGCGATGGTTGGAATGTCCATGGTAACAGAGTTTTACATGATGGGGAAATGTGTGTCCAGTACACGCAAATGTCTAAAATGGTCTAGAATATATCGCATCCCAAGGGACGCACAGTAATATTCACTGTACCACATTCTTGACAAGAAATTTGAACGTTTTGTAATTAAAGTAATTATCAAATCTTACCAAGGATATAAATTGAACCTAGTAAGTCTATAAGCCCGAATAGTGACAACATACAGAAACATGTAATCCTCCAAATGTTTGAAATTCTATCATTAGTGGAAAATGCCTAGGGTAGCAGATTCAGTGCTAATTTCTATCCCTGCTTACCGTACACTCTACCATTTCATTTCTTTTCAGGACCCTTATATCTCCAGTGAGGACCCTTGAAACTAATTATTGGTGATACCACTGACCCCTAGTTTTTTAGGTCACGTTTTATTAGGGCTGCAACGAATACACTGAGGCGAATACGATTCATGTCACGAATATAGGGTAACGAATACGAATATCAATTCCCAATTACAATAACAAGTCAGCAGTTTATGTAGTATTTATTATATTCAGTGAAACAATAACATCATAATTTATTTGACATGGTTTGTTAATTATTACTAAATTATACATTGCACTTATCCAGGTACTAGTATCTGCTCAAATGCGACAATGACCAGTGAAAACAATACTATCATATTAAATATTATCAGAGTGTTGTTATTGAAAGAAATCTATGCATATAATATGTTGTTATGGATATTTTTAGTTACAGGGTATGTAAATATACATGATAGCATATTCATAAATATTCAATTCGAGTGGCCATGAATAACGAATTCAATTCATGAACGGTTACGGTTCGATTCACCGAATACGCGAGTGAATCCTAACAGCCCTAGGTAAAACCCTGTGGAAATACAGCGACAATGGTGATATCAACAGAATTTTTAGATTTAACAATACCAAAATACACAAACATCAAATTCACACAAATATTTGTTTTTGAAAGCACTGACATACCAGGCATTGTTGATGTAACTGCATGGGTGAACTTAATTACTTCATATATTTTAATAACTTTACTTTCAACAACTAATCGCTTCATTTCAACACACCTTCAGCTGGTAGCCTTTCAGTGTGCCCTGAAATATACTGGGCTGTGGTCTCTCTTCTTCACTGGCCAAGACAGGGTTGGCAAGACTAGAACCCACTGAAAGACATGCACAAATTGGACCTTACATGCATTTGTATGCATACATAAAAATCGGAAACCATAATTTTTCAAACATAAATTAGAAATTGAATAACTTTCTTTAAACTGTTCTGTGAGTCTGTGAAAGTAAACTATGCTAATGTTTAGTAGTTGTTTAGAAGAACAAAATCAAAACATTATGAAATTCAAAAATGACTTACACAACTCATTGCCATTGGTTTTGCTCAGCCTGTCATCAAATGATGAGGTCTGTAGAATATAAAACAGGGAATGTTAAAACACACTTGACCAATTCTTGTACTTGACTAATTATAAAGACAATCTTTACACAGGACTATTTTAATTATTGTGTAAGTATCAGAGACATCAATATTTGAAAAGCATAAACTGTTGCAATATTGCATTAACACATTCATCCTGTCATAGTGAATGAGTGAATATACTACTTCAGCAAGATTCAAGAAATAACATCAATTACTAACAATAGGCTTCACATGTTGCAGTGATTTCGGAACCGTAATGTTGGTTTGACTGATTCAGTGAAAAGCTCTGCTGGTCTTTCATCAGATGAGCTCCTGGGCCCACTTGCACAAAGCGATCTTAGAGGTGAGGTGAGGTGAAATGGGGTTTAACGTCGCGTCCAAGATAATTGCACTTATATAGCGACATGCATGTACGTGTGTGTGTTTGTGTGGCTGCTTGTACTAGTCCGGACTCATGCCGATTTATAGTGCTAGCCCACTGAGATACCATGCCGCAGTTTAACATGAATACCCCACTCAGACACAGTATACGGACTCCGAGCCGACCAGTCCTTGTTTTAGCCCCTAAATGCTGAGCGCCAAACAGGGTAACAACAAGTACCATCTTTTAACGTCTTTTGGTATGACGCGGCCGGGGATCGAACCCCGGACCTTCCGCTCTCTGGGCGTACGCTCTACCACTAGACCACGGAGGCGGTCCGATCTTAGAGCTAAGACTATTGTAAGCCTATGTTAAAGTATGGGAGTCTTAGCTATCATCTTAGCGCTAAGATCGCTTTGTGCAAGTGGGACCTGGTAATTAATTAAGTGTTCTGTTTATGTACCTTAGATTTATGAACTTGGAATGCTTGCTCAGCATTACATAGAGCTATCCTCTTCATTTCTTCACTATCTGGAAAATTGTTGGGATAATAGCTATATAAAAAGTGATGCATATAGAAAATCACATACTGTACAGACTTGACTGGAATATATAAAACATCCAAACCTCTAAAAAACACCATTAATTTGGTCTCATTCATAATGCATCAACTGCCACACTGCCTCTTCTATAAATACTGAAACTGTAGTGCAATGTATTAACATTTCATAACCTTATGGACTGTAGTAACTCAGGACAAGACTTATATTTTGTATGGGCGATTTCAGTGAAACATTAAAGCAATGCATTATTCTTAGATACACGGTTGTGACCAATGATGTACTTGCCATAGTCGTCATCCAAACTTGATAATTCACACTGTCTAATCACCATCTCGCTATCTTCCAGCTGATTCAGAATCTTTTCCTTTGCTGCTTCAGAGTCACCAATCAACTTCCGGGCCATAAAATGCGCATACAATTCTGTTTGTGTGATCAGGAAATTCAACTTCCGCTGCTGACGTCTTGCCTAAAACCAAAGTGCAAACAAACTTAGATCAGATCCTGCTCCAGATGACCTAGACAATGTGCTTAAAAAGGAACAAAGTCAGGGGGAATAGCCAGAAATTCTAAATGACTAAATAAAATAAAATACCATTGTCTTTACCTGAAGATCTTAAACTTTCCCTTTCAACTGGCAATCTTTTATAACAATCATGAGATAAATATGGCTTGGAATGTGGTAAACCATCAACTGTAAAGAGCCACAGTAATAGATTCTAGCTGTACGATATTGATGACTGTAAACTCAGTCTTCTTACAGCTGATAGCTGTAAACAGTGTTTCAGTTATATCAGTGAGTGTCAGTTTAACATGGAAAGTAATGTAGGTCATGGAATTCAAGGACCCGTGAAGACCCAGGGTAGAATCCGCCTTCAGCAACGCATGCTTGCCATAAAAGTCGACGTCGCTTGTTGTAAGAGGCGACTAACAGGATCGGGTGGTCAGGCTTGCTGACTTGGTTGATGGATGTCATCGTATCCAAACTGCGTGGATCAATGCTCATGTCAATCACTCCATTATCTGGGCCCAGACTGGATTATTTCCAGACCAGCCATCATATAGCTGGAATATTGCTGAGTGCAGCGTTAAACAAACAAACAAACATGGAATCCAAGATAAATCCTTGCTAAGGGACACAACTCTGCCCTGCAAAATGTGGGAGTGAGTGAGTGAATATGGTTTTACTCCGCTTTTAGCAACATTCCAGACATATCACGGCAGGGCACACCAGAAATGGGCTTCACACAAAGTACCCATATTTGGAATCGAACCCGGGTCTTCAGCGTGAAGAGCAAACGCTTTAACCACTAGGCTACCCGGCCATCCCTGCAAAATGTGGTGCCTAGGACCACCATTCGTGACCAACTCGTGTTATTCTGTGACAAGCCGAATAGCGACTCTTTTGCAACCAGGTTCTGTCTTAGCGCAAACGGGCATACCTGAAATAATTGTTGCGTTATGGTTCGCATATATTTCCCCATATAATATATATATATACATTTCAGATGCAATTTAAAGCACATCTGGACATTCAAAATTATACAGTATGATTGAACACATTAAACTGTGCCTTTGGTATATTTTTAGATGCAAGACATACGTAAATTCAAAATATATTTCTGAGGGATTCTTTGACGAGGAACTTGAAATCATATATGCATTCTGATTGGTTTGTCGTATTTTCGCACATAACATTCATCGATAGGGGGACGAGTGAGTCTTCTTGAAGGTTACAGAAAGAGGCGAGTGGTGACGAATGCTAGGACCACTTGACCACCACTGGAACACCACTGCCTCTACATACAGCTAGAGATTGTATGGAATTCACAGTCAATCATGTTAAAATTCAGTAAGTCATACAGCCATAACACAAACAATCAGTCAGGTGGACCATTGTAACCATTTGATGCTGACATATTTTGCCCTACTGAAAAGCATGGTGTTCTCTGATCCAGAGCATCAAAAGGGTCCCCTTTTAAAATGAAATGGTTAAATACTCTGGAACAGACAGCTCCACTGGACAAGGGTAATGATGTCCCATACTTTCAACATCTTAACCACCTGGGTTTTTTAAAGCACTGAAATACCAGGCATCGTTGATGTAACTGCATGGGTGAACTTAATTACTTTATATATTTTAACAACTTTCAACAATTAACCCACTTGAAAAAGCAATTGTAGCTCTACAACCACAGGCTTACGACAATGCAAGTGTTGAGATCACTTTGTGAAACGGGGCCCTGATTCCACACTTTTCGGCTCTAATGACAAGCATGGGTAACAAGGGACCTACTCAGCTCCATAATCCCTAGAGGTCCTCATTAACAGACAGACAGTCATCCATATCCACCACCATCCTTGCAAGCTTAGGGGTCCTCATTAAAAAATGAAATGCAACAGGAATGCTGCCAGAGAAGTGTTAGGATGCCCCATGTTATCCTCGTTACCCACCTCTCTTAGTTCCAGATCCATCTTCCTCTGTTCCAGAGCCTCCTTTTCAGCCTTCCGCCTATGCTCTTTCTCCACTTTGTCGAACCTCTTCCAGTACAGCAACATCTCCCGAGTGATGCGCCGGGCCCGCGATGGCGTCTCCTTCATCACCTTCTGAGACTGGATGGCTGCTCGGCGACATTCCTTCATACACTGCGTCGACACCTGGAGAGAAAATTCTTCAATAACACTTGCTTTCACTTAAAGAATTGCACCAGAGTTGCTTCAACTGTGTTAATGACTCTGGTATCTTGATATTATCTTTTAATCTTGTAGTGGAACTTGAAACCAAGCCACTTGAAAATTTGTAAATAAAACAGCATTCATTACCTTCTTCAACAGCGTAAGCATTTCTTTTCTTGCAGATGCTTTCTGCTTTTGAGCCTGAAATAATAATAATTTTACAAGTAATACCATTTGAACTATAATACAAAGACTAAACAACTATGTACGAACATAAATTTCACATAATAGGCTTCATAGGTCATGTTGTTTCAGAGGTAAACAAGGCAAAAAGTGAGCAGGGCTCACCAATACCACCGACCTTGACTCCAACATATTTATAAGTTCAAAATTTAAAAAAAACACCAATATTTTCTGAGAAAATCTACTTTACAAAATCAAACTTTGCACCGCACCTTTCCTTGAAGTATAAAAAGTGGTCCTGGAGTTTGAAAAGAATCCATGTAGTAGTTCTCAAGTTAAAGGTTGCACAAATGTTGAAGTAAAAAAATTGTTCTTAGTTCAAGACATGTAAAAATACATATTTTCTCAGAATCTCCATTTATCAAAATCAAACTTTCCAGTGCACCTCTTCTATTAGGATGGAAACTGTTACCTAAATCTGAAAAGATTTCATTTAGTAGTTTTCAAGTTATATGTCGCACAAATGTTTAAAGTCTGAGTGAAAAAATATATATGAAAAATAGCTGTAATTGAACTTTGTACTGCGCTTCTCCTATAAGAATTGAACCTGTAAACCCAATTCAAAAAGAATCTATGCTGTTCAGAGATAGAAACTAACTGTTTTAGTCCAATAGTCCTTATTATGATAACATATAGAACAAGAGCGCTCTGTGAGCACAACATCCCCCGCATGAATTTTTTAACGAGTTTATATTTTCATTGTATTTTATGAAACAACAACAGTAGATGGCACTACATTTGAAACAAATTGTGCAGAACATTTTGTTGGGAGTAATCCAGTCTGAATGCTAATGCCATAAGGATGTAGCTCACCTACAAAAGCCTTATACAAGGAAACTAACTATAGTTATAGTTATAGTTAGATATTGTGATATTCTCTGGAAACTGGAGGAGGAGTAGATTTCAATGAAGCTCCGTAAAACAGGGGCAGCAACTCTGTCAGAATTTGTCAAAATGAAACGGGACTGCGATATGCGCATCATCAACATGTCGACATCTTGTGTGTAGAGTGTAAGGGATATTCTCTGGAAACTGTAGGAGTTGATTTCACAAGCTTAGTACCCTCTCTCACAATTAGGCAAATGAAGCTCCGTAAAACAGGGGCAGCAACTCTGTCAAAATTAGTCGAAACGCCACGACATAATCCCCCTTCGGCCATTCTGGCCCAGCGGGGGATAAAAAGCCATTAATAAAGGCAAATTTCTACTTGTCCTTATGTTACCTAAACTATTCGGCAGTTTGGCAAGGACTATAAGGCTAGTGCCAATTTCTTATGCTTTCCAAGTTATAGGTAGCACACAAAAAAGTCCTTGGAAGGACTGAATTCCTTTGAAAACTATAAACCCTGCTCCCTTTTAGATCGGGGGTATAGAAATGCACTAGAACACTAGAACAAGCATGAAATACTCATTTCCCCCGCCAATATGACATGTCCAATTATGTGCAAGGCATGAAATATTGTATGCTTTTCAAGAACTGCTCTGGGAACGAGCACTACTGCAATTTTCAGTCTAAGTCAAAGTCATCGCCATGGAAACTCAAAAAAATTATTTTTTTTAAATCCCAAACTATCAAAAGGCACCAGTTAGAGCACTAGATCTATTTATGGGCCAAGTTTGGTTAAGATATCTCACATGGTTTTTAAGTTCTGGAAACAAAACGTGACAGACGGACAGCACTCATTCCAATATCCCCCTTCCACTTCGTGACGGGGGATAATAACAGGGTACGATAAGATCAAAGGTCATATAACTTGATCAAATATCAAAATAAATAAAAATATATTATTAAAAGTGACTGCAAAAAGAAGAAATGACATCAAATAATATTGTTGATGTGTAAGGAGACACAACATTCCATAGTTTGCAGTTAGGAGTGGACTCTCTTGCATTATATCACAATGTCTCATAAGATAAATCAAATTTTGAAACCTCAAACATAATTATATCAGTATAATTAGGACATGTCAAAATAAGAGTTTCCTTCTCAGACAAAAACACGAACATGAGCCTATTGGCTATTAGGATGCTAGGATACCTTTGGAATTTCTTTCTTTGCAATAGCTATCCATATTCTCTTTCTCTTGATGTCAGCCTGTTCTGGTGTGAGCTTCTTCTGCTTGCCGGACCGTTTGGCCATCCGCGACTGATGCATCAGCATCTCAAGAACAGCTGGGTCGATCTCACCAAGACTCTGAAACAGAAAATATAAGCACTTATTACTAATGATCGGCAAAGTTTTAGCCTGGTGTTGCCTACTCTTGCATTACACAACATACACATGGCCCTCAAAACGATACAGTTTTACTTGGTGGCAATGATTGTTTCCTTCCTGCAAATAAATCCTTGAAACTGTCCAATTAGATTTAAATATCAAAATGTCCTGTTTTTTAAACTGTCAGAAACCATTTTGTAAAGGGAGTTTACCATATTCTTGTATCATTTCACCCATATGCATGAACAAGCAGATCAAATAACCAGAAGCCCGATGTGAGTTCATGGACAGTTGTTTCTCATCACTGGTTTACTTTTAAGACACATCGGAATTATTAGTCTGCAAAACTTGCCAAAGAGTTGCCATTTTCCTAAGGCAGTTGTGTCTGACCACAAGAAAATCTTACTTGTCCTTCCTGAATTATCAAGTCTCAGACTTGGAGACTTTTTGTTAATTTCAAACCCTGATGCATACTTGCTTCTTAAATGATATTATTGGAGATATTGTGTAAGGAATTTTCCTTCCTTTTCTGGGATTTACGCTGCTGGGGTGAAACAATAGGGGCTGACTGTTGCAGGCATGAGTGCAGTTAGAAGTGACTATAAATATATTCAAATTTCTAACAAAACGCATCAAAATTCCATTTTAATCATTGTTTGTAGAGTGTGATACTGATATCAAACTCACCTCCAAATCTCCATTTTCTTGATCTTTCTCCCTCTTAAGCTTCTTTAGTTTGGCTTGAAAGATAAAAAATATAAATTGAAAAATCTTGACCAATCAAAATCTACACAACAGTCATCGTTGCTGGGCAGAGAAATAGACAAAATATCAATAAAAGTTACGATTGTAAGGAGGAGCTATATTTTGAATATTTAGAAATATAACATTTATTATCAATATTCTTACCTTTAACCTTCTTTTCCATTTTCTTCTGTTCCCTGGAGATCTTCTTCCTGGGCCCTGCAATAGCCTTGAAGTGTTCGGGGTACTTGTCATAGTTGGAGAGAAGCCCTGTGCTGTAATACTGGTACTGGTGCAGCTGAAGGAGGAGAGTATCACAGTCATAGATTCAACAGGGGCAGTGAGGTCGTCTAGTGGTTAAAGCGTTCCCTCATCACGCCGAAGACCCAGGTTCGATTCCCCACATGGGTACAATGTGTGAAGCCCATTTCTGGCGTCCCCTGCCGTGATATTGCTGGAATATCGCTAAAAGCCGTGTTAAACCATACTCACTCACTCACTCATAGATTCAACATGCAATGTGGCACCTGGTTCCCCAAATACCTATAAATGTTACACAAGGCAAACAGAGTTGAAATAGTATTTTGAGAAGTTTGGCTACAATAAATGATTAGATTTGTATCTATTTCTTTCAAATATGTGGGGCATCTTTTATAGGTTTTTAAAATGTCAAAAGAACCTGACTACATTAATTCTTGGCAGATATGATTCATTGTTGTTTAATTGCGCACTCAGCAGTATTTCAGCTATATGATATCAGCCTGTAAATAACCAAGTTTGGACCAGACAATCCAGTGATTGATTCGGTGTACGATAGCAGGCCATCAACCCAGTCACCGAGTCTTACCACCCGATCATCCACTTGATCGCCTCTTATGACCAGCACAGATTGGGAGTAAAAAATGTTAATACTAATAGGCAGGCTGGTATGAAACCTGATAATTAATTTACTATGGTCTCAACTGTAGATTTAGGGCCTATTAAAGAAAGGATTTCATAAATCTGAATAAACCATATGACAGCAGTTTAACATCCACTAAGATAGAAAATGATCGGAAGACATCTGACATGAGGTGAGCATGGCTGATGGAAAAGGTTTGTGGCAGTGTGTGCCAAAAACTGTTGAGTCTACTAGCCCAAACATGGCTCTAAGCATCAGTTTCAGTGGACTGATCACACACACTGTTATTAGCTGAACTTACTTCCTGTGCCAAGGGTGTTAACTGACTATAAAAGTCCAGTCTCCACCGCTGCTGAACTATCTGGAATTATGGCTTAGGCTTAAAAGAATAAAATAATTGGTTCTCAGGCAATGGCTTTTGATAAAATAGTGACTACCACTGTGTGCATAAGACACACATACAATAAGCTTTGAATTTATTTCACAATGGGACGAAGTTATTTTTTTGGAAATGGCAATGAAAACAAAACAAGTGGCGGACTTTATGATGATGTGGGCGGTGCCTGAGTACCAAGACTATTATTTTTTTAGCCTTACTTTCATCAAAGATCTCATTCAATTTTGTCTTCATTCATTTCGGCAAAATCATGTATCAACTGGTTGGCAAATCCCATAAACTCACAATGAACTGGCCTTGAAATGAACTTTAGTCGTTGAGACACAAAGTCTTTGGTCTTCCTTTCACTGATATCCCGTTTGTAAACTGCAGTGCAGATTTCGGTCAATTGCAGGATTTGCAACACGTGGACTGCCAACTCGGCATCAACAGATATTTTCCAAATCTTTTCATGTTTATAATCTTTTGACAAGCATAGTTGCCTCACAGGTTGATCAAATGTAAGTGATATGAGAGGTGGAATCTGATTTTCAATGGGAGGGTCATAGAAGGGACAAAGAAGGGACATAACTCGTAATAGCCAATGGGGGCACTACGATCTAGACCAGAAAATAAAGCCTAGCTAGGCAAGGGTGGTAACTGGACTTTTAAAGTCAGTTAACTCCCTTGCCTCGGGAAGATGAACTTACTGGACCAAACAGAACTTCACTTGACCTAGGCTTCAGACTTGAGGCTGAAGTAACAGCCTGTTATAAGTGAAGGAATTATACCGAGATACAGCATCCTACTGCAATATGATGCAGTTGATTAAACAGTATCACAACACAAACTGCACCATGTTAATTTAAATTTCTTTACTGGAAATGACAAATCCCCCCCCGGACCCCACTAATTTGTAAGAACAATTCATCTGTGACTTTAAGTCCAACTTGATGAAAGAATTTCTTTCTTATCTGTCTGTCCGTATGCAAGAGTAGTTATTGAGCTAACAAAACAATACCATGGAATTGTTATTTGGCACTTTGTATTTCTATGTCAGTCAAAATCAATCGTGTTGCCATGGAAACAGAAAAATAAAAATTCTAAAAATACCCGAATAGCAAAAGGCACCAGTTGACAACCTGGTTTTTGTGTGTGCAGAGTTTCACGAAAGAGTACCAACTAGTCTTAGAGATATGGCCGGACAAACACACCATTATGAACAGGGTCAAAGTCAAACTTCTTGCCATGGAAACAGAAATAAAATAAATTCTACACACCCCTAAGTAGCAAAAGGCACAATTTGACAAACTGGTCTTTGTGTATGCAAAGTGTCATGAAAGAATACCTATTAGTTTTAGAGATGTGGTCCAGACAAAAACACCACACTGAACGAAATCAAAAAGTCTATTTTCTATTTTTTTTAAGTTCCTAAACAGCAAAAGGCATCACTTCAGCCCTTGATAATACATGTACAAGGTGTAGATGAAAAGTCTTTCACAGTTTTCAAGTTGTGCTCCAGAAACGACACCTTTCCCTCCTTTTTGAGACTAAGTCCAAATCGAGAAAAAGTAAAATGCAAAACTCTGCAAATAGATGGGGGGATAACAGATAAAACATGTGGGTTTAACATCTTCAAGCTTTTCGATGGTTGCATGTAAATAATAGAATGATAATCCAGTGATTGATATTGTTGGCTATTGGGACTCGACGTCATCAGGTTATCAACCAAGTCACGGAGTCTGACTACCCAATCCATTTAGTCTCAGCAAGTAGCATAGGTTTCTGTGGACCTATTGTAACCCACAATCCCCACAGGGAAGGATATCTTGACATATTGAGCATCTTGATGTGTATCATCATGGTCTATATCCATGATACTCAAGTTTTTACTCTGAGAGTGCAGTCCCTTAATTCTGTGAGACTGACATGACAAAAAATATGCTTTATGAAGCAGTTTCAGTATCACGGACAATACACCATCATTCAGAATTGAACCATAGCTGATTGTGTATACAGTCGTGCCTCGTTTATACGGACACTTGCGTCATTTCACAATTCGTCCGTATAAACGAATTTCAGTATAACTGAAACCAGCTTCTTACTGAAAGAGTTACTTCCCTTCAATTATGCAACTCATGACAGATGACAGAGCAAACAGATACATCCACTCAATCTTTATTCATACACGTTTCAAAAAGTCTGTCATGTAAGTTTGAACTGTCACCACTTGTCGATTTTCCTATGGTATGTCCAAATTCAGTGCCATAATGCTTACTGATGGTTTCTAAACTTGCTGACGGTTGTTTTTCTTTAAACAGAAAAATTTCCCTTTTTTTCGCGTGCTGTAACTGCGTGTCACTTACGTTTCGCTGGTTGACAGGCCATACTTACACAACTTTGACCTCTGACCTCCACAGACGCCATATTTATCGAAGGGGATTACATGTACAACAAGTATTTGTCACAGAAGTGACGAAATGTCCCCCGCCTGTATATACACCATAGTACCAAATATGAAGACAATCCAGTGTTTAGTTCTTGAGATATCGTGGCAACACCGTTTTCCAATTCCAAAAGCAGATTTACCTGCTGTGACCTTGAAAATGGGGTCAAGGTCACCAAAACCGACTGGTGTCTGCGGAGTCTGTATATACACCCTAGTACCAAATATGAAGACAATCCAGAGATTAGTTCTTGAGATATCACGGCAACACCGTTTTCCAACTCAAAAAGCAGATTTGCCTGCTGTGACCTTGAAAATGGGGTCAAGGTCACCAAAACCGACTGGTGTCTGCGGAGTCTGTATATACACCATAGTTCCAAATATGAAGACAATCCAGGGATTAGTTCTTGAGATATCGCGGCAACACCGTTTTCCAACTCCAAAAGCAGATATGCCTGCTGTGACCTTGAAAATGGGGTCAAGGTCACCAAAACCGACTGGTGTCTGCGGAGTCTGTATATACACCATAGTTCCAAATATGAAGACAATCCAGTGTTTAGTTCTTGAGATATCGCGGCAACAAACAGGTGGGACGTACGGACGGTCGTGAATACTATAAACAAGCTCGTCTCAAACGTAACTTAGTGTCACTTGGTTAATTGACTTCTCACGAATCAAAGGATTACCACCAGCGGAAGGATTACCACCAGCGGAAGTGTATTGTCCAGATAAGTGAGACAATTTTGTGTGCATTTCAGTGTTGTGTGTATGAAAATGACCGTCCGGATATACGGGTAAATTTATATAGTAATTAGTATAGTAATTGAATGAAAATCGTCCGGGAACCGAGGTTTCCGGATATCTGTAGTCCGTATAAGCAGGGAATGACTGTACAACACACTTAATTTCCTGGGGCCAATTGATCAAGTTCTTTAAAATGCTGCAAATTGCTGTGCAGAGTTGTGTCCCTTAGGCATATCAGAAACCTAAGATCATGGGTTTGAATCCCTAATTTACACAGATTAGCGTATCAGACGTAATATTAGAAGGCGATATTTGCTAATATATTGGCAAGTGAACAATCCCCATTATCACCCCTTCCCATTGCTCAATGTACACAAGACTTACTTATTCGTGTATAATACGCACCCGTGTGTTTTATGCACTCTTAATTATGGGCATTTAAATTCTTGAAAATATATCTGTCGTGTATAATACACACCGACTTTTCATTTGTATCATTTCAGGCTGTCAGCATAAACCACAAAATTTAAAATCTTTCATATCTGTTTTTTTTTTCTCACCAAAATTATATTCTGATAAGAGCCCCCTATTTCTAATTTTGAGAGCACCCTGGGCGCTTATTAAGTCGAATATGGTATGTGTCTTGATTTGATCTCACCAAAGTGGTAAGTGCCCAGTATCTGCAGACACGCAGTGATATCCCTGAAATACTGTTCAAAACTGCGTAAAACCAAACTCACTCAAGTCATTTATCAGTGACCTTCACATTGCATGTCTGCCAATCACATAGCAGAGTGTGAGTAAGTTTTTATACCAATGTTAGCAATATTCCAGTACAATCACAGCAGGGGCACACCAGCAATGATCACACACTAGAAACATCCCCAGGAGTCTATAACATGTGCAGTGAGCTGAAAAGAGTGGTGATGGTCAAATTCAATCCAAAGCATTAACAGCTTCATTTTCAAAGAGATGCATATTCTTTCAATGTTGCCATGGTTTCAGTCCAATAACTACAGACATTTTACACATGAGTGAACATACCCCAGTATCCTGGTAGAAATGCATCTGATGTTTCTTCTGGAATTTGTGGAATTTGAGCATGGACTGCAGCTCTTCTTGTGAGATTGTTCGGTCATCATCTTCGTCTGATGAGCTGTCGCTTAGCAGAATATTCTGGTAGAGAGAAGGAATTACAGAGTAATTTGACATCTCATAATGTTACATGAAAGATGTAAGTTTCAGTACAGAGCCAAGATAGAAATGAGTTATGACAGATATAAAAATAAAACCTTGTCTCATTTGAAAAACATATTCTCATTATAAAAACATATTTTCATTATTAACCAAAGTAGACACAATTTATGGATAACAACTTCTATAATTACTGTAGGTGACATTTCGGTATAGATCCTTATTTCGTTGTCAAGCACTAATAAATGATGAACATGGTACAGAATATACTTCGTCATCAGTCAACTTCCAAGTAATGCCTATCAAACAATTCATTATGAACATTCAGATATTCTCCCCTATCTTACCATCTTCCTTGGTGATACCATACATTATAGATCACCTTAAAAGCCAAATTGATTGATACATGGTATTTGATATATATTTTTCATTTTTGAGTACTTTGGTAACATACATTGGAATATAGAAAACAGAAGTACAAGAGAAATATTAAACACTGAAACATTGACTGTACATAAAACAATAGCCTAATGGAAGGAAGTAACCTATATATGTACCTACATGCATTGTTAATAACCCATCATTAACTGAAGACATCATAAATCACCATAATGAAATAACATCTCCGACTTGCTAAAATGCATGAGTCACTGACTTGTCAGTTTAAGAACCTGTTTGAACAGAATGGATCTGTTCCCTTTTAACATAATCTGTAAAGCCATTTGTTTCTAAGACACAACCAGCAATACCGGATGTCGGTAACCGTTGTACCTCTAAGATCACATATATACATATAAAAGATATTTTAAGATAAACAGATGTTTCTACCTCTTACCAAAAATTGATTGACTTTCACATAAACCACTTTTATATCTAATTCATCCCTAAACGTCATGAATGACTAGAATAGGATAATATGAGTGAATTACACAGATTGCTTGTCCTACATGGGGCCTGAAAGCTGCACTGTGACATGCTCCCTATCAAACTGGCACTTTCTGTGATGTGAGCAAAACATCTTTGTCAACAATGCACAAACACAGGGAAATTTACACTTGAATGTAAACACCCACTGTTTGTCACGCATACTTCCCATTGTACTCAGGGACCTGAGTGGGTCAAATATAAAGAACTTACTTTCAACCACTTACGACTCTTCTTCACTCTACTAAAGTTGTAGAGCCTAGTTTTATCTGCTCTTCTTTCTGCAATGAAAGATTTCAATGCCCTTAAAATTACTGGAGTAAAATATTTTTCAATTTGCATTTGAAAGGCAGTAAAAGTTATGTTTTAAAGTCCTATTTAGTTGCTCAACTTAAATGTATTTCAACCATACATCATTCCTCAAAATTCCTAAATTGACAGCATAGATATAGATTCTGAACATATCAAGTTTTTTCAAGCACAAACCCATAGTAATGTACATAACAGGATTGCCTTGGCATAAATATTCAGTTTTGACAAAGAGACAACTGAAATTCTATATTTTGTGCTTTGAAATTTCTTATGAAATGTGATTTTCAATTACTTTACAAGTAAAATGTCAGAAAAAGTCAAAATTGGAAACCAAAGTTATGTGTGCAACCATAATTGTGCTTCAGGAGTGTGTCCATGTAAACAACATGTGACTGATAATGTCCCACATCATCATACCATCTTTAGTGATTGTAATGCCATTGAGGATCTTGTTTCCTTCTCCGTCCTTTATACATGGCTTGAGAATATCGGTCTCTGCATCTGTATCAGTACCATCACTGGCAAAACAAAGAAGCGTAAAATACTACAAAACGAATATAAATGGACTATTCTGCTATGTGGAAGTGTTACACTGGACACGTTACTGTCATTATACACCTCATCCAAAAATCTACTTGTACAAAAAACTTTTCTGTGATATCGGAGAAATTCATATCATGAAGCTCACTCTTAAAACTTGGACAATATTGGAAATCACAAGTAAAATCATTATCAATCATCCCCATGTAGGAAATGGATCATGGTAAAATCCTTTGGGGTATTTTTCACCTCAAGTCACATAACACATTTAAAAAAAACAGATTTCTCAGCAAAAACAATTTCATCCAAAGAAATCCTGATTGATGAAAAATCAATCTATGAGATCTACTGATTAGACACATCTATTAAATATAGATAATAACATTCCAAATGCTGACATCCCTAATCACATCCAAATGCCAATAAGTCAATCCCTTCAAAGAATTACACATACCTTTCACCAATTGGTTCTGTTAGTAGGTTTTCTACATATGTGAGGAGTGGTGCGAGATTGAGAGAGCGCTCCAAACCCTGAACAGGTAAAGGTTTTGCCAGCTGTTGTCCATAGTTATGTTCCAAGGAGGCCTCCGAGGACATTGTGCATTGTCCTAAAACCAAGCAGAGTTCCAGTTTTTTAGTAAGTGAAGACAACTCTATATTTCTTCTTGGTAACTGCAGTCACTGAATGGAACCGTCTTCCCCATAAACTTAAAAAATTGGAAACTTTTTCTGTGTTCATAACTTTTCTTAAGATCCATCTCTTTAAGCTACCTTTCCCTTCCTAGCTAGTAAATTTTGTGCGCTTTGAGAATGCATTATGCGTGGAGTCATGCACTACTCCCTAAACAGCAAAAGCACCAGTTGACAACCCGGTCTTTGTGTGTGCAAAGTTTCATGAAAGAATACCTATTAGTTTTTGATATATGGTCTGGACAAACACACCACTATGAACAGAGCCAAAGTCAAACTTGTTGCAATGGAAACGGAAAAAATATAAACTCTACAAATCCTTTTTTAGCAAAAGGCACCAGTTGACAACCTTGTCTTTGTGTGTGCTAAATTTCATGAAAGAATACCTATTAGTTTTAGAGATATGGTCTGGATAAAATATGATTACAAAAAAATATACACGGACACGTTGATTACTAGGGCTGTTACGATTTACTTGTGTATTCAGTGAATCAAACCGTATTCATTCATGAATTGAATTCCTTATTCGTAGCCACTAGAATCGAATATTTATGAATATGCAATCATGTGCATTTACATACCCTGTACCTAAAAATATCCATAAAAACATATTATATGCATTGTTTTCTTAAAAAAGAACACTCTTATAATATTTAATTTGACAGTATTGTGATCACTGGTCATTGTCGCATTTGAGCAGATACTATTACCTAGATAAGTGCAGTATATGAGTGTTTAATATCTTTATAATTAACAAACCATGTCAAATAATTTATCATGTTATTGTTTCACTTAATATAACAAATAATACATCAACTCCTGACTTGTAATTGCATTCGTGAATTAATATTCGTATTCGTTACCCTATATTCGTGACCCTATATTCGTGATATAAATCATATTCGCTGCATAGTGTATTCATTGCAGCCCTACTGATTACTATATCCCATGGATGTAATAGTACAAGTCCCATGATGCCCACTTTGAATTTATATAGCATCAAATATTTCAACACTCTGAATCATACTGAATCAGCTTGTAACAATATACTTGACTGCATGTTAAATATTTCAGGGGTGGGAGAGAGAGAGGGTGTGTGTGTGACAAGGTGACAGACTACATTTGATAAAATAACATGACTATTCAAACAATTCTTATTGAGAACAAACGGTCAAGTGGGATGTCCCAGTTTTAAATGTGATTTCCTTCTTCATTATGGTTGCAGAAAACACTTACCGTATTCGACGTAATAAGCGCCCCGCTCTAATAAGCGCCCATGGCGATATTTGCTAATATATTGGCAAATGAACAATCCCAATTAGCACCCCTTCTGATTGATCAATGTACGCAAGACTTATTTATTCGTGTATAATACGCACTCATGTGTTATATGCACCCTTAATTATGGGCAATTAAATTCTGGAAAAATATATCTGTCGTATATAAACAGTCAGGCCATCAGCATAAACCACGAAATTTATCTTTCAACTCTGTTTTTTCCACCAAAATAATATTCTAATAAGAGCCCCCTAATTCTAATTTTGAGAGCGCCCTGGGCGCTTATTACGTCGAATACGGTAACTTAAATCTGCACTGAAGTCAACTTCTTTGAAGATAAGTCACACAAGGGCCCAAAACAAAAGCAACTTTCGGCTATCAAAATAAGGAAACTGACACTGTTGTGGGGGTTCTAAATGCATCAATACTTATATTGTGTACACACTGACAAAATTGGTGAGAAGTCATCCTAAACAACATTTCTAACATGGCCATCAGAATTATCGCACACCAAATTGCAGTTTCAATATTATGTAAGGTGAAATACATGACTCTAGCTTTTCTATTTGCTGCTATGGAAATAAATGGTTTAAAGTCAGAATACTGTGTGATAATCCGTAAGTTAATTACAACCAAAATATCCAAAACTGCTGATTTGTGAGATGCGGGTGGCATTTCAAGTACATATTTATCCCTATTTAGATAGGGTTATTTATGCATTTTGTTATCATCGGGTATTGCGATACATGTCCATATGTATCATATTGAAGGCCATGTACCATTCCTGGTGCATCTGAGTTTTGTTTCACCCTTAATGCTTACAAAGCACAGAATTGCATTCCGAGAGCATTTGGGAGAATGGTCAATGTGCAAAGGTGAAATGAAGGTACAAATTTAAAATATCCACCCAAAACAGACATCTTGAGCCCTTCTACTAATTAAACACACACCAATTTCATCATAATTTGAACAATATTGCCCGAGTATTGAGTAAATGTCATAAATAGGGTTTAAAATACAGCTGTATTAAAAACATCTTGAAAAATTTGAGTGTTGATGGGAACAAGCATGTAAAAGGTCTTTGGATGATGACAACTTGATAAAACATAAGCTCACACAGCCCTTCACGTCAAGTGAGGTAAGACCCCTAGGTAAGCAACTAGGTATTGAAACTAAAATTTACGAAAGTTCATATTTTTTTGGTGTATGTTACCGACTTTTACACAGAAAACAGCAATGCAGGAGGTGTAGATTACCCCCTAACTATTATCAATGTTCGAACTAAGTTCGTTCACTACCGCTCAATTTCTGTAAACAAATTTGACTTCTTGTGTATAGTTTTAATAGATGCCCACCCCCCCTCAAATTCTAAGTGCCACTGCCTACAGAGCTACAGCAGTCTGCAACTTAAGCAACTTGTCTGAATCTTAATCTAGTAAATTTCTGTTCAGTCTAGTAAGCGTAGCTAATAATAGTCCATGTTTTAACTCTTACATTGACTGAAATTGAAGCAAAGAGTCATGTTTGGGCTAGTACTAGTTTTGGGCACAGACTGACAGTAGAGCTTCTCTCAGTAAGACTTCATTGTAAATGTATCAACAAATATTACTGAAATGTAAATGACATGCGGAGATTTCCATTTTTAGAATATACATATGTTACAGAGATGAATTATTGTCATTGTCAATTGGTTAGTTTACCAATCTTTGTTAGCCCAGAACTTCTCAGAAGAATAACACAATGTGTTCGAATTATGCCAACATGTTATGACTGGGACATGTGTGTAACATTATTCAAGAACATTACAACGAACATTCAAGAACATTGCAGACAACAATTGTCAAAAGTTCATCTGGGAAAACTATTTGGTCAGGACACAAAATGTTGAAATGGAAGTTAGTGAACAGTGAACAGCAAATAAAACAAAGTCTGCTATTGTCTTGTGCTCCCAGTCCCTATGACCAGCATATATAAAACCAACAGGAAAAACTGAACATCTTTCTTAATATAATAGGATATTGTAAAGTTCTGATTTTCTTCATATCAGATCTATGTTAACATTGCACTCAATGTAATGATATAAGCTGTAATATATCAAAGCCTTTTCTCACTCAATACATGTCACCTTTGCAAAGCTGAAACATTGGTTATAACTGATAATTTGTGAATTTACAACAGACTTCTGGCAGAAAATTGGCCTCTGAGATTGCCTAGATAAATCCATTCAGGCGTATTGGCTATGATTGATTTTGTGTCAATCAAAAATATTTGTGACCATGTCAATATAAAATTACAAGAAAACTTTTGTGTAGAAAACATCAGCCAACCCAATTTTTGCAATATTTCGGTTCAAATTCTTCATTTGAATTCCCCATTAATTATTGTCCTAACTGCAGTAAGATACCATATATAAGTATATGGTTGCTGGTAGATCCCTACTTCAAAATAATATAGGCCTACTTTTGCCATCCTGACATAGGACTACAACCTTACGCCAGATTTAAGGAGGCACCAATTGGTCTGTGCTACTAAAAAAACATGAAAGAAAATTAATGATTTCTTACTCCAATGTTTGACAAATAACTGTATTTAGCCCCAATACATACATACGATTTGTCTGTGATATCAGCGTAATCAGAATCAAGGGCTGGTATTATTATTAGGCTACGGTCTCATTTATTTCCTCAGAGAATCGTTGTTTTTATTTTTCACGTTGTGTCGTATGTAGAGAATGCCATTTATTATGATGGCAATGAGTATGATATAGGACGACGAGTATCTTTCCACGTGCTTCCGATTTCCAAGGTAATGAATTTATCAAGGTTATTTCTTATAACATCCCGATGAGAATCGGATCAATTTCTGTAGTGTTTTAAATAATTGTGTATAGGCACGTAAGTAGACTAATCAACAAGTTGGCTCATGTGGCCGTCTATATGTACTATGAATGAGATTTATTGCATATCACAACACAGCACTGCGGTCCCCGCGACCTCGTGCTTCTTATTCTTCCTTCGCCTGCTCGTCAGCATTTCCTTCATTCTCTCGCTAAAATCATCAACCTTGTTTCAAAACCGGCAAAAGCAGACGAAAACATGTCTACGAATGCGAAGGCAATGACAACAAATGATTGTTTCATACCTTCTTGGTAGTATTATGCACAAAATGTCTGCTTGCATCCGGAGCAAAGTCCCCAGAACGCCAGCTACCAATATGGCGATTTGCGAGTTGTAGTATTGGGAGCGGGCAATGGCAGGCAGCCGCAAATAAACCATGACTTTCCTCTCGCTACGCAGGGGGTCTCCCGCCATTATTCGCATTCATCTCGAACGCAAAATGTTATGTTGCGTTTGCAGAATTACCACATGTGAGACAGTTTATTTGTATCGCAACAACTTCTAAAATTATATTATATTTTGTGAGTGAAGTTATGAAGTGTTTTATTGTCAAATTGAAAAGATATTTACAAAATACTTTTCGGATAGTGAGAGAGTGTAACCTACTTTGAACATTACGGGAGTTTACGGGAATAAATAAATGCAAAGTTACTACGATTGAAGTAACAAATACACCATGTAATAGTCTTGTAATTTATATAGAATACACATCGTATAATAATCAACATAAAAAACAATCCTATTAAAAAAAATTGAATGATAACTATGCGCATTACTATTACCCAGAATTCCATAATGCATTTAAAGCTGGGCTCTGTCTTAACAGCAAAATCATAATGTATTTTACATTTGCTCAATATAAAAAATATTATATTGTAGTTTATAGTTGTTATTGGTTTACAGATAATTGTTAATAAATGGCTTGAGTTTTCGATATTTTAACAAATGCAAATACAGTCACAGGAGCGCGATATAGGTATTTTGTTTTGTTTTTTAAGTCAATGTTGGAGCGTCGTATGACCACATTAAAGTATGGCCCTGTCCAACTTAGAAAAATAAAAATAAATTCCTGTTTGAGGATGACAAGTATAAAGAGATACCTAATCAGCGGCGTGTAAAATAGGATATAAGACTCATATCCGGTGGGGCCTATTGGTTAAAACGTTCGTTCGTTTCACCGGAGTGGGTTCCATTCCTCACATAGAAAATGTGCGAGTGAGTGAGTGAGTGAGTGTGGGTTTACTCCGTTTCCAGCTCCATTCCAGGAGGGGAAAACCAGAAATGGGCTACACACTGTACCCACGCGGAAATCTACCGACGGCCTTCGGTGTGACGAGGAAACGCTTTAACCAATGGCAACCCCACCGCCCCAAAACTTGTAAAGACAATTTTTGCTGTATCCGCCAAATCAGAAATATTGCCGGAAGCAGCGTAAAACCATCAGCATCCACTTATACCTGAACACCAAAGAACATCCTGGTATCGGGTCGGTAATACAAATGAATGATTCCCCGAGAAGATACGGTGCACTAAATAGATTTTAATTTACAAAAGCTAACACTAGCTAACGTAAGTTGTTCACTGTTTGGATTCATGAGCACCATAGGGGACAAATTGGTGTTTGGCTATATAGTCTTACATGATATACTTGCCAGTAGAGGCCTATAACTTCTTCATGTCAATTTCAGTTTCGCAGAAAGCAACTTGTATCACATTTATCGTTTTCACCGAAATCGGACAATAGTCTTACAGTTCCTCAATATTACCCCGCATATCCCAATAAAGTAAACATGTACAATTACCATCATGATAACAATACATCCAGTAATCAATATTTCATTTTCAACTACTTGGTCGAGCGCATAGCCTGAAGGCGTGGGGCGTTGCTCATGATATCAATCACTGGTTTGATTTTTCCAAGATCGAATATGTACATGTTATCGTGATATATTATTGCTATTGTTGTGGAATATTGCTGACTGTGACGGTAACAACAAACAAAACATACCTAGGGACATTGGACTCGGGCCAATTGGTGTCACAGCAAATATGATTGAAGTTATACACGCAACATTGCTGCCTCGTATTTGCTGGTAGTGATAAATCTAGATGTGAATGATTACCCTACTACACTGATAACACTGTCTCAATTTTACACAATGTCTGCCTGGGCTATATGCTGAAAATGGGTACCAGATCATGTATAGTACCCAGGATGATAGTCTCTATTTGAAGATCGTCTGAATGAGCCCATGCACATGTTGCTCACGCGTAACACACAAGGCCCAGGAGAGTCAGGATAAAACGCAAGTCCATGTCGTTATATAACTTCAACACAGGGGCGGAAAGGTACTGGGCACAACCCCTTTGATAGAGTTTACTTACCCGCCTGGAAAATATAAAACATACAACTGTTTCAAAATTAAAATTTGAAAACCATGTGTGGTATGAAATACTTATGCTAGAATCTAATCCATGTTTTCAAATTATTATCCCTTATTTTACTAATAAACTAAGTTATGATGAATTTATTGGTGTAATACTGTATTCGTACCCAAATATATGATCAATATTTCACTCCAGTGAAATAACACTTGATCCCGGAATTACTTTCAATCTACTTCAATGACACTTTGGTTTTCAGAGTAAGATAATGAAAATCATGCGCAGTGAAATACATAATAAATGGAACATTTGTCTTTTTCTTCTTTATCTCATGTCGTGACATGGAAAGTTGACCATGACGTTAGTCTGGCTCACGTACACTCCCTGAACCATATTTTTGTCCCTTCTGCCCAGCCTTTTCTGTAATCCAAAAGCCCTAAAGGAAGCAAGTCTAGATTGTCCTCGGGTTCTGAAATTCCTACCTCACTGGGGCTCGCTTTCAATTTTAATGGAGTTATTTGTTTCTTTAAAAAATAATATTTTTTAGATACTGACAGTTAGTCTGACATGGAGTATAACCAGGCTGACACAGATTGTCTGAATGAGCCCCTCAGTGGACATGGTGCTCACGCGAAATTCTAGGTTCACTTATAACTACTGTAAAATTCCTAAAAAACGACTGCGCAACTGATGAAAATATCAACTTCGAAGATGCGCCTTTCACGAAGATGTCAGACAAACATGTTATTTGACAAGAAAAGACAAATACACGTGTATCCTCTATTTATTATCCCGGTGTTGTACGAAATAATCATATGTAGATGCATTAATTTAGTTTTGGGGGGTTTGACCCACACGAACTTGTTTAAATTACTTATTATTATTTACTCGATGGTCTATATTTACCCGATGGCCTAATTATACTGTCCTTATTACTCGAAGAAATTAATCTATTCATTTATATTAGTCCCTTCTGTTAACTTCTGGCTTTTATAATAAAGTTATCTTACTCAGTCAAATGAAAATATAGACAGCTAGCAGACGTATTTATGCAATACTTAATTAACAACGTTTAGAAATCTTATAGAAAATGTGTTTGATAAAGATAGTTTCTGACTTAATAGTATTTTCATCATTTGAGTTGAGTAAATTTACATTACTTGGTGATTACGTATATATTTTCTAAGTGTGATAAATATTTCTTCCTTTGGAAAGCAAAAGCATCGCAGATTAACAGGACATGAAACTCACCTAAAGGTAGGAATTATATTTGAATAGTCTATATACCGATCGGTGTCGGTTCTCTGCTAATAGCTTGTGTATTTTTGAATGAAAACGCGCATGGTAGCAATTGTGAATGCGTATCATGTAACAAACTCTAGTATAAAGAATTGCGCAAAGCTTAGTGGGTAATCAAACCTTATTGTCACGTGACAATAGACTGGGTTTCTGACTGCCGAGATTTCGGCTTGGTTGGTTTTCTGGCGTTTGGCTCCTTGACTAAACGCGCAAAGGCGCCGGCGCAGTTCAACAGCGGTACTAGTTTTACGTGAAAGTAGACATTTTGTTTGCTGGAAAGAACTGTGGGTGCGTAAGTGGATATTTTGAACAGTATTCCTATTTCAAACTTCATGTTCATATTATATTAGAAGGAAAGCCGTGCAATTGCATTGTTTTGAATAATTCTGATGAAAGTTGCGAAATATGCAATTATTTTAGTGAATACTTGTTAATTTTTTCCCCCGAAAAGTTGTTAGCACATTAGGGACGATGTGTTATGTTTATCATGTTGAATGATCCATAGTCGTTTCACATACGATTTCGACGTTTATGCATCGTGCATCATCGTAAACTTCGCCAAGAAGGCAGCTTGAAAACAGAAACCACCAGCCGTCTCGCCGATAAACTGCTTATTGGGCGAATGGCAACATTGCAGTTTACCAGATACAACTTCTGTAGCGCAATATTGACTCTGACTGCAGTTTGTGGCTCTCGCTTCACAGATCTGGAGTGCCAACTCAACCCTTAGATGTTGGATACCCTTTTCGATCAAACACCCTTTCACAATCCTAGGGTTGGGCACCACTTGCCAATCAAACTTGCCAATCTTTGCGATCCTTAGGGCAAATGTTAGGGTTAGCTTCCCCTTTCTGTTCCTTAAAGGGCACCAATACTCTGTCGTCTCTCTGGTACAGCTTCCATTAGCCTGCATAATCACCAGATGCCAGTTCACATCAGCGACCCCACAAACTGGGCTTCAGACCAGTGATGGGGCATTTGGGGGACTATCCGTGAAGATTGGAGTTAGAAAAGGTCTTTTTCAACCTATGCTTGCCATAAAAGACGACTATGATTGTCGTAAGAGGCACCTAACAGGATAGGGTGGTCAGGTTTGCTGATTTGGATGATGCATGTCATCGTATCCCACTGCATAGATGATGCTCATGATGTAAATCACTGGATTGTCCGGTCCAGGCTTGATTATTTACAGACCGTTGGTAGCAGGAATATTGCTGAGTGTGGCGTTAATCAACATGCAAACAACGCCAGGTTTGCCTTTGTTGTAACCAGGGATCCGGAATTTTCCTTGGCCATCAGGACATTTGTGTTTTGATCAATATTACTTCATTTTTGACAGTTGCTGTTGTATGTTCGTGTATGAATAAACAAGTAAAAGAATAACATTAAGTGTCACTTTCATAACATGTACTATATTTTCTTGAGTATGGTACACATTTTTTAACCCAACAACACAGCTTAGTAGAGTGTGTGCAAAATACACGCACACACACACACACACACACACACACATACACAGATTGGAAGATCGCACAAACTTACCATTATTTACACCAGCCACCCTATTTACGGATTGAAACAAACTTTAGTCGACAGAGAATGGATATATGCATTTATATCATTAATGCCATACTCAGACTTAAACTTGGCCACACCTAACAAGATTTATTAAGACACTTACCATTGATAAACACTAACAACATTAATAGTACCTGAAGTTTAAGTCACAATGTACATGAAGCTGCAATAGGAGTGAGGGAAGGTATCAAATGGTATGAAGCGAAGGGTGTTGAATTATTACAGAGTGTATAATTATGTTATGATGGTAACCTTACGTAGCGTGACTATGTTAAGGTAAATAAGAGTGTATATGAATGTGTCAGAGTGTGCGCATGTGGATGAAAGTGAATATATGATGTGTAGGATACTTTGATGTGATTGGAAGTGAAATTATAAGTTAAGGTAGGTATATATTAAAGATAGGCCATTAACACCAGTTAGATACATTTTGCCAAATGACATGTCGACGGCAGGCTTTAAGTTGCTACTAGTTTGGTCGCCAATTTCCTTTTGGTGACCAATAATTAAATATAAAGGCAGTCATCATTTGGGTTCTTGTAAAAAGTCAAGTTGATGACCTGATATTACTTACAGCATAATATTAGACAGTAATGCAATAGATTAATAAATAATATTGATTGAATTAAAATTTCATTTATCGAAAATCTTAAAATCAACATGGGAATTGTATCGTAAAAATGTCATGAATTTTGGAAGTATTGGAATAAATATTTTCTGATGAAATATAAGTTTTCAAGTTATGCAATTCTTCTGATCATTGCATCAAAATTCTTTGACATTATATTGGGTATTTTTTAAACTAAGTTGCTGATAGATTGGTAGAAACTGTGTACAACTGACAGCTATTTGCAGCTCAGTTTAAGAGAAAATACACATGGTAATCTAAGTTTCTGAATTAATGCACTGCCTAGCAGAACAGAACAGTTTTTCACCTGTTCTTTTACCTGAATTTCATAATAGGAGATGATGTATTTTATTTTAGTAATTTTTACTGCACATATTATAATGTTGAACAGTTGCATCCAGTCACCCATGCAAGTCGTGTATACACTAATGAACAAAAAAACCCAAAACATGACAACCTGGCTGCAGCTCTTTATTATATCCATTGTCAGGATATCCAGTTTGACCCTTAAAGATACAGGTTAGAATGTCTTCAGCAAACCAATGTTTGTTTTAAGAGGTCATTAACAATATCTGGTGGTTGATGCATCTCATTGTATCCCAATTGATTGATGCTCATTATATCAATCACTGCATTGTGTTGCCCAGATTTGATTATTTACAGACTGCCGTCATAGCTGCAATATTGCTGAGTGTGGCGTTAAACAACTTAAGGTATCCAGTGTCTCGTTCCTCTGATAGGTGTCACTTCGCAAAGTGAGAATGGCACGGGACACTAGTCACAGTAGTCAGACGTTTGTTTTTCAAGTTTCTCGTTTTGCAGAGAAAAACAGGCAACTATGCATGTACTTAAAGGAAAACAATTGGGTGCTGATCATTTGTTAGACAAACACTAATTATTTGTTACAGCACCTATTGTCCATTTATAAAATGTTTGCTAAATAGATTAAGTCATTAGCCAAGCTCAGCTTCAAGCTGGTAATATGAGTTTGATCCTCCATGTGGTGCTAATTGGAGTGAAAAAAAATGCACTCCTTAAAGTGCACTACTCTGGGGTGAATTTCTTCCAACATGTTTGGGATAACCACATATTGGCCTATATCAATCAATGTGCAATACCCCAAACAATATATTTTCAGTGTACTCCGACAGGTGTGTGTCATTAAAATTGTATAATTTCTCTACATTGACACCCATTCAAATGTGACTTATCTTTTGTATTTAAAAAAAAAGAAAATTTGATGAAAACATTCTCGATGAAATGTGGCATCTTCACATACTGAACCTGAGTTTGAGGGAATGTCATAAGAATAATAAAACTGCACTAATTGCTAAGCAAGGAAATGCTTTCAAACTGAAATATCACAAACTAGTTGTAGACCTTAATATATATTAGACAATATTAGCTGAGTGGGAGACATGAACTTTGCCTGTACCTACTCTTGATAACTAGTATTAACTACCCTCCAACAATATTTTGAGAAGAGAGTAAGACCCCTTTTGACCCGCCAAATCAACTCTTGTACATAGCTGCATAAAATAAATAATTGATCATTTTCAAAAAATATAATATATAATTCCATGGACAATACATACATATTAGGCCAGCAAACAATGACAAAATACATTCTTCCCAGCTTGACTTATTAGACAGAAAGAATTGGAAGGGCCTATGCAGGTTCTTGCAAAATTACTTAAAATATTGAGAAGAAATGAAATAAGATATATTTTAATTAATCACCATCAGAAAAGCAGCTGTTGAAAGGGTATTATTTTCCTTCTATTTTCACAATTGTGCCCTTTATATTTTATCAAACCAATTCGGTCACATTTAGATGTTGGTTAAGAAAGGTCCCCCCCTTTAACCTATGGTTGTTATGAGAGGTGAAATGTGCATTCAAACTATGACAAGGTTTTGTGTGATTGTAACTTAAGGACATGGGTCATGGCTCATGATACCAATCGCAGGTTTGACTGACCCAGCCCTAATTTTTGACAGGCTTCCGTGATATAGCTGGAATATTGCTGACTGCAGTGTTATCCAATATTTGAACAAACAAAACCTATTAGGACATGTTCTTTATTGACCATTTGAATCACTGTGACTGAGATGTAATACAATCAGTAATCAGATTTAGAAACCTGGGTAACCAGACACAAAGCGTTCAAAATTAGATTCGCCATGTGAGAGGTTATCTTAATCCAATCATAAGATTATCACTCTCTTGTGATGGAAGTGAAAATTGTTGGAGGTTCCAAGTAATGTCTAGGCTTCACCAGGAAAACCTTTGTATACATGCATGCACCTATCTGTAATTATGAATATGAATTTATGAATATGTTGGAGCATTTTAAGGTTGTTAAAAGTTGTTTGTTTACTACTTTTAGAAAATGAACTCCGAAAGGTTCAATATTCTGGGAACATTTTGAAGATTGTTAGGTGAAGAAATTATTCAAAATGTTATATCACATGAAATGTTCTAGCGAGAAGAGTCAATTGCTATTAGGTAACAAGGTGCAGATGCTCCCAACATCTTACTTTGTTTGCTGTAAGTCACTACAATAGGTCTAGACTATATGAATTCTTATCTTAATTTACAAAACATTATCACTTAGATTGCTGTGTTGATTGCTTAACAATTTTTGGTCGTAATTTTGTTACAAAATTACAGTTGGTTTTATGATGTTCATCATGTTCGTAGCCCTGCAAATGCTTTGTAAATCGGGCCAAGTACATAACACCAAGTCCCAATGGGAATTTGGGTTGGAAAAGATCCATAGCTACTAATGCTTGTAAAAGGTAACTACAGAATAAATGGATTTTTTTTGTCAGACTCCGTGACTTTGTTAGATTGTCTTTGGACCTTCGTGGCAAAGGATGTTTCTTGTAGTGTGACTTAAAAGAAGCAAAATCACCAGCCTGAAAAGGAATTCAATGGTATCCTGAAATGATACATTCTTGATGTTTATCCTGTTTGTTTAGATTTTGTATTTATTCCAGGAAAAAATGGGAACAAGGGTGTATGTTGGGCGATTGTCGTACCATGTTCGAGAAAAGGATTTGGAGAGGTTCTTCAGAAACTATGGACGAATGAGAGACCTCATGCTGAAAAATGGATATGGTTTTGTGGTATGTATTCATAACTGCAAACAAATAGAAATGCCATCCAAGTGACAATAAGCAATGATATATATTGTGTGTAAATGATATACTTTCGTAATCAGCAATAGAAATTGGCACTAGTACTATAGTCCTTGCCAAACTGCCCAATAGGTAAGGTATCAAAAGGACTGGTAGAAATTTGTCCTTTTTAGGATTTGTTCAATGTTATTATAAGGACTAGTAGACTAATGTTTGTTTCTATTGCTGGATAATGTTTTGTGTAAAGCTGCATTAGTAATATTGTGACTTTTATATAAGACCCACAAAGGGGTCCTTCGTCGTGTTCACTCTACCTAATACCTATACACATACCGCTCGAGATATTTAGATTTAAACTTGTAACATATTTTACAGATATATTCTTCTTTGGGATTGAATTAATTTAGCATGACATTGAAATATGATCCTATTTGGTGTTTTCTAAGTGTGTATTCACGATTCAGAGTATTCAATATGGTCTGTATGTGTTGCTACTGACTTCATGAAATTTGTTACCTGACAAAATCTAGAGATTTTTATGTATCATCAATGTATGCCTTATTCTACTTTTCATGGTTAGAAAATTGAATTACATATGCATATATATTTAGTGACAATAACAAGATTTGTTTGAAAACAAATCTTGACAAACAACTGCATTAATTTGTGTATCAATTCACAAGCAGCGTTAGAAATTGGCACTGGTCCTATAGTGCTTGCCAAACTGCCCAATAGTTAAGGTATCCTAAGGACTAGTAGAATTTGGCACTTTGTTTTAGGGTTTTGCTATATGTTATAAGGACTAGTGGGCCTGTTAGTTTCATTGCTGACTAGTGTGTTTAATTTCAGGAATTTGAGGATTATCGTGATGCTGAAGATGCTGTGTATGAGCTCAATGGAAAGGAACTCTGTGGTGAAAGGTTAGTACAAATCCTTATGTTCGTTAGACCATTTAGCATGGAAAATGTTGCAACAGCTTTGACAATGATAAAGGCTAAGATATAATTAAATCCTGCATTTGGTCATTTGGTACAGGATTATCTTTTGCTCATTTCAAAATTGAAGATTTTTTCCCTCAAATTTTGTAGAATTGCCCTATCTGATGTCTGAGTAGTCATACTACCAGCCAGCTTTATGATTAGTGATGTCACCTTTGCTCTGTTGAATTTCTATTAGGCGTCATTATACCCACATCAGTCAGTTGCTAGCGTTAGAAATATTTTCTGGGTTTGTTTGAATTTTTCTGATCTGGTGCTTGGATTCATCAAAACCAGTGGATGGTAGGGATAGTGTGTTGATCTGATGTTGCAAGCAAATACAAGCACACTTTAAATCTGAGTTTCATTCTATGCATTAGTACATTTTACAATGTCTCATACCTTGATTTTGCTGCAATATTGCTAAAAGAAACGTTAACCCAAGCTAAGACTCAAAAGTCGTCTCAATTCATGCGAGTAATATTTCTAAGTAAGTGCTTTTAAGTGTACAATGAAATGTTTCAGAGTAATTGTTGAGCATGCCCGAGGCTCAAGAGGTGGTGGCGGCGGTGATGATTGGCGAGATCGCGGCTATCCGTCCAGACGTCGCGGAGGTGGTGGTGGTGGTGGCGGTGGCGGCGGAAGAGACAAGTGAGTTTTCTTCTACTTGATATTTATTGATTCGCACAAATTGTATGTAAAGATTCTGGTTTTGTGGAGATAATTGACGGGAAGAAATATTGTAGTTTACAAACTTGCGATTAAAATCAGATCTTGGTGCTTACTACTGATACACAAGATCTGAGGCAATACCATTTCAGATTGCGTCAGAATGACCTTTCGCAAACTTTTGCTGACCAATGTAATGACAAACCAGAAGTCAACATTAGCTAATCAGAAAGCAGCCTTCTCGAACTTTCATTGAAGCGATGTCTTTGATGGAATCAGTCTTACAGCCCCTAACTGTCGTTCAGATAATGTCCTGTGTAAACCTCTTCAAGGCTGCATGATTAGAAAACATGTTCCAACTGTCGCTTTCCCGATATGGTAAGCAATGCTCTGATTGGTAGAAGAAAGGTATTTCTGATGTGACCCATTATGGGAATACCTCAGGCCTTCGCTTAACAGAAGCTAAGATCTCATCTGATTTTAGTGAGTTCGAAACCCGTGAAGATCTGGGCTATAATAGGTCTTCAGCAACCCATGCTGGCCTTAAAAGGTGACAGTGCTTGTCGTAAGAGGCGACTAACGGTTTGGATGGACAGGCTCGCTGATTTGGTTGATGCATGCCATCATGTTGTGATTGAGTGGATCAATGCTCATGATGTCAATCACTGGATTGTCAGGTCCAGACTTGATTATTTACAGAGGCGCCGTCATATAGCTGGAATATTGCAGAGTGCGGCGTTAAACAACAAACAAACAAATTTAGTGAGTTTGAGTAAGCAATAAATATGTAATTGTATTACCTCAATGTTCAGAAAAATTAACTTGGAAATTATGTATAATTTTATGTAAAGATTGTTAAGAATTATAATGTTTTGCTTCAGATACGGACCCCCAACAAGGACGGAATTTCGTCTTATCATTGAAAACCTTTCTTCAAGGGTCAGCTGGCAGGTCTGTGTTTACTGAAAGTTGTGAAGTTTCGCTTTTCCTGTCTCATTTTCATCTGAGGAAATGTTTTCACTAGGTGTCTCAAAAATGAGTGGTGTTTTTATGAATCATGTAAGATGTAAAGTTTCTTTTGTTTGACCCGAATTAAAGCTGAAGAGTAAGTTGATAAATGATTCACTAAGGTACTGTCTTTGTCACAAGGTTTAGTCTGAATTGACTTTCTTGATCAAAGATCAGAGGAGTTACTTGTAGGCTGCACTGTCTGTTGTAATTCCATGTGTAAAAGATGGTAGATTTCATTTCAGATATTTAGACTAATAATGTACTAACATTTCAAATCAATACCATTTTGTGAATACCCTTGTGTTAATTTGTTTATTTAAACTTTTTCTCTTTTTTTAATTTGTTATCATGGTAATGGTACAACTATACACAAATTAACGTTAAAATGCTTTTGAAATTACATTTTAAAATCCGGTTGAGCACAACCTCTTCAATGAAACTGTTGCAGAATGGTTCTTTTTCCTAGTTTGTGTCCTTGACTTCATGTGTATGGTTTGGTCAAGCAAATGAGGTAAAAAGATCCTAATAGTAATTGTTTATAAGCACACAAATAGCATCTGCTTAGTATATGAGTAGAAAACAGTCTTTGGCAAATTCTTCATTTTAAATTCTTATCTTCCTTCCCTCAAAGATGACCGCAAAGATGACGAGAGGCTAGACGGGGGCAAAAGTCATTCTTAGAGGTCATGGTCACACATACCCGAGGGTCCTTAGGTGTGATGACGGGCACCTAGTGTTGAACGTGCTTGGTCCGTGCATGGGAGTCAGACGAGGGACTCTCAGGGCTGACAGAAAGATGACCCTGCAGCACCCTTGATCAGGTGTATACCTGTCAAGAGATGAAAAATCACTTTTCCGAAAGGGAAACATTTGGAAACCTTCAGACGTCCTGAAGTTAAAAGTTGTAAAAGGGAAATTGACCGTTTTGTGACCAGACGTCATGATGACTCCTGTAGATGAATTGGCCTTAAATGTAGAGTCTGCCCTCCTCAGATGTAATGTCGATAGAAAAACAAATCCTAGACGTGTCCCGCTTCCTCGATGTTGTCATCATGGCCAATTGACTGACCTGTGACGTGTGCTGTCCATTTGACCTCTGAGGTTGAGTGCCAGCCTCATAGGGTTCCATTCCAGCTTTGACTATTGCTTTCGGGCAGCAGGTAACAAACAAAGAGTTTTCTCTTTCAAAACAAATGTCTGAATCTTTTTTATCTTGTTTTGTTATGCTGGGCTTGTCTTCTTTTCAGATGTGTGTTAACAAAGATCATGTCTCCCCAGACTTGGGGATGCTTAATGGGCTTGTTTTACATGATACTTAATTGAAACATTGCTTGTCAAATAACGAGAAACCAAACATAACTAAAGGTCTAATATCAGCATTTTCAGTTCAAGTTTTAATCTTTGGTAAATCAGCCTACATCTTTTTGATTCTTTGTGAAATTCATACCGCAAAATTCCAAATAATGTTCCAAAGAGGAATATGCCACTTGTAATTAATTAAACGTCATAAATTGTGAATAGAAATACAGGAAGATCATGCTCAGCTGGAAGGTAGATATCAGGGCTGTGGAATAGTTGTGGTTATATTATGACAGTGAACATGTTGTGTGAAACTTTTTCACTTTTCGTGAAGCCTAAGGCCTTAAGTTATCATTATGTACATTATTTTGTAGGTAATCAAGAGAATTATGTGCAATACATTGGGACAGTCTTTTGCTGGCCGATGTATTTTCTGCACCAACTTTGAGTCACATATCTAAACAGAAAACTAAGAGAATTTGAGGAAAATGGATGTAGGTGTCACTGTACCCAATGCTTGCCCTAAAAGGCGAAGAATGATCTTATGATCTGTTCACAATAGCTGATGACAATGACTTATGCCTGGTTGGCCTTGGACCTAGCTGAGTTTGTGACATTTGCCCAAACCAGTGTGAAATTGATCTCACTGTCAGCCACAAGTTTTGTGTGTCTATGTTCTACTGCTGTAGAAATGACAATGGCATAAAACACCATTCACTCTGTTGCTCATTGCCATCATATCTAGGTATGTAGTTGTGTATGTAAATGTGTAAGTTACTGTAACTGTTAGGTACAGGTTAGTTTATTTTGTGACCCGTGTTTCCCTCTGTTACAAAGGACCTGAAGGACTACATGCGTCAAGCTGGAGAGGTCACCTATGCAGATGCACACAAAAAGCATAAGAATGAAGGGTATGTAAATAGCATCTTGGTCTAATAAAGTCACTTCACATGTTTTGTATTTCATAAACTGTACTTACTAAAACAATTACTGAATATTCCTGTCTGGTATATGCTACCATACATTTTTCGAAGCAAGATAGGGGAAGGTCATTGTGTCATAGTGTTAAAACATAATTTGTGTTATTTGATTGTCGTTACCTGATATTATGAATTGTTTCTTTGTAGTATTGTGGAGTTTGCTACCCACTCAGATATGAAGGCAGCAATTGACAAATTGGACAACACAGAAATCAATGGAAGAAGGATCCATATTGTTGAAGACAGACCCAAAAGAAGGAGGTAATTGTGTAATCTAATGATTGGTCATTACATTTATACCCTCTTTTTGACATTGTAAGTTTCAGGTTTTCCTTGACCCAATTTGCAAACGGCAAAACAAGCATGCAAACTCCTATTACTGCCATGACCATAACATGAGGTGCGCAGTAAAGCAGTGCACATGTATAGGGAAGTAACTGCATGCTATATTGGATCGTGATGTTTTTAAGTATTGTAGCATTTCACTGCCGGGGTTGTGTGTTTGTGACGCAGAAAATATATGGATTTAAAAAAAAAATTTTTTTCAAAAACATCCGGCAGACTTGGTGATGATGCAGCAGTGCCTCAGAACCTAGATTTTTTTAAGCCTAAACAACAAATATACAAATAAATAAAAAACAATATCAGTATGCCATCATCTCTTCTGCTGCAGATCTTACTCAAGAAGCCGTAGCAGGAGTCGCAGCCGTTCTCGATCTCGTCGAAGCCGATCAAGGAGCCGGTCAAGGAGCAGGAGCCTTAGTCGCAGCAGGAGCAGGAGCCGGAGCCCCCGTAGCAACAGGAGCAGATCAGCCAGTCCAGCTAAGAGATCAAGATCACGCTCGTATTCTCGCTCTAAATCCAGAACACCAGATAAAGATGGCTCTCCAAGCAGGGATGAACAGAGGCAACAGTCAGATAATGAAGATTAGATATCGGACTTCAGAATATCCACATAAAAGATGGCATCAAATCTCAACACTCACTATTTCAGCCTGAAAATGTGTTTAGAATTTGTTCATTATTTTGAGAAGCTTGAAAGAAAGTGTGAATAAGTTAAATGTCATGACGAAAACTTTCTAAACAATCATCTGTTCATCGACTACAGGTCATTTTCTAACCTGAGATTATATCCATTGATTGCATTTCATCATACTCAACTTTTGCTCATCAGTCCTTGGTTAGAATCGTCTCCCTTTGTAACATTGATCATGTTTTTTAATTGCTCATGCTTGAAAGATCAGATTCCTTTTAAAGGAATTAATATCTTTTTGAGGCATATACTTCATTTTTCAAGAATGATATTTCTTGAGATATAATGTCTTTGTAGAGATTCATACTATTCATTGTGCTATTTTGCACAATTAATGAATATCTGTAGTTTTTAGCCTTCACTGACAAAAATAAAACATCATGATCACCTGTAAAATATTGTTCTGTTGTTAGTGTCTTTAGTTATAGCATCAGAGTTGTAGTTCAAAGCCATGTGCCTCATCCCGCATGCATCATACTTCAGGTACTTGTTCCCATCAAAGAAAACGTACAACTTTATGGATAACAATTTCTGGTTTATTGCATATAGCAACGTTTCGATGTAGATTCCTACACTGTTATCAAGCAGTTGCTATGTGCAATAAACCAGTTGTTATCCATAAAGTTGTATGTTTTCTTGCTCACCAACTTCTAGAATGCCAATCAGACACCTCAATTTGTGACCTATGTGGTCAGGTGGATAGAGCGGAAGGTTGGATCCCAGTTCTCGGTACACCAAAAGACAGGTGGTACTTGTTCTTACCCTGCCTGGCACTCTAGTGGCAACACAAGGACTGGTGGGCTCAGCATCAGGATAATGTGGGGTGTTAAAATGATACTGTGAAACTGACAATAGTCTGGAATAGTTCAATCAACCATGCATGCACAGCACTATATGTAAGAGCAACATTCTTGAACACTACTTTTCACCTGATGTCACATAAATTTTTTCAAGAGGTTTGGATATGGCAGCCATGTGGAAAGAGCTTATGGCCATTTCTCGCTCACTTTTGTTAAAAAGTAGAATGAAATTTGGTACATGTGTTGTTAGTAGTGGAACTTGAGATACATGTTCCAATTTTGTGATATTTGAAATATTTTCCTTAATTTCATACTGAAAGCTGCATATGGCCATTACTCGCCCCTTGTGTCTACATGTAATATTGGTATATTTGAGGTTAGTAGTGGGGTCCAACACATGTATGTGTTATGTTTGAATTTTGACCTTTGCTCCTATATAATTTCAAAATGTATTTCCTCGCTGGTCTGAATCTGATTTCCAACTTGGGAGTTGTGTTGAAAAAGCTTTTTATGGCCACTGCTCAAATTATAGTGGAATAATCTCATTCACTCAAAATGTAGTTTTTGCTTTGTAAACATCTTTGAAAATGCCAGACTGAGGGAGCTGAACTTTGGCATGTGTTCTCCTTATTACATCACAGGTTGCTCATTAGGATTTTACTGTGTCTTTTGTGAAACATGGAAAAACTACGTTTATAACAAACCGCTTATAACAAACTGACGGATATAACGAACTGCTTTTTGGTCTGGTCCATTGGCTGTATATATGCTAGGTATATGCTTGTAACGATCTACAGTTACAACAAACTATAGTTAGTGGCCCCTTTGAGTCTGTTATAACCGTAGTTTACTTAGGTTTTATGAGTTGAAATGTCTAAAATAAATTCAACAGTTGTGTAATGCAACAATATTCTGCAATAGTACAATCATTCTTGCATATTTGGAAACATTATGGATAGTAAGTTACATATTTGTTTATTACTGTTGTCCTTTGAATTTGTGCAGACATTTAAATTGCACTGTTGTGAAACAATTGAATGTGTAGTGAATTAAAAATCAAGTACAGTAATCTCTGAAGGCATTTTATGCTTAGAGTAATGGTGATATCACTGTTTATTACAATCATGATTGGACGTTTGTTTAGCAATGTCATTCAGACCATAGGCTCACAGACAGGGTACATCACATCTGATCACATGACCAATGACAACGATTTTTATCTTACCAACATTCATTCATACAGGTCCAGAATATATGTCCGCCATTTCACTGAGTTAGCAAAACTTGTAGCAGACGATGCAAATGAAATGATTTACTTCCCTATACACAATGCATTGTGATATTCATCAGTTCATTTCAAATCAACCATACTTATTCAAGATATACTAGTTAACTATGTGTTCCAATTGATTTCTCAAGGTTCTACAGGGAAAATAATTGCCTGCTCCTTAACCAATCAGAAGCTAGTATTTTAATCTAAGGTGAGATAAATCATTTGATATACTGGATTATAGAGGATGAATCCCATGCTTTCAGAACATCTGACTAAAGGAGATCTGGTGGTTGTGACTTGGCTTATGGTGTGGATTGTGTGACAGGAAGTGTTTGTCATGTTGATGAACAAAATACAGACAAACTCTGTATTGGCATACAGCAGAGTTTCATGTTAGATATAGAACTGCTTCCAGTAGTGTTGACAAAAAAACGGCTGCACTCTTTTTTCATTTTATTCACATATCTGTACAAAACTATACAATTGCCAAGGAACCATATAAACATCTGTTGACTAAGTTAAGCACCCACAAAGTCTTTGAAGCGTGTGACATCGATCAGTATCCATATTTTGCATTCAGATGGGTCTTGCCATCACCACTCTGACCTGCAACACATATTGTATTATAAATAAGTACATACTTTTACTCAGTAAGGCTATCTTCAATACAGCATTCTGAAACACTTGGCTCAAAAAGACATGTTAATGCTGGTTGTTTTAAGTGCATGGCTACCTACAATGAATACATTTTAGTGTTAACTTGCATATCAACACAAGTGTAACAGAATGGTGAGTAGTGCCTAAACACAGTTACCCTTGAAAACAATGCAAAATATGCAGTGAAATCAACTTATAAGTGTGAAGCTACCTAAAAAACAGTATTTTACATAAACTATGTGCTTAGGAAGTCATCTTATAAGTGTAGAACATAAAAAAATTCAACATTCTTCATACCAGGGAAACTTCAAGCTGGCAGGATTATATGAACTAGGTATTGTTCAATGACACACCTGCTTTTTTTACAACAAACAAAAACCATTCAATATGTCCTTATGAAACTTTGTTCACACATCAGGCATGCATTGAACTGGTGCCTTTTACTATTCAGGAAATTTTGAAATGTTTTGCATTCTCAAGTCAACAAGATAGACAGGTTCAAGAGAGGATAGGGATTGTTTCCAGACCCAAACTAAAAAAACCATTCAATATTCTTAATGAAACTTTGTTCACGCATCAGACATTCATTAAACTGGTTTCTTTTACTATTCAGGACGTTTTGAAAACATTTATGTTTTTGCATTTTCAAGGCATCAAGTTGGACCTAGATTCATTTCTAGAGCATAAAGATCGTTTCATAAATCAAACTTTCTCATTTCTTTGTGAAACGTGGTGTACACATCAGGCAAGTGCTGAACTGGTGTCTTTGCTATTCATGTGGGTTTTTAAAAAAATCTTTTTTTAGATGTTGTGTTGCTAAGGCTATAACTAGCATAACCATTAAATATTTCTCGATGAAACTTTGTAAGCACATCAGATGTGATATATATCATACATCCATGTTGGGTTCCATGTCAAAATAGGTCTCCAGCAACTGACTGGATGGTCAGGCTTAGTGACTTGGTTACTTGAGAGGGACGCTGCTCATCATGCAGTGTAGATTACAAAACAAGCACAGCATCATATGTCAATTCAGGAATTGTTTATTTTGGAGGTGGGGGATTGGGCTATTTTTTCAAGCTTTAGGATTAGCATTTTTTGGTGTAATGAGGCTTATGTCGTTTTGTGATATGTTTGAAAGAGCTTGGGATATTGGCAATTTGTCTTCTTCCTATTTCAAAACTAAAGCTGCTGCAGTTATAAGCTGACAGAAACCTAAAATTTCAAACCAACTCAACCTATCGCACAAATTTAACAAATAACATGAGATAACTCAGAAACCATACATTTTGAGAGGAACATATGTCTCTCGTGTCTGCCTCGGAACCATACCTTGTGGTGGCATCCACACAGCATAGTCTGGATCTGTGTCATCATAGCCCCCGGTCCTCCCCCTGCCACCAGTCTTTGGCTTCTTGCTCTTCACCTGAATAACAACCAACTTCTTGATCAGACAAAAATGGCATTCCAAGGTAGCCTTGTTTAAATGTGAGCATGTTTTGGTGACGCCATCGCTGAGATCCACCATGCAAAGCTTCAGCTTCATAAGTCTTGTGGAAAATGTAAAGGTTCGAGTGAGTGAGCTGGTTTTAAAACTGCTCTTAACAGTATTCCAAATATTTCACAATATGTTGGCTTACTGTGGGAGGAAAGCCCGAAATGATACAGGTCTCAGACGATTACCTCTTTGGTGAAACCCTCTAACACGGGCATTGTGAGGAAAAACCTAGAAACATAATCGGGTGAACCAGGATTCGAACCCACGATCATAGGTTTCTGGTGTGCCCAAGGGATGCAAATCTGCACAATGAATTGCAGTGCCTTAGAACACTGGGCCCATGCCTCGTAAGAGTTTAAAACATACAAGGATGGATAACATACCATGACATACATTGACCTCAACACTTATCACCACAGTAACAAGAGTGTCATGTTATCCCTGCTACAGCAACTCTCAGCTGTCGGGGTTAACATGACCATAGGCTAATAAGACAGCTGCATTAGACGTGAAGTGCTGCATTATTACATGTGACGTCAGATGACTGTGATATTGGAATAATATATCTGATATAAAGCAGCACCTACCTTGACATCTTCCAGAGACGATCGTTTCTTGGATTTTGTATCAACATTCTTTTGACTTTGCTCTGAAATATATGAAGTTCTTATTTAAAACAAGGAAAAAGTACATGTGCTGCACCATCTAAATGCAAATATATTGTAACTCCAACAACAAATACATAGTCTGTTTTTACAGATACAGTCACACAAAGCATACAAAAAAATACAGTTATTTTGTAAAGGATTTTATCATTAGCCTCATAAAATCTTACTATGTGAAAGGCTAGCCACCATCAACACATACAGGTCCTGACATTTACTGGCCACACAACATGCTTGTAGGACACAAAAATATATCTCCCAAAATAAATCATTGTTAAGGCTAAAAAAGTAATAGTCTTGGTTCTCAGGTCCCTGCATCATCATAAAGTTCGCCACACTTTTTGTTTTTATTTCCATTTTGAAAACAAAGCCCAAAAAGCACACACGCAAGCGCACACACACACACATTTTATCTGAATGTTTCTGTACATCCCTCAATGGCTAGCATGAGGCCATTCAGCTCATACATACTATACACAAGGCCTTTCCCACGTATTGATACATATCCCCATACTTGAAGAAAGATATGATCTAGGTATTGCAATACTGGTACATAAATTGAGCCATTTTTGCATAAACTTCTCCAGCCATGACCTTAACCATGCCACACATACCCTCTGTACTGTCAGGGTCTCCGGAACCAGCAGGAACCTGAAAGGACTTGCCATGTGCTTTGACGCAGCTAGACGTCACACTCTCTGCTGGTTGGCTGGGAGCTGAAGGGGGCGGAGGCATTGCAGGACCTTTAACAGTGCTTGAGGACACGCTCTCAGTTGATTGGTTGGAAGGAGTCTGCTTGGCAGGAGCTTTAACCCTGCCTGACGTACTGTCCGGCTCCTCGGGCTGCAGTCTCTCACTACCAGCTACAGAGGTGTTCCTGTTACAGTTCGTAGATGTAACATCCTCTTCCTCCTCTTCTTCTTCTTCCTCACCAGCATCTCCCGATATTGCACTTGTTGTTTGTGTAGGCTATAATTAATGAAGTACAGGTAACAGATACGTTATAGCTTTTGTACACATAATATGCTAACTCTGTTTCAGCAGCAGTTCTTATGTGAAGATTATCTCAATTTATGTCACTCATTTGTGTACAGACAGTCTGTGTATCCCTTTACCAGTTCCGATCAGGATACGATAACCAAATGTTTTATGAATGGAAATTTCCTGGTACCATCTGTACATGTCCTTTGAAATGTGTAAAAGATAAATTTCACTTAATGCTGATATGAACCAAAATTGTTAATTGACAGGAATGCATACAGTGGTCCCTCGTTACTGCGCTCTTAGATGTAGTGCTAACTCGGTTATAGCGCGCGGTAAAGCATGGCTCCCAAAATTTACTAACATTTTTAATGTACTAAGTAATCCTAGTAAATATACAGACTATCAATCTCTAGATCTATTTATTATACTAATGTCTACAAGAACTACTCCAAACTATTGTGATGTAAGTTCACAATGCTCTGTTAAAACAGCATACTCATCTCTTGTGAAAAAATGAAAATATTGTACTGTGAGCAAATAAATCACATTTCATGTGAATCATATCAGTCGATAGTTAATGAACATAGATGCCTTGAACAGTTTGTACAACAGAAAAATTATATACAAAATATAATGTGTCGTGCATCGCATTTTGAGAAATTTGGATGAAAGTAGAATTACTAATTCATTATAGCCTCAACTTTCATGTGAGTAGTTAATTTTGGGTATTAACCTCTTAAAGCCCTTCCTCTGACATAAGTCACTGAAACATAATTACGTGAAGTTAATTTCAGATATGACATTAAACTGATTTCATAGGTCTACTTCATCGAGTTGTCAGTGAAACCCTGTTAGTCGAAAGGATTTCACTGGGAACCATACTGATGGGATTAACAGGGTTTTTTCATTGCATGAAAATTATCTTCACTAGGATATGGAACTATTCCAAATATGTTATTCATTAAAAAGGGCCAGGCTACATATACTACTCACAACAAGTTAAGGATTCCCCAATTCTTTCACATTACTATAGTTAATCTGTCATAGCATCATGGGCATGACGATTAACTTAAAGGGGAAGTGTACACACAAAAATCACTTTCTATCTTTTTCTAAACAAAACGCAATTTTAGAATTGGTTAGTATCTGTGTTTGAAAATATACACTCATTTTTTTCACAGTGAAAGTAGGAAGCTCACAATAGTGTGAAAATGAAATGCCGTTATGAGGCCTTCGTTTTTCGAGCTAAACAGGCCTGAGTTATCCCCCTTAGATTATGACGTAATTGGTGCCAATTCAACTGGGTGCCTGTCTATTCTCAACGCAAAAGATATCAAGTACCAGTTTGTGGTAAAACAACATGGCCTACGACACACTCCGGCACAGAGGTGACTCAGCATAACACTATGCTGGCTGGCATCTGAGACGCTAGAATCACATACCTGTACCTACACCACGTGAAGCGGCTCTAACAAAGCATGATGACGTCATAATGTTTATCAATTGGCACCAATGACGTCATATTGTAAGGGGCATAAGCCATGGTGTTTTTGTTATGGAAATAGAACACTTGGTAAATGTGAAAAATATAAATCATTTTAATGCAAAAAATATGTCAATTATTAGTGATATTTTTATATTTTTGACTATGACACTTCTAGGTTAACACTTTTAATGTGGAAAAAGTACAAGAAAAATAGGTTCATTTCCGTGTGAACTTGCCCTTTAAGTAATATGAAAGAATCGAGTGGTCCTTAACTTTCTTTGATTAGTATATTTATAGCAACTACACTCAAGGTGAGGAACAGCGTTGTGAAAGCTGTACACCTCGGTAACGGTGAAGTTGGGCACACTCACCACCAATGGCAAGTGTTTCTTGGGTCCCACATGAATCTTCCCAACTGAAGGGACAGCAGCTTTCACCACAGGCTTCGGTGGAGGGGGGACTGGTCTGGAAGCAGAGAAACAGGACATCAACAGAATTACCAAATTTTTTCTAGCTATTTTGATATTGTCGATTCAAAAACTGCCATAATTATGAAAATGTTTTAACCGGTAATGCAACTGCACTGTAATATTCTGTATTTTAGTGTTGCGATCTCATAGGACAAGGGGACTAGCCCTGAGCCTGTTATCAGTATCACAGAAAAGTACATTCATTTTTTCTGTTACGGAACATGTTGCTTCTGTTTACATCATTTGTTTGGTTGTTTGTTTGTTGTTAAACTCCGCAGTCAGCAACATTCCAGCTACATGACGGTAGTCTGTAAATAATTGAGTTTGGACCAGACAAATCAGTGATTGGTATCATGAGCATAGATCCACGCAATTGGGATATGACATCAACCAAATCAGTGAGCCTGACCACCCGATTCCCTGGGTTGCAGAAGACCAATTCTAACCTGGATCTTCACGGTGCTCACATCATTTTATGTGAGGGAGTGAATTAATGGTGTCCCATTGAAGTCCACAATATTTCAGCTACATCATGGAACACATCAGTGAAGTTATCAACGGCATGAACAACATCAACACCATCACAATACAATGGCCCACAATTACCAGAATATCAGGAACAAGCAGTCAGTTGGGCACACTGGTAAAGGTGACAAGGAAGTGTTCATTGTGAAATCACACACACTAATGAACAGTACTTACTTCTTGAGTTCTGGGAGTGCAGCAGGCTTCGCTAGATTGACTAGTCTTCGTAGCTTCTGTTCTTCCTGCTTCAACTCAATCAGCTGACGTTTGAGCTTCATCTTTGTCTTCGTATCCATGACACCCGATTTGATTGCAGACATGTAGGCATCTAGAGCATCCACTTCCTCACTATCAAAAGCAGCAGCGTCTGAGAATATTAGACATTTGAAGTATATTTCATTATTAAAAGCAGGACAAAATAAGTTGTTTGATATACTCTCAATATGCAGTAGCATCCGGAGACTAAGACAATGATTATGTGGTGGGTGGGTGGGGTGGGTTGGGGTGGGGTGGGGTGATTAGTGAGTGAGTGAGTGAGTGAGTGAGTGAGTGAGTGAGTGAGTGAGTTTGGTTAATGCCACGATAAACAGTTTATATATGGAGTGTCAGCCTATTGTGGGAGCAATCTCATTAAAATTAGATCTTAGTTCTCGCTACCACTAAACAAAGATCTGAGGACATCCCATTACAGGTCATGTCAGAATGATCTGTATGCGACTGATGTTCACAAAGCTTTTGACAACAATCCTGGAACCCTGGAAATCTGTCAAGAATAAAACCTTTGCCTCCTGTCATATGCTATAGAAAGTCTCTAGGTTTCTCAAAAATTGTATCTTGTGTATATAGTAAATAACATCTAGGAGACGTAAGTGAACAAATTTACCTGCTTTTGCCTTCTCTAGCTTGGCTTCAATTTCTTCAATTTCCTTGGATATACTAGTATGTTTCGTCATCTGAAAACATACACAGCTCAATATACAGGTGTGATAAAATATCATATCATCAATCAAATCAAGAATGTGTATCTAGAGTATTCCTGTGAACTGACGCTATTAGTGTAGTGAGTGAGTGAGTGATTTTGGTTTTACGCAGCTTTTAGCAATATTCCAGCAATATCACGGCGGGGGACACCAGAAATGGGCTTCACACATTGTACCCATGTCGGGAACTGAACCCGGGTCTTCGGCGTGACGAGCGAACGCTTTAACCACTAGGCTACCCGACCGCCCCTCGCTATTAGTGTAACATTTTAAGTGTATAACATGACATTTAGAACAGACCTCCCTGCAAGTTATTTCACTTTCATTAAACATCCATGCTTCTTTTCTTTAACCATATACGACATTACGGCAAAATGAAAACAAAATAATTATTGTAATACTGTAGGGGTGAGATAATGCTTCACAGTTAAAAGGTGTACTATATTTCTACCAGACACCAGGCCAACAACCCTTGAATTTACCAGAGAACCAAAACACTGTACAGTCCTTAAAAACACAAATATGGCATTTAGTAATGATAGTCTTTGTGATAGATAGAACTGGGCAGTGTGTGTCCACTCACAAGGGAATCGTATGTCTCTGCCTTGTCTTCTATCTTCCCTGCTTTCTTCATTCTCTGCACACGTTTCTTCTCTATGGTACCGGTCCGATCTAAGAACGTATCTTCATCACTGTCATAGAAATCATTGTCTTCCCAGTTTTTTGCTTTCCTCTTGTGACTTTCTGAAAAAAAGATTTGGTTATTCTATCATGACTGTCATCCCATGATTATAAAAGTTTAGAACGTAACAACAGCACCAGAAAGTTTGGTCAAAATGGTATGTCAAAATGCCATGAAAGTTTGTTTACAAACGACACCAACAATAATGGTTGTGTCTTTTGTAAACAAAGACAGCTGCTTGCCAGCCATGTGCTTTCAAATCAGATTTGGCTGACACAAACCCTTCCATGTCCAGAAGTTAACATAAAATATTGTGTATATTGTTACCAGGTTGAACTAAATTCTGAACTCATTTTGAATTAAAGCTTTACTGGATGTAAACAGCGTTGTGTTGTTCTGGCTTGTGACACGTAGAGGTGACACGATACGGTGGGGTTGCGATACGATACATATCCCGATACTATGGGTGAGATATAATACAGTACTTTTATTTCACAAGTTGATCTTTTTTCTTGCAAATGAATCACAACCCTGAATTACCGGTATTTGTTATTAAATTTTAGAGATCAAAGATGGGATATGTAAGGCAGAAACATATTGGTAGAGGGCACGGTGAAAGTCATGCTATTCATGTCCAGCCATGAAATACTAGAGAATCTGCATAAGCTTGTGGTTGAACAGTTTCTGTTATTATTCACATGTTTTTACACAAATATAACTCGTAATGAAATGTATCATATGTATCGCGATACAGGGGTTGTAAATAGATGTATTGTATCGTCGGCCTCGTATCGCTATTCAATACTGTATCGTCGTATCGTCCCATCACTAGTGACACCCCACACAAACACTGACAAGCAAGTCAACACTCATACACTCAAGCCCAAAATGTGTTCTTGTCTTCAAAACCAATACAGCCCTGGAGTCCTGTAGCAGCTCATTCATAAACATGTACATGCAAACATTCTGAGATTTTTGTTTAAGGCTTCGAGCAGTCGAACAACTGAGAATGTTGTTAAAGACAGTCAACAATATTTTAATCAGTTTCCATGACAACAATTGGGTGCTTGGGACAGACAAATAGAAAACCTTTGAGATCGAGGGGAGGATAATCTAAGGACTTTTGTGTTTTATGCGGCCTGCATCATGTTTACAACACATTACGTGTGCATGGTGTAAGAAAACGGAAGAGATTTGTATTTATGTTTTCCAAAGAAATCAAAACACTGAAAAGTCCATTTGCAGAACTGCTTTTATTCTAAAACTAATCTGCAAAGTCACCAAATTTTAAAATAAAGGGGTAGGATATACATGAAAAGAAACTTCTACTTAGCAACACCTAGTTACCATGTCACACAGCCCCAACTAGTGTCTACGCTATGTCTGGAAATCTCCAGCAGGTTTTGGAGACATCCATTGTTGTATGGTTAGAATAGAAATGAATACCATGTTTTGACTTCCGAAGCTCCCCATGCTTGTCCAGCAAGCGACATGCCTCCAGTGCGCAGGCAACAACGGCATCTTTCCTCTTCCCCGACACCACCACCTCTGCGACAACCGGCTCCCCAGTCGGGGTATCTACAGGCAGCCTGCACACACACACACATAAATACTGGTCACTACAGAGGAGCAAGATGCAGGGATAACGGCAACAAGGCCTCTTCATGTCAATCAATGGATTGTCTGATCCAGACTCAGATATTTACAGACCGCCGTCAAATAGATGGAACATTGCTGAGTGTGGCGTTAAACAACAAACAAACAAATAATAATTATAAAGCACATTTTCATCAAATTATGTCTACAAACATTCACTTAAAGTTTCAATTTTCACAAAAATGCTTAATTCTAAATGCCATGATTAAATGTGACCCATGGTAGTTCTACTTGTCCTACTAAAATGTCGCCTTTAAGAAGATCATGCTTAAACCTTTTCCAAATTGAAGTACCGTATTCGACGTAATAAGCGCCCCGCTCTAATAAGCGCCCATGGCGATATTTGCTAATATATTGGCAAGTGAACAATCCCACTTAGCATCCCTTCCGATTGATCAATGTACACAAGACTTATTTATTCGTGTATAATACGCACTCGTGTGTTATATGCCCCCTTAATTAATCTGGAAAAATATATCTGTCGTATATAAACAGTTCAGACCGTCAGCATAAACCACGAACTTTATCTTTCAACTCTGTTTTTTTCCACTAAAATAATATTCTAATAAGAGCCCCCCTATTTCTAATTTTGAGAGCGCCCTGGGCGCTTATTACGTCGAATACGGTATTGTGGTTTTGTTGAAGAATTTCAAGAAATCATCAAACTGGCTGAAGGGTTCTGTTTGGAGAAGACATTGCACGCTTAATGCACAGACAGATGACAGATTGATGGACAGACAAGGAATAACATGGCATGCCATAAGCTCAACTGAACCTTTGGTCCACTGGAGGTAACCATTGAAAATATTCACTGGACCAAGGGCAGATGTAAATTGCCCACAATTAATATTCACATTTACCAAGTCGATGTTGTTACGAAACCTTTAGTGTTGCACGTTTCAGTTTAAACTTGTTCGGAAATATTAAGCAGCACTACAACTTTCATCTGGCAGATATGTTACTCGCGATCTATCACTTTTACATGTATTGATTTAGAAAACATATATGTCAATTAATTGATGCATTAATATATTTTGTGGCACCTAAAATGTGACATTTTTTAATAGGATGTTAACATTTAACTTGTACTTACTCCACCATACACTTGTGTTTTCCTTGTCCGCTCTCCACAAACTGGTATTCCGGTAAATCATATCCTGAAAAATAACAATGTGTGTTTCATACTCTGTGATCATGGTGAGATCAATAACTGTCAATTCAATTGTTAATTATGAGGTTTTTAGTCTCAATTTCAGTTTCTGTTATATATTGTTCATAGTGGAGTTGATCTCGTTTTGTAAATACAATACTTTTTTCAGAAGTCAATACTTGTAATCAGCTTTGGAATAATGCAGACTGCCGCTTCCAAACATCTCGAAAGTGTCAACGGCAAACCGCAACTATTAACAAAATGTCTCAGCTGCAATTCTCATTGATAATTTCCGTAAATTTCAAGTACCCCACCTTCTCTCTCAAAGTAGCCTTTGAGTGCTTTCTTAGGATCATCAATATAGAGATGTTCATTTTCTGGTATTATTGAAGACGGCATGAACGGACTGTCTTCATTAGCTTCTTCAGCATCTTCATCTACAGCAAGGAAAACAGTAAATAGTATGAGTGCAACATGCCATAATAACTCATCCAACTACATCCAGCCGTACAATATAATATCTCTTCAAACTTCAACCACTAAATTCAAGTCTGCATCTGGCAACAGTTCTTTCAAGCAAGAAGTGAGTGTGATAAATTTCGACAGTATTTCAGTTATATCACAGTGTGTCAGCTTAATGTGGGAGGAAAGATGCAATTGATGCAGCTTGACGTTAATTAACATGTTTATACCCTAGAAAAGGATGGGATAATATTTTATGTGCGCAACAGGACGCTCATAAAGATGTTGATGTGTGCCTTTTTTTTAATTAAAGTGTGCTAACCAGAAGAATCAATAATGCCACTTCACCAAGGCTAAGCTAATTACCAGGTGTAATTTTGAATCCTTTCCCCCTTCCTTTCCATTGAGATCGATAATTGTGATAATACTCTTTCTCATTTCTGAAACCAAAATATTTTTTTATGAATCACACTGTGCATTAAGCAAGTTCATTTTTTCATTATTTTTTATGTTTTTTTAAATATATATTTGTGGTTTCATAAAACAAACATTGTCACAAGTTAGAGTTGTTAAATTTATATGTTTTCTAAGTGTGTCCTTCAAGCACCTGGAACTTATTTTCACCATGTTGTTATGATCTTAAGCGTGCCATCAGCACTGAAATATATGCCAGTAACGACAGCTAATTGCAGTGGACCACTTACATTGTGTCACTTTCAACCCAGTACAATTAGCTTATGGCAACACACAAGCTAAGAGTCAGAGTCAAGTAACATTTGGAATAAGTAGATGCTTTTGAGCTTAGTTGACTGAGCTGATAATTCATGTGAGTCTTAACATTTGAAAATTCAGGGTTTGAAAGTCCTTCTACTGGAGTGGAAATGACACTGTTAAAATCATAAATAAATGCATGGTTACAATACATCACCGGTGCCTAAACAGCACACTATAGAAGAATATCTTTTCTTTAAATAACACCCTGGATGTTATCAATCTCAATGAAAAGGAAAGAGACAAACATCTAAATAACAACCGTTTATCATCTAGCTTAAGTTCAAATATGCATTCGCATTCATTCTCTTAAATTCCAAAGGGCATGCCTAAACATTTTTGTAAGTGTCCTGTGGCACACAAGAAAAACAACATTTCTATCTCTGAAATCATAAAAGCATTTATTCTTTTCTTTCTAAACTGCTTTTAAATGGGTTAGTTTACAGTTAGAAGCAACAGTCATATTATCTCTGGGTCAATCACAGTGATAAGACTGCTGACAACACAACAGTTGGTTGGATGATTTGTTGTTTAATGCCGCACTCAGCAATATTCCAGCTATATGACAGCAGTCTGTAAATAATCGAGTCTGGACCAGACAATCCTGTGATTAATATCCACGCAGTTGGGATCGATGACATGCATCAACCATGTCAGCGAGCCTGAGCACCCCATCCAGTTAGTCGCCTGTTATGACAAGCATAGTCGCCTTTTACAACAAGCATGGGTTGCTGAAGACCTATTCTACGCCGGATCTCAGCGGGTCGACAACACAACAGAAGAAAGTTTCCATCTATAACTGAAAAGCCTAGCAAAGGCCCACAACTACATTATATTCCAACAGCCTTGAGGTAGATAGAGATTCTGCTTTTAAGAGCGACAACATGTCAGGCATTTGAAGAGAGAGAGAGTGTAAGTTCTAAATCTAAACCTAACCCAGAGTAAAGGTACATTTATTTTGTTAGTAAAGGATTAATATATTTTGTTGTTTATAGTATGTTGCCCCTATTGTTGAAGTTATGTATCCTACCTATTCCCCATGTGCAGCCCTTGTCTTCTAGCCTCTGTTTCTCCTTCTGCATTCTAGTTTCTTCCTCTATCAGTTCTGCCTGGTGGAGCACCTCTGCTTCCTTTTTCTGTCGTTCTCTCTGTTCCTTTATCTCGGTCACACTCAAATCAGATTCCTCCTCCTTGTCATCATCTGGACCCTATCCAAAGAGAATGTAGCTGATCTAATTAGGGAGGGCATATTTGAAAAAATTGGCACATGAACAATTTCGATAACTGGTTGTTTCAAAAAGTGCAGGTAGTTACAGAGCACCTTTAGAATTCAGCACTACAAATTCTTGTGAGGGCAATCCCTGTGAAATGGTGATGAATGAAACTTAAAGCGGTTTGTGTGGAAGTTCCATGACAGTTTCCTGAAGCTCAAATATTTTCGAAACCAAACCATTTCTTCCAGCACTTTCAATGTTTTCTCAGTCCCTTTGATAATCAAATCATCCCCACAATTAAAAACTTATATGTATCAGCCACTTCCCTTAACGTAATCATTCACTTTTGCTTTGTCATTTGAGCATTAGTAATGAGTTGTTTACAAAAAACAAACAAAATACATAAAATTAACTCCCATTAAAAACTTGATGTCACAGGGTATTGTTTTGCTGGTATATCCTTCCAAAAACATTCACACATTACCATGATTACTTCATACTTCATAGGGTATTCAGTGGTAGAAATTAGTCCACTAGGCCTTATAATGATAACATTAATGATATCATCAAAACCCTTAAAAAATGAAAATTTCTACTAGTCCTTAAGACACCTTAACTATTGGTTAGTTAGGCAAGGACTACGGGACTAGTGCCAATTTCTAACGCTGATATTGTGATGTGTTGGTAAATGTTGTGGTGCTGAATCTAAAGGTAGGCCGAAGTTACAATATTCAGACTTTAGACTGAAAGTCAAGGGATCCTTTTCTTAACCCTAGTGTTAATAATTACTGATTCAGTACATTGCAGTCAGAAATGTTCCAGGTATATGATGTCCGTATAACAATCACATCTTGGCCAAGCAAACCAGTTACTGACAGCATGATAATCAATCAAATTTCATGTGGGTTATGGGGTACCTATTCTGGTTGGGAATCTGTACTGTATAAAAGAAATACATACCTGGAGTATGTGCAGCCTAGAACTTCCTCCGAATTTCACAACATGGCCCACTCGAACTCTGTTGTATACTTTAGGCTTTACTTTAACTTTGTTTATCCAAGTTCCATGTGTGCTATCTAAATCATACAGATACCACCCTTTCTCTCTTTTTTCACTGTCACTAGTTGAAAATTGTATAACAGCGTGGTAACGAGATAAGGAAGGATGTTCCATTGTTACATCACAGCTTGGTAATCGTCCAAAAACATAGAATGGTTGTTTTGTCAGATCAATGTTATCAATAATAGAACCATTTTTCAGCACTTCAAACTGATAAGACTCGTCGCACAGTCCACTCCATGAAGGTTCTTTGTACGGAATAGTAACCTGCGCATTCCTCAATTGTTCAGCAGGAGAAAAGCCTGAAGCATTTGATGTCGTGTCAGTCTTCTTTTTATTGTTTGTGTTTTGTCCTGAAGAGTCTTCTGTTGCATTATTTTCGTTTGCTTTCCTGTCTTTTTCTGAAGAACTGGATTCTTGTTTAATTTTAACATCCGATATAAGATCGCTTGTTGTTGGCACTGGTGACATCAGCATGTTAACTGGCACTTTGAAATCCATCGTGGTCGTTTTCTCGACAACTGTATTTCTTGAATCAACCGACGTTGCCGCCTTGTCTGCATCTGACGGCGCGTGCGTCGTTGTTGATTCGTCCGAAACGGGAGAGGAACGGTCATTGTCCGCCATGCTGTTCTATTATGCCTCATATATCAATAACAATATTGATTGTCACGTGATTACGTTTTTCATTTGTCTAAAAGTAGTAGAAAGTACGACATTTTGGTCAGAACATAATATATTTTATTTCGATGTCGCATGAGAGTTGGCATATATAGCGTATGTCATTGCCACAAGCGGCATAACCCGTGGACCGGTTCCAGTCTACGTAGAGCGAGACGATAAACTGGTATTTTTTATCTGTTACGCACAAGACGGTATTCGGTGTTAGGTTTGCCAACTTGAGCGCTTTGTCGAGAGGACAGCGAACCAGTCTAGGTTTGCTGAGGTCGCGTTTTCGAAAAACGTATACATTGTAAACAAGGGTTACCATGTTCATATTTCTTCACACAGTGTAATCGAATTGGATAATATTCAACTTGAGTTGATTGTTTTTCCAACAATATCTAAATTAAATTCAGCAAATCCAAACTAAAAGGGGATGAAAGTGCTGGTATTCTAAGATTGCTCAAAGGCGTATATATACGTCTTTGGTTTGCTCCTTTTCTACATTACCCGTAATATGGAAGCACCTGAATGTACCTGAAAGTGAAATCATCCGTGTTGGAAATCTAGATGTATAATAATTCATATTATTGAAAAGTACATATCCTAACGATGATAGACATATGAGACCCGTGAAGATCCGGGGTGGAATATGTCTTCAGCAACCGAGGCTTGCCGTAAAAAGCGACTAATGGGATCGGGTGGTCAGTCTATGACTTGGTTGATGGATGTCATCGTATCCCAATTACATAGATCGATGCTCATGATGTCAATCACTGGATTGTCTGGTCAATGCTCGATTATATGACTGGAATATTGCTGAGTGCGGCGTTAAACAACAAACAAACAAACATATGACATTTATATCATCATTGAAAATTGCCCGTGAGTTTAATTTACCGACAAAAAATCCCAATGAAAATGTCAGTGTTTATGACGTCAAAATAAAATTGACGGAAGTGGCCGTGATTAGTACATACGCAGCTAGCTGATTCAATACGTTCAATACGAAAAATGACAGTTTGGATCATATATCATGAAGAGATTCCGGTTTCTTCCATAGGTGTCAGTACTCATTCATTAGTGATAAAACAACTTCGGGGTAACTGACATCGGACATTATCAAAGGCGGCTAAAAGGTCCAAAGGAACAATCCCCATTTCGAATATGCGTGTGAAGTGTGGGATGGGTGTAATATAGAATTATCAACTCAGTTAGGAAATCTCCAACTAGAAGCTGCCAGAGTAGTTACTGGGCTCCCAAAGTATACTTCGCACACACATCTGTATTATGAAACAGGATGGGAAACGTTAATAGAACGAAGAAGGAAACGTAAGCTATGTTTGTTCTACAAAATACAAAGTAATATTGCCCCAACTTACCTTAAAGACATTGTACCAACCACTGTAGGTTCAAATGTATCATATAATTTAAGAAATTCAGACAATATTGAGATTCCATATACTAGATTAAAACACTCAACGTGTTCTTTTATTCCATCAACTGTAAGGTTATGGAACACTATTCCTGCAGCAGGTAGAAATTGTACATCTACATCCCAATTCAAGACATACATACAAAAAGAGCAAGTCATTGCACCTCCATATTTTTCCTATGGTGTTAGAAAGTTGAATATTTATCATACTCGATTAAGATACATGAAAAGCCAGTTAAATTATGATTTATACAGAATAGAGGTAAAATGTGATCCAACATGTCAATGGGGTGATCCATGTGAAAACGCATATCATTATTTATTAAAGTGTCCATTGTACGTCCACCAAAGAAAAACTATGTTAATAATAATTCGGGACATTTTACAGAACGCCGTGAACAAAAATGCTAAATTAGATTTAAATTTGATGTTAAACGGAAATGAATGTTTGTCCATTATCGAAAATCAACACATCTTTAAATCAGTGCAAATGTTTATAAGTCATACAAAGAGATTTGGGAAACACTTTAATGTACATATACTAGTCTCTCTCTTCTGTACGTTTCTTGTTATCTTTACACTCATCTTCTTTTCTGTTTTCCTTGTATATGATTTACTGTACAAGCTTTGTAAATACCATGGAGAGGGAGTCCTAAGTTGGATAACTTGTTCCCAATCCATTTCAATCTGAATAAAATATGTTTAAATCAACAATCCTCAAAGTGACATCGCCAAGTATCGGACTACACGTAGTTTCAATCAAAATCGTTGAAAAGTTTTCATCAGCATCGCTTCGTTGTGCAATCATACAGGCCGTATATCTATACTTCTTGTGTTTTATGCGTTGTTAACGGTTTAAACCTAATTTATAAAAAAGCCCGACACCTAAAATAATTGGACACATTTAATACCAGTAAATTTTAAAACACAAGAAGCGTTGAGTAGGCTATTTTTAATACAAGGAAACGATAACTTGCGAAGGTGAAAGAAGGAAATATTATTGTTTTTACAGTACAATTATAATTAATATATAGAATAAGTGAAAGAGAAAAATACGAAAAGATGAATCACTTCGACTTTTGTAAATGGTGTTTATGTGCTCAAATCTGAACAAATTTGTTTCACTATCACCAAACGTACACCCTCGTTTCTCCTTGTACTTCACATCCGGCTGCCTTACTAAGATATTTGTTCAAAATATTCTTGTATGGCCAGCTCATGAAATAAAATTTTATTTCATATTTATTTTATAAACCCAGCTTAAATTGTATGTACTCCTTGGTATACATGTAGTCATAAAGACACACGTGACAGTTTATTTCGTAAAGAAGAGTTTCCATTTCACCCATTCTTCAAAAGGAAAAGTTTAAAACAGATAATTATCACAAGCAAATGAAATTAATGGAAATATTTGCCATAAAACGAAAAGCAGAAATCTAAATAGTTTTTAAGTATTGAGCCACGAAGATGAAACTAGTAAATGACAACTAATGGTTTCCAGTAATTATGTATTGGTTTTGGTTTTTAAAATTATAATTTGGCCTAAGTAGAGCATGGAGGGAAGAGTGAGTGAGTGAGTGAGTGAGTGAGTGAGTATGGTTTTACCCTGCGTTTAGCTATATCACGGCGGGGGACACCAGAAATGGGCCTCACACATTGTACCCCTGTCGGGATTCGAACCGGGTCTTCGGCGTGAGGAGCGAACGCTTTAACCACTAGGGTACCCGACCGCCCCTGGAGGGAAGAGAATACAGTTTAAGATTGAGAAAATATAACACCATATAAAGAAACACAAGAATGCTTTCACCTTGCTCTTGGACAAGATGTACATTTTACAAATTCTAATCGTTATTAATGAGACCAAATTATGTTTTTACAAAATACATATATAGTCACATGTGGCATTGAAGTTTCTTATTTGATATTCCTGCCCAGTAGTGTTCCTTTTGGTGCCCCAGATAGGCCTTAACGATGAAAATCACTTTATACTGGTAAGTCGTTTATACTGGTAAAAAGTCTACCACGTATGTGTGATTTGTGTTTTTGGAAGAGATAAACGTCAGAGGATGCTAGGTCAGGAGAGAAAGTTGCATGGAGAAGTAATTGAAAGCCACTATTTGCAGCTGAAGCAACTGCCACTTGTGATGTGTGCATGTAGCACATTGTACTGAAGCAGTAACTCACCTAAGCGGAGTTTTCCTCCAGTGACATGGCGCTGTGGCATGGCACGACCTCGATGCAGATAGTCAATCATGATGATCCCCTTATTTATTGTATACTGTCACAGAGAACCGAAGTAATGACTTTGCCAACTGACGCCCGTACTTCCTTGTTAGGGATGAGGCCAACTGTTTCCATTGTTTGCTCTGAAGTTTTGACTCTTGATCAAAGTGATGAATTCATGTCTATCCTGGTGTACAAGTGGAATACTGTTGAAAATAAAGATACTGCTGGTAACTGGTCAAAAGGTCCATGGATGTATTTCGTCTGATGAGATTCTCATCTTGTGTCAACATCCTGGGTACCCAGCTTGCCGTCGTGGGGTGTCAGTTAAAATGAACTGTACTGACCCGGGCTGATCCCAATAGTGTCAGCAATATGCCGAATAGCACAACAACCAGGACGAACAGCCCGATGGTTGCCTTTCACTTCAAACCTAATTAGTATGCATAACTAGAAATGTTTATTCAGTAGAAGTAAATTTCCGTGCTACTTCTGCCCCGCTTAAAATATCGCAGCCAATTTTTCAACAGTTGAATATGAGGGGAAGTCACCCCCAAGTGAGTTTGTAATCGTTTCGTGTATATCCTTTGGTGACATGCCTCTTACAACTCGTTTCTCTTGCGGCTTGGGATCTGTAAACATCCTTCCTTTCAGGGCTTATGTGTTGAACAAACATAAGTAACACAAAAACACTTTAGTAATGTTATTTTAATTCAATTTTCATTAAGACCAAAATATTGCACAATATTTCTGTAAAATGTATAATGGAGAACAAATGTCAGCATTATGTTGTAGATAGACATATTATAACATTTTAATTACTACATGTATATTATATTGACGTAAATATAATTTTATGTACACTTTATATATAATGAGTATCGCAACAATATCTGAAAATAGTTGCATTACAATACATTACATTTACATAACAACAAATTCTAAGATCCCGACACAATTTTGTTTGGATTGCAGATGTTGACACCGCGCGAAGTCCAGTACACCCTTGGCGACGTCCAGTACACCCTTGGCGACGTCCAGAACACCCATGGCGACGTCCAGAACACCCATGGCGACGTCCAGTACACCCTTGGTGAAGTCCAGAACACCCTTGGCGACGTCCAGTACACCCTTGGCGACGTCCAGTACACCCTTGGCGAAGTCCAGAACACCCTTGGCGACGTCCAGTACACCCTTGGCGACGTCCAGTACATCCTTGGCGAAGTCCAGAACACCCTTGGCGACGTCCAGAACACCCTTGGCGACGTCCAGAACACCCTTGGCGACGTCCAGAACACCCTTGGCGACGTCCAGTACACCCTTGGCGACGTCCAGAACACCCTTGGCGACGTCCAGTACACCCTTGGCGACGTGCAGTACACCCTTGGCGACGTCCAGAACACCCTTGGCGACGTCCAGTACACCCTTGGCGACGTCCAGTACACCCTTGGCGACGTCCAGAACACCCTTGGCGACGTCCAGTACACCCTTGGCGACGTCCAGTTCACCCTTGGCGACGTCCAGAACACCCTTGGCGACGTCCAGTACACCCTTGGCGACGTCCAGAACACCCTTGGCGACGTCCAGTACACCCTTGGCGACGTGCAGTACATCCTTGGCGAAGTCTAGAACACCCTTGGCGACGTCCAGTACACCCTTGGCGACGTGCAGTACACCCTTGGCGACGTCCAGTACACCCTTGGCGACGTCCAGTACACCTTTGGCATCCCGGTTAACGTGAACTGATGAAGAAGGCAGCAATTCTATGGAGAATCTGAAACACATCAAGCATAGACTTAAAGTCCAGTCTGTTTATATAGTCGAGTTAAATCCGAATGTTATATACATAATTTATAGATGTACACACATCACATTTTTGTCAATAGATTAAGCTGAATATACATACAGCGAAATTGAGTTTTCGTCATGCGAGACCAAATGAATCTTTAACCTAAGAACGCTGACATTTTTAAGTTGGTTATCCATGAGGTCAGGAAACTATCCCAGTTTTTGGCGAAAAAAATAATTACCTTGGAAAGATTCAGTTTTCTGACACTTCACTCCAGGGGTCATCTGTTCATCACCTTGGTCATCCGAGTGGTCATTTATGTCCTCGGTGTCAGGTGCTGGGCGACCAAACGGGCAGTACAGAAGATTCACAGGCCGATTGGAGGGCGTCTGTGGGGTTGCTGGTGCAGCAACGAACATGGACTAAAATGAAATAATCAGTACATCTTATCAACAATATGTTCCAATTCATGGACAGTAACGCGATTTTATTGTTATTATAATTATTATAATTATTATTATTATTATTATTATTGAGAAAAGTAAGGTTAACAAGAAACGCTATTAGAACTGAAAGGAAACTGCAGAATTTGACATACCATTTAACTTGAAGTCAGAATCGTCTATGCAATGTTGTGAGATCGGCCATGGAGACACACTGACACATATGTCGGCTATTCTGTCTTTGTGGCTACAGAAACATTCCGAGCTAATCTGGACACTAGGTTGCCAAAGTCCCTCTTTCTTTGCATCTCTATGTCGTCTGATCAGATGTTTTGTCACGGATTTTGACCTTCCGCTGGATCTGCGTCTTTGCCCGGAGACAGTTTAAATCCACCTCCCAGCTGCCATCCCTGTCCTGCATCTCTGATCACATTATCATTCTTAGCTGCTTTCTGTCCATTCTTTCTTGCATCATTTGAAGATACCCGTGTGCCCGCTATATCGTGAGATCGGCCATGAAGACACGCTGTCAAATACATCGACAATCCTGTACTTGTGTTTACAGAAAGATTCCGAGATAACCTGGACACTAGTGGCCATCATATTCGCCTCATGGACTTTATCCAGCCACTCCTTCACCTTCTCCCTGCCGCTATATCGCCCAACATCCACACACGTGCATGCACGTCGCTATATAAGTGCAATAATCTTGGACGCGACGTTAAACCCAATTTCACCTCACCTCACCTAACATCCGCAACAACTCTCTCCTTTCTTGCATCTCGGAACTTGCGTCACACGTTTCAATGACACGACTCGGTGTTGTGATTTACTGAAGTTAATTGAAACAAAACAACAAAATCAATCAATGAAGCATCACAATTTATGCTTTGACCAAAATTATTTAACTGACCAGAATTATTAAAATGACGGCCAAAAGAATCTTTACCATAATTTTTTATCACTCTAATTTAAAAACCACAAAAGATATATGCATGAAGTAAAATGTATTGAAAACATCAAAACCTCACTGAAATCAACATTTAAATGACAGTCATACAGCAGTTGCCCGAAATGAGGTGGGGCATCTTTGTTTGTTTGTTCGTTGTTTAACGCCGCACTCAGCACTCAGCTATATGACGGCAGTCTGTTAAGCATTGTTCTGGGCTCCTTTTGGAGTTTATTTTTTCATAAATTTATAAATTTGAAACTTTATTTCAGGGACTAAATGTCAGTCTAGGTCTGCAGAGAGAGAAGTCCACGAGTTTCTGAGGCGAGGATAGTCACAGACAAACAGTCCATGACATCACGATAACTCACATATCATGAGTTGTTGCAAAAGACTTTGGTAAAAACATGTGACTCTTTTGCTGACTTAAGGGCTATGATCCATTACAAAGTACCAGTAACTGGTGACCCATGGAACAAACGCGCTATGTTTTCTTCATAACAATGGCTATGTTGAAGGCCGAACACGAATGTGTGCCTGGGGTCGCATAGTTTAAACACACACTGAAAGAATGAAAATCAATCAGTCATTCCTGTCTTTAATTTTAAAAATATATATCTACAGTTAGTTATAAGCCTACAAAATCTACCTTACCGATCAGTTTTTCATATCATATTGCCTATCGCAGGAACGAACGGGAACCAGTCTACTACTACCATTTCTACTGTTGACGTCATAATTGTCTGTCGTCACAGTCCATATGACGTCACAGGAACACACCCAGTAAGTATTATGGGATGCGGTTGCTAGGTGAGAGTCTCTCATTGTTCTGTTGATGCACACATCGTGTATATCAGGGGACAAGATCCATTGGGTATTTGTGTTATTTAAAGTCCAAACTGTATCATCCTCGCCAGTAAAGTAAGTAGTTTACTTGTTGTTACTTCTATTGTAAATCGTAATTTACTAATGTCAATACATGAGAGTATTAATCGCCCGCGGTGATGGCTGGTAGTCCTGCTTTTTTCTGCCTTCAATTTAAAGATAATGGAATCAAGTCGCTGAAAAATACGTACCACAAACAAAAAATATACTAATTGCTATGTTGATGAAAGAAATCACAACACCATTGAACACCATTTTTATTCTTATTACTTTTTATATTTGTTTAGGCGGGTGTTAAAATCATAGAACACACTCACGTTTCAAGTATAAACAAGTTGTTGCTTGTGGTTTACTTTGGTAATTCATGTATGGCACAACTCATAATATATATATGACAGATATAACAAGTTTTATAAAACAAGTTAAATCGTTGGCGCGTCACCCCTCAAAAGAATTTCTTGGTGTCCCCTATCGTGGTATCATTATGGCTGTGGCTATTCGGAAAACAGCGTAAAAGAACAACTTAATGACGCTTGACATAAAGAGAATATCTTAACATGCAAATTTGAAATTAGCTACTCTATCATATTAATGCAGGCGAAACCAGTGAATATCAATGAATATACATTTCTAAGATGTCATGCTACAAACAAGGAATAGCCAATTTAACATGCAAACAATGTCTTCGTTATAGGATGCCACGTATATTTTACATACCCCTTGACGACTTTGAACCATTACCGAAATGGATGAAAGACTGTCAACTTGGAAAGTCGAGGAAAGTGGGTGGCGGTGAAGGAGAGTCAGAGAGAATTATGAAGAAAGGGAGAGAACGAAAGACAAGAGGAAGTAGGAAAGAGATGGACAGAATGACGAGGTATGAGGAGAGCATGAAGAGGAAGGAGAAAATGGTGAAGGACGATAGAAGGAAGATCATGATGGCAGCTGTTCCAGAGAAAACACGGGTATCTTTAAATGAAGCAAGAAAAAATGGACAGAGAGCACCTAAGAATGATAATGTGATCAGAGATGCAGGAAAGAGGTGGCAGCTAGGAGATGGATTAAAACTGGCTGCGGGGAAAGAGGCAGACTACAGTGGAAGGTCAAAGTCCGTGAAGAAAAATCTAAGCAGACGACATAGAGATACAAGAAAGGAGAGAGTTGTTGTCGAGGTGGAGCGAATTAGCGGCAATGAGAAGGTGAAGGAGTGGATGGATAAAGTCCATGAGGCGAATATGATGGCAACTAGTGTGCAGGTTAGCTCGGAAACTTTCTGTAACCACAAGGACAGAAATGTCGATCTATTTGACAGCGTGTCTCCATGGCCGATCTCACGATATTGCATAGACGATTCTGACTTCAAGTTAAATGGTATGTCAGATTCTGTAGTTTCCTTTCAGTTCAAACAGCGGTCCTTGTGACCCTTTCCTTTCTCAATAATATTGAAATAGCGTTACTGTCCATGAATTGGAAGATGTTGATAAAATGTACTGATTATTTCATTTTAGTCCATGCTCGTTGCTGCACCAGCGACCCCACATACGCCCACGGCTTTGGTCAGCAGCCTGTCGATCTTCTGTACTGCCTGTTTGGTCGCCCAGCACCGGACACCGAGGACATCAATGACCACTCGGATGACCAAGATGATAAACAGATGACCCCTGGAGTGAAATGTCAGAAAACTGAATCTTTCTGGAATCGATTTTCCGAGGTAATTGGGTTTTTTCGCCAAAACCTGGGATAGTTCCCTGTCCTCATTGATAACCAACTTAACACTATGAGGGTTCTTAAGAAAAAGGTTCTTTTGGTCTCACATAAACAAAAACTAAATTTTACGTTATGTATACCACGGACGTGTTATATAAACTAATTTAGGTCCGTGTGTATACTTAGCTTAATCTATTGACATTAATGTGTTTTATGTACATCTGTAAATTCTTCGGGCTTTAACTAAACAGCATAGACTTGAACTTAAATGCTTGCTTGTGTGTTTCAGGTTCTTCATAGAATTGCGAACACCATACGCACCATGTGAACACCGTGCTTGTTGTCAACATGTGTAAACCAAACAAACCTTAGACCGCTTTTTAGAATGTGTTTTAGGCATATGTCCATTTAAAACATATTGCTGAAATTAACTCCATTATTTATTTATTAGCTGTATACATAAAACCTTTTTTCGTCAATATAATACATTTACAAAACTTTATTTTGTTGGTTGTATTTGTTTAAACCATTGGGAGTCAATGGGGAAGCCTAATTGTTAAAGCGATGGCTCGTCACGCGGAAGACCCGGGTTCGATTCCCCATATGGATACAATGTGTGAAAACATTCCCCAAACCTGATATGGCTGGAATATTGCTAAAAGTGGTATAAAACCCTCTTAACTTCCGCCTACTCACACATAAGTCATACAACGATGCCCTGTACATAATTGGACCCGAGTCTGACGAACCAATTCATGAAACCACTGGCAACAATCCACATCCAGATATGACAACACACAATAAGCCTGACCACACAGTTGACTCTTAGACAAACCTAAGCTAGTGAGGACCTATTCGCCCCATGCACGGGATACCAGTGTAGCGGATTTAATAGACGTTTAGGTTTTAAAAGGACATATATATATATACTCACACGCAAAAGAAACGCAAGTCGAGTATGCAGTATACATGTTATTTATTTTCAACAGTAAAGACAAGAAATACTAATAGGGCGAGATTGACAAAAAATTGACTAAAGACAGTTTAATGGATTAAAAGGCAGATGACATAATTGTTTTTTTAAAAATGTTAAGGGCTTACACAGTTTCGAGTCAATACCCAAAATGTCAGTCAATACCTGGTGTGACCACCATTAGCATCGATCACTGCCACACATCTCTTGTACACTGAGTGGATCAGACGATTTGTGAAGACCCTACATGCATACATCCAGAGCAGCTGTGTGTAGTTCATCGGCAGTTGTCGGGACTGGGCGCACGTTGTGCAGACGCCTTTGAACCTCATCCCACAAGTGTTCGATGGGGTTCAGATCAGGGCTGAGGGCTTGCCACGGTAGAACACGGATGTTGTGTTGTTGCAGAAAGGCCATGGTAGCTCTGGCAACATGGGGACGATCGTTGTCCTGCTGGAAAATGTGTTGTTGATGTGCAAAAATGGAACACCGTGGGGTCTGATCACTTGGTCGATATACCGCTGAGCAGTGACGACGTGTCCCCGACCTTGACCAACATTCAGAAAGCACATAGGTCCAAGTCTCGCATAAATTCCAATCCCTGCCCATATCATGACGCTAGGTCCACCCCATGGATCCCTTTCCACAACGTCTCTGTCAGCGAAACGATCACCTCGACGCCGCCACATTCTGACTCTTCCGTCTGCATGGGAGACACAAAAGCGACTTTCATCAGAGAAGATGACACGCCTCCTCACGATGACGCCAATTGCGATGACCCTGTGCCAACTGAAGTCGTGCTTGTCGGCGACATCTGAGGTTGTTGGAACGGAGACGTCGGATCACAGAGTCCCGGCTAATGTGTCGATCATGTGTTCTTATGGTCTGTCGAGCACTTTCACTTGCAGTTAGGAACGGATGTCGCTGGTGTTGACGGGTAATCTGCCGATCTTGTCGAGGTGTGGTCACCCTAGGACGACCGCTCCGAGGAAGGTCATCTGTGGTCTGTGTAGCATTGTATCGATGCAGGATACGGTAAATTGTGGTTATGTTAACGTTGAAATGACGGACCAAGGGGTGGTAGGTCCAAGAATCGGCCAGAGTTTTATACCCACTACAGTTCGTGACAGTTCGTGCATTTTCGATTTCGCGAGAAATGGGTGCATGATACCCACATATTCATTGAAATGGTGCGTTTTGGCGATTCGTTTTTTATGTTGCGTTTTTACTCGGGGCTTCCAAAATGCAACAAAAAAATATTGATAACACCATCAGGCCTCACTACATGCTAATACTCGTATCAATTTATGGTTCCGTGTTTGTTACCTATTTGCTTAAACCACTTGCGTTTCTTTGCGTGTGGGTATATAATAGTACAAGAAAACTTTGTATAATTTGAGAACCACACATACATTGATACATATTGCTAAAAGTGCTATAAAACCCTCTTAACTTCCGCCTACTCACACATAAGTCATACAACGATGCCCTGTACATAATTGGACCCGAGTCTGACGAACCAATTCATGAAACCACTGGCAACAATCCACATCCAGATATGACAACACACAATAAGCCTGACCACACAGTTGACGCTTAGACAAACCTAAGCTAGTGAGGACCTATTCGCCCCATGCACGGGATACCAGTGTAGCGGATTTAATAGACGTTTAGGTTTTAAAAGGACATATATATATATACTCACACGCAAAAGAAACGCAAGTCGAGTATGCAGTATACATGTTATTTATTTTCAACAGTAAAGACAAGAAATACTAATAGGGCGAGATTGACAAAAAATTGACTAAAGACAGTTTAATGGATTAAAAGGCAGATGACATAATTGTTTTTTTAAAAATGTTAAGGGCTTACACAGTTTCGAGTCAATACCCAAAATGTCAGTCAATACCTGGTGTGACCACCATTAGCATCGATCACTGCCACACATCTCTTGTACACTGAGTGGATCAGACGATTTGTGAAGACCCTACATGCATACATCCAGAGCAGCTGTGTGAAGTTCATCGGCAGTTGTCGGGACTGGGCGCACGTTGTGCAGACGCCTTTGAACCTCATCCCACAAGTGTTCGATGGGGTTCAGATCAGGGCTGAGGGCTTGCCACGGTAGAACACGGATGTTGTGTTGTTGCAGAAAGGCCATGGTAGCTCTGGCAACATGGGGACGATCGTTGTCCTGCTGGAAAATGTGTTGTTGATGTGCAAAAATGGAACACCGTGGGGTCTGATCACTTGGTCGATATACCGCTGAGCAGTGACGACGTGTCCCCGACCTTGACCAACATTCAGAAAGCACATAGGTCCAAGTCTCGCATAAATTCCAATCCCTGCCCATATCATGACGCTAGGTCCACCCCATGGATCCCTTTCCACAACGTCTCTGTCAGCGAAACGATCACCTCGACGCCGCCACATTCTGACTCTTCCGTCTGCATGGGAGACACAAAAGCGACTTTCATCAGAGAAGATGACACGCCTCCACTCACGATGACGCCAATTGCGATGACCCTGTGCCAACTGAAGTCGTGCTTGTCGGCGACATCTGAGGTTGTTGGAACGGAGACGTCGGATCACAGAGTCCCGGCTAATGTGTCGATCATGTGTTCTTATGGTCTGTCGAGCACTTTCACTTGCAGTTAGGAACGGATGTCGCTGGTGTTGACGGGTAATCTGCCGATCTTGTCGAGGTGTGGTCACCCTAGGACGACCGCTCCGAGGAAGGTCATCTGTGGTCTGTGTAGCATTGTATCGATGCAGGATACGGTAAATTGTGGTTATGTTAACGTTGAAATGACGGACCAAGGGGTGGTAGGTCCAAGAATCGGCCAGAGTTTTATACCCACTACAGTTCGTGACAGTTCGTGCATTTTCGATTTCGCGAGAAATGGGTGCATGATACCCACATATTCATTGAAATGGTGCGTTTTGGCGATTCGTTTTTTATGTTGCGTTTTTACTCGGGGCTTCCAAAATGCAACAAAAAAAATATTGATAACACCATCAGGCCTCACTACATGCTAAAACTCGTATCAATTTATGGTTCCGTGTTTGTTACCTATTTGCTTAAACCACTTGCGTTTCTTTGCGTGTGGGTATATAATAGTACAAGAAAACTTTGTATAATTTGAGAACCACACATACATTGATACATAGGTTAGAACTTTCTTCATGTTTTGGAACAGGTGCATGGAAGTCTGACGGAGCCAGATGAGAATACGATTGGTGCTGGAGGAGTTCAAAGCCACACTCGTTGGTTACAGCCATGGCAATGCCTGATCTGTTCACTGGCGCAATGTCCTGATAGAAGAGCACACCTTTGGCAGCTTCCTACGTCTCTTGGTCTTAATCTCATCCAGTAATGCCATGACTTTTGACATAAGGTTGTTATAACTTTTCCAGCTGATGTCTTTGCCAGTTTTCGGTGGTGGTGATGCCAAATGCTTCCACTGTTTTGATTGATGTTTGGACTCGGGCTGGAAGTGGTGAACCCACTTTTCATATCTAGTGACAAATTGTTGTAAGAACCTACTGGGTGGGCTTCAAACAGTTAGATTATCGTGAGACATGTTGTGTGTGTGGATATAACTCTATGGTATTCGTGCATCGAAATATATCAGTATTACGCAATTCCTTCTACGTGAGGCTCAGAACCTATCACTCAACCCTCGTAGTGAGTGAGTCAGGTTTAATGCCGCTTTTAACAGTATTCCAGTTATATCACGGCGTGTCAGCCTAATGTGGGAGGAAAGCCCGAAGTGTTGCAGGTCTCAGACGTTTACCACTTTGGTGAAACCCATGAGCACAGGTATGGTGCTGACGAACCAAGAAACATAATCGTGGCGAACCGGGGTTCGCATCCAACAAGCCCATGGGACCTATCTTCAAATTCTTGTCATGAAAAAAAAGAAACGGTACAAGATGCATAAATAATTTTAATGGAGGAAATAATTTATATGACATTCCTTCATGCATATCAACATCAAACACACTGACAATATCTGCATAACCTTCTGATCCTTTCAAACCCCTTAATAACTATTTGAAGAAATGTCATCATGTCTCAACATACAACATTGGTGGATAATTGCATCTTGACCAGGAAAACAATTTAATCACCAACAAAGCCTGGCACATTGACCAGCTTACAGTGTAACTGTGATTTCATAAACAATGGCCAAACAGTTCACAGAGATCCATATTTTTCCCCCATAAAAAACCAGGACTCATGTCTTTTGCCAAAACACATTTTTCATAAGGTCCCAATCTTTCCCAATCTCATTAAAATCAGACATTAGTTCTGGCTGCCGCTAAACAAAGATCTGAGTAGATCCCATTACGGGTCACGTCAGACCGACCTTTGACCGACCAAAAGAATGACCAATCAGAAGGCAGCTTTCTCTTGCTTCACGGCACTAATTTCAAATTGGCGACTACGCTTCGAAACATATTTTGACAAATTCTCGATTACAAATTTGAAACCTAAACAAAAGAACACTCTGGAATGGCTAATAGATGGTCTAGATTGTATGGATTCAGTTGTTAAACCTGTAACTATCATTCGGAATACACGTGTTAAAGTTTTCGAGGTTGTATGATTAGAAATCACATTCCGACTGCCACTTTCTTGATCTGGTAAGCGACGCTCTCATTGGTCAGATGAAAGGTCGTTCTGACGTGGCCCCTAATGGGATGTCTTCAGATCTTTGTTTAGCGGTAGTGAGAACTAAGGTCTGATTTTAATGAGATTGAATCTTTCCCTGTTAATGTTAACAAATTAGAATCTAAAAAAGCAACATTTTCATCACTGGTTTATACTCCATCAACCAGCTGGTCATTTGTGAACAATAGTTCCAGCAATTGTGAAGGTGTGCCACAGGTGCCAACTTTCTCCTTGCCTGACATTTGCAAGTGAATGTATTGCACATAAGCCCATGCTTGGAATAACTTAAATTCTTGAATGTGTCCAGTAACTGAAGAGGAAGATGTGGTCACTTCTTGGATGCGTCCAGTAACTGCAATGGTACAAGAGCTCTCACTTTGCTTGTCTCTCCAACATACCCACTGACAATCATTTCATCCAGCACCATGTGTACGCGTTCTGTATTTGACACAATCTGGTTACAGTGTTAAGGCAAAGTTTATCAATGTCACCTTGAGGCCTCAAATATTTTGATGTTCAAGCTGAGGTGAAAAGGGGTTGTAAGTCACGTTCAAGATTGTTGCACTTATATACAGCGACATGCATGCACCTTTGTGTATGTGTGTGTGCCCTTTTGTAGTTGCCCGGACTAGTGCCGATTTTATGGTGCTAGCCCACTGAGATACAATGCTGCAGTTTAACATGAATACCCTCCTCAGATAAAGTATACTGACTCAGAGCTGACAAGTCCTTGTGGCCTCCTTAATGCCGAGTGCCAGTAAGGGTAAAACGTACCATCGTCTTCTTTCCGCTCTACCACTAGCAAACATATGATCAAGATCTGGCTTTGGAAAGGATGTATTAAATAACAGGATTTTAGATCATTTTATTTTTTCTAGTACATTGTCAACCAAAATGTCCTAAAGCTACTTTGATACCGTCAAATCAAAATTTGCTAAAATTATGAAAATTTAATGCAAATTCACTGTAGTAATCTGTATTATATAGTGTTGCTAACCCCCGACCTCAGCTCTCTGGGCAGATGCCCTATCCACTAGACCACAGAGGCGGACGTTTTGATGTTCAAGTATGCTTACCTCATACCACAACTTCATTTAAAAAGTCAAATTAAAGAATGTTTTGGATTAAAATAATAATAATAATAATAATAATAATAACAAGCATGAAATACTCACATCCCCCGCCAATATGACATGTTGGGTGTGTGCAATGCATTAGCTCCTGTGAACTATGTTCACTGGGCCTTTTTGTAAATGGCCTAATTGCAGCACTAAAAAAAAGTTATTACTGGTGTTGTTTTTCCATCTGCAGTTTATGATAGAATATGTTACTGAATTTGTAATGAGTAAGGATAAGACATATGGACGAACAACTTCTTTATTTATTACAATTAGGAGCGATGGTTTCGGTGTAGGTTCTAACACCATTATCAAGCAAGTGAAGTACAGAATATGGTTGACAAGAATATATATTGTTTATACAGTTGAGTAGGTTTAAGATCAGTTACACTGTTGTATTTGTAATGAGTTGTGTTTCTGTATGAAGTTGGTCAGTGAATGCAACAACTGTGTCCATGACACTTTTGGAGGAACATACACTCAAGCAATGCAGAACTTACCGACAAGAAAGGAAATGTATTCAATACTGTGAGATGACATTATGTGCCAAATTTTGTACGGTTTTCAAGATCTGCTCCGGAAACGAGGACTACCGCCATTTTCAGTCTAAATCAAAGTCGTTGCCATGGAAACTCGAAAAGTAATTTTTTTTAAAATCCCAAACAATCAAAAGGCACCATATCACCACTAGATCTATCTATGTGCCAAGTTTGGTGAAGAAATATGGTACGGTTTTCAAGATCTGCTCTGGAAACTAAATGTGACGGACGGCTGGATGGCCGGACGGAAGGACGGCACCCATTCCTATATCCCCCTTCCACTTTGTGGCAGGGGATAATAATAATAATAATAAATTTCAAATTCAATTCCCCCTCACTAAATGTCTTATTTGGCATAGGGCTACTTTTCATTTCTTTTGATGATGAAGATGATTCCTGCACGAGCCAAGTGTAGAGTTTTCAGGAATTGCATCGTGTATCAAATCATGACCTTACTGTCGAGATATATCGAATCACAATGCATATTGTTAGTCCTATATGCAAAGATTTGTTTTATTCATTAACATTGCCTAAGCTTAAACTAGTTTATTCAAAGCTAAAGATAAGCAGCGTATTTGCATAAAATCTGTAAAATAAATCAGCATAACCCAATTATTCTTGAGTTGCTTGCATACAAATATGCATGAATAATTCCCAAAACCAAAATTATAACAACACTGAGTAATTACCATGCAACATGTGACATACTTGGGATAGCACATTATTAGAGGCAAATTAGAAGTCGTCTTAAACATTTTAAGCTCAAACATATTTTTTCAAAAAAAGGTCTATTAATTGGTAACAAAATACCCAATAAGACTTGACTCATGGGAGAAACATAATATTGAATACCCAAACCAAAGTACCAATACCCAGTGTGATGGGAAATATTTGAGTAACTACTCAATGACTCAAACTATTATTGTTAGCCCTGTTTGTTGTTTGTCTTTCAAACAATGTGGTGTTGTGTTCCTCCATCAGAAAAGCCTTATGTTTACATGTTTATGTGTTTACTGTCATAAGTGTACATTATGAAGCCAGACACCAGGTAAGGACTTGTTATTAAATAGGCTATTGGGCCAGATTTTGGTTTGCAAGGATACATCTACCTCGGTCTGAAACAGAAGAAAAGATCAGATTTTAGACACTGTAGCGCAACGGGTACATGTTCATTCAGAGCTGCAAAACAAAGTTAACTGGGTGTGAACCACACAAATGCAAAGCTAGGATTCAACCTTAATAAACACAAGCTCTTCCAGGTAAATATAAACAATATAACTAAATATTTTAAGGAACTTGAACATACTTAATGCAATAGTAAGAAAAGTTACCTGTAGTAATAATCAAAATACTTTACGTGAATTTATTGTTTCGGTTGAAGGAAATAGCTAAAAATTGGAGTTCACTCTTGCAAGAGCCAGAAAAGCTTTGAATTATTTCATGATACACCGGTAGAATTCAAAAACATGATCTCTGAATCCAAGAATCATGATCACACAATTCCAACTCTAGAAGCCAATATTCATAAAGACATAATCATGGTGAGCATATCATTACCAATAAAGGCTATTCATCATACTCCTTGTGAAGTTATGTGAACTGCAATACTTTGTATTCAACCTGGATATCTGGGTAAGACTTCTTCATATGACAAACATTAGAACCACTTACAACTTTCTGAAAATACTGGTCCAGAGTTTCCAAGATATTCTGCATCAGTTCCAACACTGCCAGCTCATTCTGAAGAGGGAAGAGAGTTCACTACACAGATTTCTACATTTCAATAAATTTATAATAACTTAGCATGATTAGGTGAAAATATATACCTGTTCGTCTGGCACAGTTGGCATCAATAGTTGCCCACACAACATGACAGTCTGTAATGTCTGCCATTTTTAAATACAGAATTTGATACAGGCGCATAAGTCGATAGGCCATGAGTACCTGCATCAGCCAACACAAAGCGAGGCGACTGTAATCAGTCACGTAACCGGCGAAAGGACCAAAAGGCTTTATGTAGATTTGTAGCCATTTGCTAAAACCTGTCTGGGCAGAAGTGTAATATTTCGCAAAGTTGCAGAGGGGACAACAAAAGATGATAAAGTATCTTCGGTCAAAATACACAATCCAAATCAATGCCATAGCCGGAGCTGCCGTGTCAAAACTGCCAGAGGCAGAAGCAGGGGAGGCAGGACAATCAATTAAATCCTCCTCTGGCTATGGGTCCAAAGAAGAAGTAGGTGCGACTGTTGATGTCGTCGGCTGAAAAGAAGCCGGAACAGAAATTAGTGTATCCGTAGGAGGACCCACCTGAGGGAGGCACGCTGATGTCACAGCTTGTAAGAGAGACTGAAGTTGCTGCCCTCAGATGGAGGTAAAATCATTAGGAGTCCATGAGGTTGGAAGTATCTGTTTTGAAGAGTGTAGTGTCACCTGAGGATCTGGTACAGTCACGGTAGGCGGATGTCGAACTGGAGGCGGTGACAGGAAACCCAGGTAATCCGGGTAAGCAGTGTCATAGGAGTACCCATGGGGTGAAGGAATCCATACACTGTGGAAAGCATTCCCAACCATGCGCCAGGTTTGCGGAGGCATTATACAAGGTGAGGTGAAATGGGGTTTAACGTCGCGTCCAAGATTATTGCACTTATATAGCGACGTGCATGCATGTGTATGTTTGTGTGTGGCTGCTTGTACTAGTCCGGACTGATGCCGATTTATAGTGCTAGCTCACTGAGATACCATGCCGCAGTTTAACATGAATACCCCACTCAGACACAGTATACTGACTCCGAGCCGACCAGTCCTTGTTTTAGCCCCTTAATGCCGAGCGCCAGACAGGGTAACAACAAGTACCATCTTTTAACGTCTTTTGGTATGACGCGGTCGGGGATCGAACCCCGGACCTTCTGCTCACCGGGCGGACGCTCTACCATTAGACCACGGAGGCGGTCAGGCATTATACAAAGCAAGGTTCCAAGGAAATTCTTGTCATTAATGATGATAGGCATAAGAACGAGAAAGATCATGTAGCCAAGAGTCAATGTGACTAGAAGATGAGGAATGAGCCAAATGTGATGAGTGTCCATTAGAGTAGGTATAAACTTCATCTTCCGAACCGATAAGTGAGTAGTCTGAAGTGTTTCTGCGTGAGAGACAATGGGTAATGATTTTTGGAAGAGTAACACGCTGAAAACAGCATGCAGGTAAGCTGCAGTGACTGCGGCAATCTGAACAGACATCATGGGTTTGGAAGGAGATAAAAAAAAACGTTGACAAGTTAGGCATGCAGACGCGTGGCCGTTCATCCATATTGAAAAAAGACGACCAAGAAGAAGAAAGTCTCAAAATTTTCAAAGAGGGAAAATTGGAAAAAAGAGAAAAGCCAAATGGATTATCTTGCAAGATGTATATCACAACACCATGGTGATTAGAAAGAGAATGAGCTAGCTTGGGAAATCACATGTTCAGCGCATGTAGGTCGACCAACATGAAAAGCGTACATGACCCAGATTATTGGGAAGTGACCATGGTGACGCTAGGTGTTTTCATGTCAATTGTTTTTTGAAGTTGGAAACCTGTGTTTAGGCACGTTTCATCTAAAGATCAATAGAATGAGATATGCATAGTGTGAGATAGGATAAGTTTAATAATTATAACAAAACTCTATGCCATAAGCTCACCTGGAACTTCAAGTGGGCATGAGTGAATTGGATTTAATTAACAGGTCTTTTCCAGTATTTCAGTTCGGTCGCTGTATGTGAATGAGAGAATGAGCGTTTGTTGTTTAACACAGCACTCAGCAGTATTCCAGCTATAATTCAGCGGTCTGTAAATAATCAAGTCTGGCCCAGACAATCCAGTGATTGACATAATGAGCATCAATCCACGCAATTGGGATATGATGACATGCATCAACCAAGTCAGCGAACCTGACCACCCGATCCCGTTAGTCTTTCGACAAGCATTGTCACTTTTAACGGCAAGCATGGGTTGCTGAAGACCTATTCTACCCCGGATCTTCATGGGTCCTGCATGTACTACTACGGTGAAACCAATGGGCACATTTGTTTGGTGAAGAGTGACCAAATTAATTGCCAGTTTTCATAAAGAGTTTGTCTTGTCATAATATTCATACTGGGAGGCAGATGATAAATCATGTCCTTGTAATCCTAGTGTTTCAGTGACAGTGAAACCTGAAACTTACCTCATCTGGTGTTACAGCAGATATCATATACAGGCTCACATACTTCCTGTACACTATTGTCAGGTCCTTCAGCTCAAAAAAGTTGCACTGAGGAAAATAGATATAAAAAGGAATAAGTACTACATTGAGGAGTACTAACCTACTATTAAGATTATTATTTCATTCCTCTTAATGTATCTTATGTTACAATTTGTATACATTATCTGACATAAAGGATTTAGGTCCAAATAATATACAAGCCCATGAATTAATTTTGTGTGTCCGCAGGCACCAAAAGTTAACGTTTCAATCACAAATTAAATTCTGTTGTGTGGTGACAACTTGTGCTTTGTGCTCTAGCTAAAAATTTAAACACAAACATTTGAAACTTTTAATAATATCTCATGATTACACTAGAGAAGTGGGAAAACTTTTCCCACACATAGATCCCTCACTCTGGTGTTAGATGAAATAACTTAATTGGATGAAAGGTGAATCATGTAATTTACCTGTTTTTCAGATCTTTCCATGACACTCTTAATGATACTGGCTTGCAACTGATTCCTCTCTCTTAAGCATATGTGTTGGAAATACCTGCAAGTAGATTGTTTGGAAACCATACATTTCATTTAAACATGCATGGGTAACCATGCTAACTGCTCATTGTGCTTGGCACTTGCCAATGAGGACAATTAGGTTGAGATAGTCATGTTGACCTTTGACATAACTGGTGAGTAAATAAGAAGAGGTACAACTTTATAAAAGTAGTATGTTTCATTCCAGTTTGACAACAGTGTAAGAATCTAAATCGAAATGTCACTAAATGCAATAAACCAGAAGTTTTTATCCATATAATTGTAGTTTTCTACTGATTGGTGTCAAAGGTACTGTTTATTTACAATAAATATATCAATACGAACCAATTCCTTCTTTTCCATTTAGATTGGGAAGATATTTGATGGCATGATTTTATTTGAAGATTAGAATTCATAATTTATAATCATAGTCAGTATACAAGTGTCTTAGGTTAAATGCAAGAGGCAAAAACAAATCTTAGTTTTAATAACTCATTAACTGAGTCATGTTTTGCCCGAGTTCTGCCTGTTATATGTACTGTAGTAACAGTTTGATTTGCATTCTAGAAGGTGAAGTTCAGTATATGTGTGCTATTTGTTATCTATTATCTGTTGCTGTTAAGTTTAATCTTCTGTTTTTATCACAACATATCATGCACATATAACTCTGATCACTTGGTCATATTCACTCCAGATTGATAATCATGGAAGAAAAATCTACATTGAAATGTCCCTATATGTAATAAACCAGACGTTGTTATCCATGAGGTTGTATGTTTTCTTACAGGTTAAGTTTTGCTTATGACTAAGATCTACTTTGTTTCATTCAAACAAATGACTTTGAAAATGAGAAATCTTCCAATTTTCATTTGAGCTAGTTCTCCAAATGTGTTTCATATGTTAACATATAATATTAAAGACTTAAACAATGATTCATAATATACTGGTAATCATGTTATTGGACACAGTAAAATAATGTGACCTTTGTATTTCTTATCTTTCATTGGCTAAATGAATAACAGGGTAGTTCTCTTGCTTTGAACACAGAACGTAACCACCAGTATCAACAATACCTGGAAAGCCTAAGCACCCCCTGCTTATTAATAATGTAGAGAAATTTAATCATCGTGTTTAGTCAGTGATTCTGATGATTCATGTCATTCCATCTGACAAAGGATCCACGGGGCTTATCTAGGGTGAGATCAATGTAGCCAGACACCTCTCCACTACCGTCAGGTCACTCTAACCCTCGGGCATTTTCCGTATCGACCATGGCCCTCGTCTTATCTCGTGGCTAACAGGCGCTGTTGTTGCATTTAGATCTATCACTCAACATTCCGGTGCTAGCAAGAGAAGTGAACATGCATCACGGGCTGTCAGTCAACGAAATGAACGCCAGTGGAGGAGGTGAAAGATAATCTTGGGATTCCTTGATTTTCTTGAATGACGTCATGACTTGATCAGCGCCCCCTTTCCCAAAATGGAAATATTCTACTTGTCCAACAACTAGTTATTGATATCTACCCTGTTGCGAACATTCATTGTTTAGTTAATATAAGTTTGGAATCAGCGTGGCTTCATTAACTGACATTGTTTGTAAACAGGAACAAAAGTTAGATAATATTTAATTATATATCAAATAATATATTATGCTTAAATGCCATTAGTTCCCAATACAACCGTTTGTATATTTCTACATTTTTCTACATACGGTCCATTCATGTTTATGCTGAACGTACTATGATTGTAGTTTGATTGCATGGTGTTCCAGATAATTATGAAGATTTGATATGGAGACACCAGATGCAGGTTAAAAGGAAAACAGGAAAGAGACGTTATACATCGCCTTTGTGTTAGGAAATGGCAGAACCATGTTCAACTATATAAATAGTATTGTTCTGTTGCCTTCATTTGAAGACAACCCGCTTTTAATTACTGCGGCCTCATTGTGTTTCTTTCTGCGCACAGAAAATTTAAGTATTTCTCAAGTTAAATGTTTTCACAGTTTTCGTTGTAAAATGGTTCGTCATGCGAATAATATACTGATTTAATGACAATCGTTATGATTTTGAGTATTAAGTGTACATTAGACTGCTATAATCGGAATACCCCGTAAACCCTATGAGAAGATATTCCGGGTCAGAATTGGACTCCAGTATATCACATGTTGGTCGAAAGACTACTTGACCTGACTGAATATGTGTCAAATATGGATAAGAATTTATGGATGAACAACTTCTTTATTACTATTAAGAGCGACGTTTCGGTGTAGGTTTTAACACCGTTATCAAGCAAGTGTTAGAACCTACACCGACACGTCGCTCTTAATTGTAATAAAGAAGTTGTTCATCCATAATTCTTATCCTTACTTAGTACTCCTAAACTTCTAAATGCCTATCAAAGAAATGAATATGTGTCATCGTGACCCGACGGTGTGGGACGGTGCTCTTAATATCAACCCCTGGTTTGTCTGCCACAGGCTTGGCTATTTTAAAAGGCCACAGTGATGTCGTTGGAAAATATTGTTGATCTTTGTTTTGTGTGGCGGTAACCAACATTTACCTGTTTGGTGAAGCCGTTACGGTGTTGTCAGGTCAAGAGTCATAATCAGGGCGAATTTGATGACCAAGTCCACGACCAGATGGTATTGTTTTAAGCAATTCAGTTGAATATATTTTAATATTGGATAAAGCTGAAGTATTTGTGAATTGGTGCTTAGGATATGACTAAATGTCACTGACGGTAATGTTGACACTGGTTGTGTCGAAGTACTTGTAATATATGCGTGAAAATGTGAACTTTACGAATACAGTTTATGTTAACTGTGGTTCACTAGTTCCTGAATTGAAGGGCATTATTTTATCTTATCGCCTATCCTTTAGTGGTAAATATATTTTGCCAGCAGACTGAGTCTGTCGCCCAGACTCTATATTTAGAGAGAAAAAAATAACATCCATTTTAAGTCTAGAATTTAAGGATTGTTCTGAGCTCCATTTGGATTTTATTATTTTGCTTTTGTAGATATATTTTTTAAATAAGAGAACTTTATTTTTGGGACTACATGTTACTCTGAACAGACTGCAGTTTATAAAACAGGTGAAAAGAACTAGTCGTCGCACTAGTAGCTTCTAGTCTTGAGAAAGCAACTTGTAATGGCGGCCATGCGAAGATGATCGAAGACGGTCCAGGTTCTCAACACGGCGGCCAGGTCGGCCCAGGATCAGGAATAAGCATCGGCATGGTCACTAAACAACAACAAGATGGCGAATCGGTCCAGAGACCACAATATTCCATGCCTGGGATTTTACATTTTCTGCAAACGGAATGGGCTCGTTTCGAGATGGAACGATCGCAATGGGAAGTCGAAAGGGCTGAACTTCAAGTAAGTTTATAAAGTGATCTGGGGATCATTGCATAACCATTAACATGTCATGGTTTAGAATGTGTTTGTAGATTCGTTATGTGTGCATAAGAGAGTGTATATTAAACTCCGATCGATTGTCTGCAGATGTTTTTCTGAGTTTGACAAGTGCAGAATTTTCCGCCATCTTGGAAAATGGCGTCCATTCCATTCATAAGTCATAATGAGCCGACGTAATTAGTATGACTAAATCGCTTTACTTTAAGCCAAAAAAGTGTGACAGTCTAAATATTTGCATCGTTTTTGTATACCTGAGACAATTATCTGAAGTTTTTCACTGTTAGGATGTTAGTTTTGGTCAGATTAATGTACAGCTGGAGATGTTGACATGTTTTGGCAACTGTCAGATCGCAGGAATCTGGCCTAAGTTCATAGTCCATTGTCAACACAGGTGCAAATAAGTCTTAAGGGTGTTGCTCATTTGGAAAAAAGGGTTGAATTGCAGCGGTCGCATGATGGAATGCTTGTTCGTTATGACAGAGCATAGTCAATGTTATGTTGATATTTTTTACGATTATGCTACTGGTGAAAATACACGAAATCACAAAGAATAGCACGTGACGTTTGGGACATTGATTCTTTTATTTGACATTTGTTGCAGCCCAAATTATCATGACAAGACAGTTTTGCATTCACTGATAGTATAAGTACTTGACCACTTGTGCTGTTTTTCTTAGACTTTTAAATAGGTTTTGGAAGGCATGTTCTGAAATAACACACCTTACTTTATGAATGAGATGTCTTCTACTCAGAAATCGCCACTGATCATAGGGCTCAATTTAAGAAGAAAATGTGACCTGCACTAAGTATATGCTCAGATGCAAAGCTTGTTCCAGCAGATAAGAATAAGTTACACCAATAGCCTAATGAAGCAGATATAAACTCATCTCAGATCAGAAATGTTTGTTTTGAAATCAGTCAGTTTCCATTGCACCTCACAAAGCAAAGACAATTACTTGATGAACCATACTGCCCCATTACTGTTCTTTTCACTGCTTCAAAAGTATGTGTAAATGCAGGCTACGTTTGTCAGACAAACATTTGTAAATTTTGACATGCATTGGGCAGGTTGGGTGCAACTGCAAGTACACATGCAAGTTTGACTACATTAAACTCTGTACCATTTGTGACAAGCAATTTTAAATCATTATGATTCAAAGTAAAATAAATTAATGGTTGTGCCATTTCATCATTTGATCATATGGGAGTAGTACGCTTTAACAGGCTCACTTTGTTGGATTTCAATTAGCGCTGCGTGGAGGATGGCAACCATTTTGTCAGCAGGAAGCTAAGCTAGATTAAGAGTTAGTGTTATTAGCAAACACCTACCAAGGGACCACAAGCGCTATCACACATAATTAGTACTCGTTTACCTAGTCATCAGCACCCGATTATTTATCTTTAAATGCATGCACACTAGCCATATTCTCAGTGAAACTTGATAAAAAATGTACAGTGTTTCCTCAAATTGCATTGAATCAATTTTTTAAAAGAGATGGATAACCTATACACTACCTCACAACTTACCCTAATGATCATAAAGAGGTGTTTGATTGGCAAGGGGTAGCCAACCCTAATGATCATGAAGGTGGAAAGGTGTACCTTATCCTAATGATTGTAAAGGGGTGCTTGATTGGAAAGGGGATCCAAGGGCTAAGGATAGTTAGGGGTAACCTACCTTAACCCTAACACAACTAACCCTAAGGATCGAAGTGGCATGCGGGATCTGTGAAGTGAGAGCCACAGTCAGCAACCTGAGCCAATTCTCTGTATAGTCAGCAATGCCTGGTAAAATGCATTGGTACCGATCATATTGGGTACTAAATTAGGAAATATGTTTCTGTATTCTAATCTGTAGTGTCTCATATTGCCATGTGCAGTTGTAGAAACTAACAGTTTTATTCCACTATTGCTTATAATTATAATATATAGCAAAATCCATAAAAAGGGCACATTTATACTAGTCCTTACGATACCTTTACTATTGGGCAGTTTGGCAAGGACTACAATTATGATCTTTGATTTCTAGATAGTATGGTTACCTTCCATTGTGCCTGTATTTTTTAAACAAGGCAAATTGTTTTCACATTTATGGTAGTAATACTTATGCTAATATGTAAATCCCCACACATGGTCAAGTCAATCTATTAGCATTACAGCAATATTTACATGTACAAACGACCTAGATCTGTTGTGGTAGGAACATGATTAAAAAAATGTAGTTGAAAGAAATTAAGCTTGTGTTTGACATGACAAAAGCTTTCTTGTGTAATGTTAATCCTACATGCCTTTTGTCTACATTCGTGCTATTATGTGAGTAGTGTTGAACGAAATTGACTCACAATGTCTGTTAGCCAAATTTAAAAAAAATAAATATACATCCTACTAAAATTGTTTTGATTGTTATGGTCATCATAAAACATGCATGAAGATGGGATATGCAAAGCTATTAGTCTGTTAATTTGAGACAAGTATAAGAGGAACTAGTGTTGTCCTAAAATCTAGTTATTTTACCTAAAACACTAGTCTGAAATAAGCTGCGGACTAGTTGGATATGACCAGTGACACAGGCCCTTGTGAGGTGACATTTCTTATTGTAAGAGACTATTGTTCTTTCCACATATGTAACCATATAGACATGATTGGGTGGATTATGATTATGTTTTAAATTTAATTTCTCACCAATTTGGTATGCTTGACAATATGTTTTGGAGTGATAAAATTAATTTTCTCTTTCATTTCAGGCAAGAATTGCATTTCTACAAGGGGAAAGAAAGGGACAAGAAAATCTGAAACAAGATTTGGTTCGGCGCATCAAAATGTTGGAATTTGCCTTGAAACAAGAAAGGTATGGTATTTTCTTCTTGTTGGACAGTGCTTGGACACTTTTCCTAGTACTTTAGCTAGTTGGGCCAGCTAGCGTTGTAATGTAAAAAAACTGATCCTCCCTAAAGAACTTTAGCCAGTAGGGCCAGCTAGCATTGTAATGTAAACAAACTGATCTTCCCAAAAGTACTTTCTACAGCAGGGCAAGCTGGCATTGTGTAATGTTACTCCATGTAAAAAACTGTCCCTCCCAAAAGTGCTTTAGTCGGCAATGCCAGCAAGCATTGTAATGTAAAAAAATGATGCTGCCAAAAGTACTGTAGCCAGCAGGGCAAACAAGCATTGTGTAATGTAAAAATCTGACCATCAAGTTTACTTCCTGGTGCTGCTTGCTGAATTTGTTGAAGGGGATAAAATAAGAAGATTAATTAGATTACTGTATTTGCTGTGTAAACCTCCCAGCACCAGTATGCACCACCACCAGACCAATCTGTAAGTAATCTTTATTAGCGCTCCCTACTAAGACTGAAAATTTATGTGACAGTCCGTAGTCAATATTTGCTTGTGGATATTACAGATTTATTTTACGGAAGCAGAAGTATGGAAGGGGTTTATTATTGATAAGTAATTATTATCGAAAATGTTTTCGTTTCATCAATGTTTTTACAAAGTTTGTTCACTATGCCCTCCAGGGCTCGAATTAGCTATCTAAAACCTGCACCAGTGCAGGCTGTTATTGAAAAGTGCAAGCTTATATTTATTTCTTCATGCACCAAGTGTATGTTAAAAAAATTTAAATTTGTGTCTAACCCTCATTTTTCCTAACAACAACGATCTTTGAACACAGTGAATACCTCTATGCTTTATGGACCATAAACAAAATTAATCCCTAGGTTATGTGTAATTTGTCATCCTTTCTTTGGCTTGACGTCATCAAACTGTGGGTACTTCAATATTAGTTTTAATAAGCCCATGTCCCATGTCAAAGCGCCCAGGGCATTTATTACGGTAAAAAGATTAATTAATTTTGATAATCAGAGATCTTACATCAATAAAGTGTTTCAATTGAGTGTAATCATTCAACATATTAATGTTTCCCTACAAATAACAAATGAAGAATTTCAATTATGTATATTCTGCACAATCATAAATTGTATAGGTATAACATTCAAGTTGTTTGTGTAGGATGTACCTGGAGGTTTTATTCAATGGTATATGAGTATAGCAACCCCCTAAATTTTTAACTTTTGACATCAGGGTAATGACAAAGACCTTGATCTTCATGCTTGTTTTCTAACACTGAAAAAGGAACAACCTTTACTTGTAATATTGTCAAACAACTATGTTGTCTCAAACATGTTATTATCATGATTTACAGGAATCTTTGATATATGAACTTCAATCCATTTTTGTCCATTTAAGAATCTGAATTAATCTACGGCCAGCCCTGACAAGATACTACTTTCCATTTTTTCACGTTAACGTCGCTCAGTGATGTTTATACTCTGTAAACATGTTAAATCTAGGAAGATTTGTTTGGCTGAAATATTCACATCAAATACATTTGGATCAACACTGTCATGGATACTAATCAAAAGAATTAAAAGCACACCCATACTACAGTTAATCTGTATTGCCTTGAAAGATTAACTATAGAGTTCTAACAACTACGTAACAACTGTGTCATTGTATACTACTCGAAAGAAGTTACAGAATACACGGTTCTTCCATATTACTGTGCCATGACAGATTAACTATAGTAATATGAAAGAATTGGGTGTTCTTTAACTTCTTTTGTGTAGTAAGCATGACACAGTTGTTACATAGTTGTTACTTTAACTATAGCTCCTTGAATTCAGACTTTGTAACGGCAGACACTGTAATGTGATAAAGAAGCAAACACCTATTCAACAATAGAAACTAACATTCTTAGTCCACTAGCACTTATGATTATAACATACAGTAAATTCCTTACAAATTGCTAAGTTCTACTTGTCCTCATAATACTCTTGGGTAAGATTTTAGTAAGGGTATTTGACATGTTTGAAGACTGAAAAACCCAACTGTACAGAAATGTTTGTTTAGTCTTCCTGTTTGGTTAACTTCTACTATGTCCACATGTTGCATATAATTGCATGTTGTAAGACAGTTTTATGTTGCATAACTTGGCAGTGTTATGTGTCACCTCTGTCTCTACAAATATGTATTTGTGTTTACTTTGTACATGCTAGAGGAAGGATGAAGTGTATTCCTTTGACTGTTCACGTCTCTTGTAACAAAGGGCTGGGTTTATATTGCTAGATGATCTAGATACATTAACAAACACGATTAAGCTTGCTCACAGTGTAGGCTGGTCTGTGCAAACACAGCTTCTCATCCAGTTAATGTTCTAGCATTTGCTTTAGAGGGCTCAGTGACTGCTATAAAGTTATTTCTACTTAAAAGTGTTATTCTCCAAGGGAAAGCGATTCTAATCGGCACACTTAAAAAAGAGTTTGTTTGAGAACAAAAAATTGAAGTGTTTACTCTGGAATGTTATCTTGTCTGGTTTCCTAATCAGTTGAGCAAAGTGTGTTTGTTGTAAGGAACTAAACAAGTGGGTGTTTCAATGTTTAACCATCTTTTGATTAAGTTTTAGGAGCCATGTCTTTGATGTGATCACTAAAATAGGTTTCCTTGTGTGTGATTTACTGTTAAGAGAAATAACCGTCAATAATGTCCACAAGGAAATATTGAGATAGCTGAAAGCCTAGATGACCAAGTTTCAAGTAAATATGTTACCACACAGTTCCTTCATTTTCATTTTGAGTGATCAGTGGTCATATTGGAGACTCCATAGACTAATGTTTGTTTCATTGGTGTGTTTGTAGCCCTCATAAGTATGCAGTTTGGTCATGTTGATGTCCTATTTTAGTGTTCAAAGTTGAGAATGATTATGAAAGGGTCCTTGTCACAACTCTGATGTTACAATACAAGTTAGACACTATACAGCTATATACATGCTGAAAGGGAAAACCTCGGGACCCCTGGACCCACCTACAGTTTGAATGCTGCTAATTTAATTCACTGTGAACAAGAATGGTTCTAAGTTAACAGTTGTCAGCAAACTTGCATATCCTTAGCATTGTTTTGATCATTCTGATTGATTTTACATCAAAATTTGGTACAGGCTTGACAGAAACAGTGATGAAGGGGTACATCCACTTATTCTAAGACAACTTTATCTTTGGATTTTCAGAGGAAAGTACCACAAATTGAAGTATGGGACCGACCTGAACCAGGATGACATGAAACCTCCAAGCTTCGATAAGAAAACTGATCGTAAGTCAAATTTGGACCAAATCATATAATCAAACTTATTTGTAAAATATAATAAGTAACTGAAGATGTAACAAATATTCAGTGTCTATACCACAAGTAAATGTGATTAATGTTTTTCATGTGAAATGAGAATGAAACAGCAGTGTAAGCATTTGATCAGGAATGATTCTACATTTGCTTTTTCTAAGTCAATATTTGTGCAAGCAGGCTGAAAAAATAGCTCAGTGCATTGGATAAATATTAAATGATACATGAGGAATGATCACGCTCTGGAGTCATGGTTATTGTAAGCAATGATGTCTGATTAAAGCATAATCATTAATCATTGTTTAAATTGGTGATTCAATCTTTCTTTGTAGAAGATGTAATAGATGGAGAATCACTTCTAGCCTCTGGTCCAAACAGCACAGCATCATGGAGACAAGGGAGGCAACTCCTTCGACAGTAAGAAGCTAGTTTAAACTTATTCCTCTTTTATGAGTGGGTGAAATGAATATGATGGTGTTGATACATTGTGACACAAAGTAAATTGGCTTAGTGGTGGCTTCTTTGAAATAGAAAACATGCATATGTCTTGAATACCCAAGGCAGAAATGACCAATTCATATCAGCCTCTTTTCATACCAGAACAAATTTTGGATTCCAGGTCAGAATAGGTCCCAAGAAACCTATGTTTGGTGTAAAAGGTGACGGGTATAGATCGGTTAGTCAGGCTCAGTGACCTTTTGATTGTGTGTTATTGTGCCCTGGCAGCCTGAAATGTTGCTCATAATATCAGCCACTGGTTTGTCTGGCTCACTGCCTCCATGGTGTAGTGGATAGAGCATCTTCCTGAAGAGCGGAAGGTTGGTGGTGTTCAATCCCCTGGCAGTGTCATACCAAAATATGCCAAAAGATGGTATTGTTGTTACCTTGCCTTGCTCCTGGCATTAAGTGGATAAAACAAAGACCGGCTTGGAGTTATACTGTGTCCATCTTCCTGAGGCAAGAGAGTTAACTGACTTTTAAAAGTCCAGTTTCCACACTTGCCAAACTAGGCTGGAATCCCTTGGTTTGATCGTAGCGCTAGCAATGGCTATTACGAATTATGTCCCTTCTATGCCTCTCCTTAGGATCAATCAGATTCCACCTCTCGTATCATTTGCATTTGCTTCAAACAAAATGGCGGCGCCCTGTCAATTGATCTCATCGATAATCAAGATCTATATTGTCATAAAACGAGTCTTACATGCATCAAATCATTTGAGCACCTTGATTAAAAACATGAAAAGATTTAGAAAATATCTGTTGACAACAAGTTAGCGGTGCACATGTTTTGCGAGTCCTGCCATCGACCAAAATCTGCATGACAATTTACAAATCATTCCATTTCGATTTCGTTGCACGATTTTGATTGGACTCATTAGTCCAGCCAAAACGTAACTCCGTTATACCAGCCTAGTTCGGCAAGGGTGGGAACTGGACTTGTCTTGGGAAGATGTACTGTGTCTGGGTGGGGTATTCATGTTAACTGCAGCATTGTATCTCAGTGGGCTAGCACTATAAAACCGGCTTCAGTCACGACTAGTACAAGCAGCCGCATGCACACACATATTTTATCAACACTGTTCAAATTTACTCACTTTGTGACTTTGTTTCAGATATCTTCAAGAAATTGGTTACACAGACACAATCATTGATGTGCGATCAGCTAGGGTGCGGTCGTTGCTAGGGTTACAACCCCACACAGAGAATGAAGCTGAGGGGGCACAGCCAGCTCTGGTCAATGGGGAACAGAGTCCAGGGAAAGGGGGAGTTGCTGCAGGCAAGAGGTCAGTACCACTGATTATGTATGTGTGCACAATGTGTTTGTACTGTGTGTTAATGTTCTTATGAAAAGGACATTTTTGTAGCTTTGGATTCTGTTTCATGTGAGTTAGATGAATTAAATGTGCATACATGGAATTTAAAATGTTTAGAAATGAGCTAATGCTTTGATGAATTTCGCATAACTATATTCTGTGTAATTAAATTGCTGTTGCAGAGTAGGGACAAAGAGAGTTGGTGGGGCAGTTCCCATAGAGGGAACTTTGATTGATACTGAGGCCGCTGTGATGACAACGTTTGATTTTTTAGCTAATGAGAATGTTGTGGATGATGAAGATGACAATCTTAGGTAAGCGATAAATTTATCCTTGCACGTCTTCTTGCCCCGAAGGCATAGAGTGTTATTGTGCTATCAATCACTAATTTGCCTCACCAGGCTTGATTATACGATGAAGCCCCGGTAATACAGACAGCATCTTTCCTAATAGAAAGTCTTGATTAACAATTTTGCCAATTAGGCTTAAAAAATAAAAGAATTGGTTCTCAGGCAATGGCTTCTGAAAATATAGGCCGGGTGGGTGGCCTTCTTTTTTTTTCCAGCTGTTCAAACTAGTATGTAACCAAATAAACAGTTGTGTACAATCAACCTGGGAAAGGGCCTCCCTACATAAATGTATTCATTGATAAGTAAAATACTGGAATACAGTATTTGACTACTGTTGGACTTCCAGTAAATGCATAATACACAGTTACAATGAGCTTTGATTTTGTTTCACAATGCAAAAACGTTATCGTGAGCACAACACACCAGAAGAAGCAACAAATCAGTACTGAAGTATGCAAGTTACTCCTGTTATTACGCTATCTGGCGGGGGCACGGGTGGCCCAGTCATCTAAGGCGTCGCGATTCGCTGTGCAGAGTTGCGTCCCTTTGGCATGCCAGACACCTATGATTGTGGGTTCGAATCCCGGTTCGCCCCAACTATGTTTCTAGGTTAGACCTGCATCACTTCGGGCTTTCCTCCCACATTAAGCTGACACGCTGTGATATAACTGGAATAATGTTAAAAGCGGCGTTAAACCCAACTCACTGTCACTACGCTATCTGGCTATAAAAGGGTCCATTGTGTATCTGGACATGTTTGTAATCCATTATTTTGCTTTCTCCAAGATTTCATTCAATTTCGTTTACCATGTTTACATGAATTTCAGCGAATTTGTGTATGATCTGATTGGCAAATCACATCAACTCACCATGAACTTGAAACCAATATTAGTCTTTAGAGATACGAAGTCTTCGGTCTTCATATCAATTCTTATGAAATTTCTTTCCAGTTATGATATTGGCCATGACATAAAGTATTTTTCAACCTATATCACCTACAGATCGGGGAGAAAATGTGTATACAGCTTATTGCTATTACCAGCTTATTTTACGAGACAAATACACAAGTAATCTTAATCTCTGCGTGTGAAACATTGTCCGGCATACAGTAATTGAATTTGTAAATTTCATGTCTTCATTGACAAATCACACAGCACACAGCACACAAACTCCTGTTGCCGCCATGACCATAACATTTAACACGAGATGCGCAGTACAGCATTGCACTGTAAAGGAAAGTAACTACACGTTAGATCGTGTTGTTTTTGAGTATTGTAGCATTTCACTGCTAGGGTCATGTGTTCGTGCCGCAGAATAGTTAAGGATATTTTAAAAATAAAAACAAAATGTGCTACGGCCTTTGTGATGATGCGGCAGTCCCGGAGAACCAAGAATTATTTTTTTTAGCCTTAGAGCCTAAACGCCATCTATATAGTGGACCTTTCAAACCGTAATCGGCTGAAAGAAGCTTTTTCTGGATTAACAAGATCCGAAACTAAGGAGGTTGCACTTTATACAGGCTGATGTGATATAGCTGAACAACATTCATTCACGGTTTCTGTGAATTAATACATTATGGGCATTCAGACCCCCTGCTTAATAGCTGATTTACATGTCTGTGTCATCCCTGAACAACCTGGTGTATAGTTATGACCCTTTAGATCTTTGAACATGTTGACTAAAAGGAACTTGCAGCCAAACTTATTAACGTTCCTACTTTTAGTGATGAAAATGAAGATGGTGGGTCTGCAGATGACGAATCTGATGAAAGGTTAGAAAGAAAAGGTCACAAGATAAAGGTAAGCCTCATGCCATTCAGTAATGTTCAGTTATTGGAGTTCAGATTATCCTTTGTAACACATTTTGTTTCTATTAATCAGAAGTTGTAGTGGTAAATATATTGTCCGAAATTCAGCATGAATGTAAAGGTTTCCTTGTCAAAACTGTTTTTATTGAGGCCTTCAGCAGATAAATGGTGGATGCCATTAATGTTTTACAGCTTGCAACTTACTGCTCTTGTTGACCACTTTGTAGGATGTACCCCTGGCTACTAGAAGTGTCTTGGGAGATGGGATTGTGAAGAGAGATGCCATGCACATGGTGCGGGTTAGATTCACTACATATAATTATAATAGTGGGCACTTTCATGGCTGGTCTCGATAGTACCAGGCTTTGTTACACAGGGCTCTATGCATGTACATGTAGATGTTGTGGATCTCGGATAAGTAGTGATAAACAAAAACTAATTGGTTCTTTTGTGTATGTTGTGTAACTCAGATGGTGGGTAATGAAAGCATGGCTGGTATAGAGGACGTCATGGCAGACCCGGAAACAGAGGAGGCACTGGCGGAATTTGACTTCCTGGTTTCGGAGAGCGGGGAAGGTGCTGGAGAGGCTCGTAGCCATGGCGATGGGACAGAGTGGGGTAAGGTTGACACGCATCCACTCATCACCTTGTTCCATTGGTGTTCCACGTCATCATCACTTGTATTTTAAATTAGTTTTTATTTGAGTTGTTCTTTTTATTATGTTTAGACACTCTGATGGTGTTCCTGTAGCCTTGAATATAATACCCATCCATATCGAAATCCTTGTATTGGTTCAGGCTGTATATCATATATGGCTGCGACATGTTATAGCACTGAATGAAATGATTCTTACATACACAGTATTATGCAGGAGAACTAAAATAAATGCTTTTTCTTGTTATTGATGATATGCTATATTCATTACTGTGATAAATGCAATCATGCTTTATCTTTTAAATCCACTAATTATTTTGCATGGGAGTTTGTATACACACCTTCATGCATGTTATTGCTTGAAATTGTATCCAAGCAGATAGAATCCCTCATTGCGAAACCAAAATACACAAAAATATCTGTGCCTACCTAAATCAGTCACTATCTTTGAACAATACCCCATAGTGCTTCAGTAACACCATCCTGTATCCTTTGGTTGGAAGCAGTCAAGTTTTCCTGTTTTCATCGTGCAATTGTGTGGTCTTGTTTCATCTGTTAGCTCTTTCCTATTCTCTTTCCTCTACGGCAATACTAACACAACATGTGCTCTAGACGTACCAGACAAGCAAAATGACTGGGCAGATTGACATGTATAGATCGACAGTTGTACGACAGGTGACTGGACAGCAGTTTAAGACCTCCTCCTCCAAACTGAGGAACCAAACAGACAGTGTTTTCAAGAACCTGTTAACATATCAATTGTAACAGTCCTGGGAACATAGGAATATAAGACGATGGATCTGAATTGACATTGTTATATGCAATGTTTGAAACAACTGGAGTGGAAGTGACTTGATGGAACTGCTTCAGCTCCTAGTGCTAAGGTGTGGAGCATCTGCTACGATAACCTGGTCAAAGATTTTGCTTGTTCTTGGTTCTCATTGCTTGGCAACTCTGCAGTCATCAACTGTCTCGCTTGCATCTAACCAAAGTAGAAGGTAGGGCTAACCTTAGATAACCGCGGTGTCTGAGAGCGTATGACTCCTTGTATTACGCAGAGAAGCGGGAACTGTCATCTAATGAAGAGTGGGTGGTCGATCAACAACAATTATCTAAGCTTAAAGAGCAGTACAAAAAGGAGAGGAAAGGAAAGAAGAATAGTAAGTGTTTGCCTGTGGTATCACTGCCAATATATATCCATATATATACCAAATGGTTTTTTACGCATGGATGTTGTCCCTTTATTTGCTTTTAGTTGTAGTGATAGAATGTATGTTAAATGTTGTCAATGTTAGGTCACACATAGCTTGCTTGATTATTTCAGAATTTACTTTTTCATTTAAACAAACATCTGAAAAGTCAATTGCAATAAATCAAAATCAGTTACTTAAAGCTCTGCATTTGGGGATAAAGAAAAACTGGCATTCTGTGAGTAACCAGTAGTGATTGCCTGTTGTAGAGATATGACGTGCAATTTAGTTACATGGCAATGATATATAACACATGGGCCCAAGTGTCCATGACTGACTATCTGTTGACATGAATATACAAACCTAATTTGGTGAAAGTTGATCAGAGAAGAATTCTGATTTAACGGACAGACTTAACGATTTGCAGCCTTCATGACAATTGAGTGTATGTAGATTAGATGTGGTGTGGCACGGAATCTGCTTGCATTGTCTGAAATGTACTTCACTGCGCTACTGTGACAGGGCCCACCCGATCAACCCTCCAAGCCATGCTTGCTAATCTGGGCACCGAGGAAGATCACCTGCCAGCACTGCAGGCTGGAGCTGCTAGTCCTCACACCGAGAATAGTATGCCTGACATAGATGAAATGGGTATGACACCATATGCCAGGGTTACATATGGGGGGACATGCAGTGGTACCAAGCCTTTGTCAGCCAGGTCAATGCCTGTGTCTCTCGTGACAGAAACTTTGTTCATTTCAGGGTCAATTCATGTTTCAGCTGGTTTGTTTTTTCACTTGAGCTTTTGGCTGAAAGGTTTTGTTTGGAGACAATTTAGTTTATCCATTTGTGGCTGGTTTTGTGTTTCACTTTTTGAAAAAGAAAATGCATGTGGAAAATTTTAGATTTGGGATATTGCTTTGGTTTACACAGGTTGGACATTTTGGAAAGAGGTTAACTTGAGTATTGTGGCCACGAATAGTTGTAATACTGCTGATGTGGCTTAAAGCATTATTTACTAAAGTATTGCCTTTTGGATATATAGATACAGAAGATCAGGGTTAGAAATTAATTTTTATTTTCACTTGTCCCCAAAATGTCTTCTACAGAGTTGTTATCTACTTATTGGACAGAGTAATAGTCCCACAAGAAAATGTCACTTTTTCTGAATGTCCCAGACAAGTGGACTTAAGTTAATTTCAATTAATTTCAAAACTTGAAGACTGTAATTCAAGTATCAATTGTGACTACCTTTATTAAATTCAGGTTAAATTCTATAAACCGTAAACAAAAGCAGTGGTACAACAAATTCCATATGTCAGCCCTACATGTCAGAATTGTATCAGTATCTCTAGACATCAGCAGTAGAAGTATATGTGTCATATTCAGGTAAGGAACAACAGTTTTTAGCTGTTTCCTCGCAGGTATTTATGATGTCCTTTGATATGATCAGTACAATTCCTTCTGATTTTCTCCCTCAAAATTTATAGATCAGTGGTCGAAATAAAATTAAAATTAATCCCTTCATTTAAAAAAATACCTAAATATGGTCAATTGGATAAACAATTCTATTTTGTGAGAAAAAAACAAACAGTATTATGTCAGATAAAAGCTGTGCTTGGCATGGCTACATTTTGAACGAACATTTCTTGGTCATTAAGCATACGTGGAAACGGATTACTTGTTAGTAAAAAAAAAGAGCTTTAACACCTTGTTAACTTGGACTTATTTTTCCCTTTCAGATTTGTGATTGTTAGGGTTGACAGATTTGTTAGCCATGTAATGAATAATAGAACACATAATGATTAGATATTAACTCTTGTATTAACTGATAACTGATAATACTATGTAACATTCTGAGTAGAGTCTTCTGAAGAATAGATGCAGCAGGTGCTCCCATGTCTAACCCTGGCACACACTATTGATAACCTGTGTTGTTTGTTTTACTGCTCGTTTTTTTGCATGAGTTTTGTTAGACAGCACAAGAACTTACCCCTTTTGTTTGTGACTGCTTCTGTTTGATTAATTTCAAGACGTGACGTGTTGTTACCTCATTATGTGAACTTGACAACTAAAAGGTGAATCGCTTCTTTCATTTGCAGGAAAGGTAGGGATATCAGTGTGGTGTTCATCATGACTTGTCACTGATTTAGTGTGTAGTATGTGTGTCTGTTATTTGTTTTACTCATACAAATAATCAAATCAAAACCTGTAGATTTTGTTTTATTTCAAATTGATTTGTAGACAGCTTATTTTATTCCCTCTCATGCAATGATTTGAATCAAGTTCATTTCAATTTTCACTGACCATCACCATGATTACATTACAGCACTTGTCCATTTAGTTTTACAACTAATGGTTCTCCGTGATGACTCAAGTGTGGTTGCTTGTCTGTGATAACCCAGATATGACGATGTTTACAAAGTAGTTTGCCACAAATTCATTTCATGGCATGATCTGAACTTGACCCAACTGGACGTCAATTGAATCTGCTAGTCTGTGGTATTAACACTGGTTAGAAACCTGAGTTGTTTTTTTTTAAATTAATTGTTGGACTAATACATGTTAATATGTCCAACAACAGTCCATTCTGATGTGAGAAGATATTCAGGCATGTTTAGTGGGTAGGTATTGGGACACACTTCTTTATGGTGACTTAGATCAAGAACATTGAAACGGCTTCATATTCAATAAAAATATGAACAAGATAAAGCAGGACACAATTAGGAAGAAAAAAAATTTCAGAAGGTTTTTTTTTTGTCAGAGGTTGAAGCATGTTCAATAATTGCTTGCACCCTTGAACAGTGCATGGTTTGAGATTGAAAAGAATGGAATTGTTCACAGTGTTTGCTAAATAGCATGAAATGATGGATCTTGAGATTTGAGCCAATCATAATCAGACATGTTGTTCAGGTTGAAATTACCTGGCTCTCAGCTGACTGACATTGACCTTGGTGCTTTCCAGCTTTTGGCATGAAGTGAACATCTGGAAAAAAATCTTTGTTTATTGTTGTAATAATGCTGTAGAAAATGTTATTGGAATTGTCCAACTCTCAATTCTCAAAGTAAAAACATTAAAATATTTATGCAAGTTTTTCTGGAGGTATTTGTGGTTTAAAATAGAAGGAAAGAATCCACAACCATTGAAGACTGACTGTACAAGATGTGCATGGCCGATGTGTCAATCATTTCAAGTTACACCTACTTCATCATGTCCATAGTTCTGAAGAGATTTGCAAATGTACGAAATGTTTTGCTTCAATTCAGTATGTTCTTTCCCAGGTCGTATTTGACCTGCGAGTTGAGTTGTCAAATCAACACTATCTGTGATAGGGTTTAGGGTTTGACTTGTTTTGTATTATAAATATTTACAGGCTTAGAGGACTTCTTTGTTTTCACCAGGTGTTCAAGGGGGAGGTTCCATGCCATTTCCGTCTGGATCTCGGAAACCGATCCTTGGTATGCCTGGCGCCGACGAGGATGCCCTTGATGCAGCGCTTGGTTTAGGAGAGTTAGCTGGTCTGACTGTCACCAATGAGGCTGACCCTATGAGCTATGATGTAAGCTGGATGATTTTAGGCCTACAAAAACAAACATGTTTCTGATATATTTCTCAGAATTAGAGTTAGTCATTTTAAGATGAATATGGTCAAAGAATATAAGACTTAAAATGCAAAATGAAAAGTTAATTTGGCATCTGCCCGGATCATCATTTTTTGTTTGTCAGAACCATATCTATGCTATAAGCATGATTTGGTTTATCCAAGGGGTGGTCAGGTAGCCTAGTGGTTAAAGTGTTCGCTTATCACGCCGAAGACCCAGGTTCGATTCCTGACATGGGTACAATGTGTGAAGCCAATTTCTGGTGTCCCCCGCCGTGATATTGCTGGAATATTGCTAAAAGCAGCGTAAACATGGTAAAACATACTCACTTGTTTATCCAAAGTGGTAAATGTGTACTGCATCACTAGCTGTCAACCAACTTATATCATTACACATCATTTTCATGATATTTTGTTTTGGTAGATATCAGCACCAAAAGAAGTTTATAGGAAAACATGGAATGCAAAATACACTCTTAGAAGGTGAGAAATCTTAATACCATGTAGTATATAATATGGACACAACATTTTAGTGTCTAAATGGGGTTCAGTTACTCTTTCATAAAGAAAAGTTCTTATCAGAAACTGAATGTTTTGATTCATGAATATAATGCGACATAATGAATTAGTAATGTTTTTTTCTTTTTATGCAACATAATATCTATTTTATTGTCTTGTCTTGTAACATTCTGTTTGTTCTTGTAAGGTCAGCTAATAATTGTCCATAATATACCAATCTACTTAAAATGATGCTAAGAGCTAATTTTGGACAAGTAGACACAAAAGATTTTGGTACATCTGTAATGATGAATTCATGGACAAGTGCATGATCAGCACAGGGAGAGGGTATTGCTGTTGATTGGTGCTCCTCATTTGGTCATGCTTGTTTCCAGTCATTTTGATGGTGTACGGGCACTAGCATTCCACCCGGTTGAACCAGTGCTAATAACAGCATCTGAGGACCATACACTGAAATTATGGAATCTACAGAAGACAGTACCAGCCAAAAAGTGAGTCAAATTGTTGCCATACCATGGCATTTAAGTCAAGTGCAGTGTTCGAAATTATGGAGGATCTTGGTTTCCTTGAAGTTTGCTCTTATGGTAATTGAATCAAGGGACCCCATAAATCTTCTACTTTTAACTTTAGGGGTATGACAACGACACCCTGATTTTCATACTTAATTTCGAACACTACTAGTGTTATCAATCAACTATTAACATGACTAGAGGTACATAGAATATCCTTATGATTTTCAACATAAGTCTACAGTGTTTGAAATGAGGAATTATGGACTTGTGGTCCTTTGCCATGTTGTAAATATAAATGTTAAAGATAAAAGGTTAGTTTGTACTTCATTACAATAATACAAACACATGTAGGATCCCCCTTGATTTCTACCCCTGCTCTGCAGCACACTCAACTGCATCATACAAACACATGCAGGATCCCCTTGATTTCTACCCCTGCTCTGCAGCACACTCAACTGCATCATACAAACACATGTAGGATCCCCTTGATTTCTACCCCTGCTCTGCAGCACACTCAACTGCATCATACAAACACATGTAGGATCCCCCTTGATTTCTACCACTGCTCTGCAGCACCCTCAACTGCATCATACAAACACATGTAGGATCCTCCTTGATTTCTACCACTGCTCTGCAGCACACTCAACTGCATCATACAAACACATGAAGGATCCCCCTTGAAGGATCCCCCTTGATTTCTACCCCTGCTCTGCAGCACACTCAACTGCATCATACAAACACATGTAGGATCCCCCTTGATTTCTACCACTGCTCTGCAGCACACTCAACTGCATCATACAAACACATGTAGGATCCTCCTTGATTTCTACCACTGCTCTGCAGCACACTCAACTGCATCATACAAACACATGAAGGATCCCCCTTGAAGGATCCCCCTTGAAGGATCCCCCTTGATTTCTACCACTGCTCTGCAGCACACTCAACTGCATCATACAAACACATGTAGGATCCCCCTTGATTTCTACCCCTGCTCTGCAGCACACTCAACTGCATCATACAAACACATGTAGGATCCCCCTTGATTTCTACCACTGCTCTGCAGCACACTCAACTGCATCATACAAACACATGTAGGATCCTCCTTGATTTCTACCACTGCTCTGCAGCACACTCAACTGCATCATACAAACACATGTAGGATCCCCTTGATTTCTACCCCTGCTCTGCAGCATACTCAACTGCATCATACAAACACATGTAGGATCCCCCTTGATTTCTACCACTGCTCTGCAGCACACTCAACTGCATCATACAAACACATGTAGGATCCTCCTTGATTTCTACCACTGCTCTGCAGCACACTCAACTGCATCATACAAACACATGAAGGATCCCCCTTGAAGGATCCCCCTTGATTTCTACCCCTGCTCTGCAGCACACTCAACTGCATCATACAAACACATGTAGGATCCCCCTTGATTTCTACCACTGCTCTGCAGCACACTCAACTGCATTATACAAACACATGTAGGATCCTCCTTGATTTCTACCACTGCCCTGCAGCACACTCAACTGCATCATACAAACACATGAAGGATCCCCCTTGAAGGATCCCCCTTGATTTCTACCCCTGCTCTGCAGCACACTCAACTGCATCATACAAACACATGTAGGATCCCCCTTGATTTCTACCACTGCTCTGCAGCACACTCAACTGCATCATACAAACACATGTAGGATCCTCCTTGATTTCTACCACTGCCCTGCAGCACACTCAACTGCATCATACAAACACATGAAGGATCCCCCTTGAAGGATCCCCCTTGATTTCTACCACTGCTCTGCAGCACACTCAACTGCATCATACAAACACATGAAGGATCCCCCTTGAAGGATCCCCCTTGATTTCTACCCCTGCTCTGCAGCACACTCAACTGCATCATACAAACACATGTAGGATCCCCCTTGATTTCTACCACTGCTCTGCAGCACACTCAACTGCATCATACAAACACATGTAGGATCCTCCTTGATTTCTACCACTGCTCTGCAGCACACTCAACTGCATCATACAAACACATGAAGGATCCCCCTTGAAGGATCCCCCTTGATTTCTACCCCTGCTCTGCAGCACACTCAACTGCATCATACAAACACATGTAGGATCCCCCTTGATTTCTACCCCTGCTCTGCAGCACACTCAACTGCATCATACAAACACATGTAGGATCCTCCTTGATTTCTACCACTGCTCTGCAGCACACTCAACTGCATCATACAAACACATGAAGGATCCCCCTTGAAGGATCCCCCTTGATTTCTACCCCTGCTCTGCAGCACACTCAACTGCATCATACAAACACATGTAGGATCCCCCTTGATTTCTACCACTGCTCTGCAGCACACTCAACTGCATCATACAAACACATGTAGGATCCCCCTTGATTTCTACCCCTGCTCTGCAGCACACTCAACTGCATCATACAAACACATGTAGGATCCCCCTTGATTTCTACCACTGCTCTGCAGCACACTCAACTGCATCATACATACACATGTAGGATCCTCCTTGATTTCTACCACTGCTCTGCAGCACACTCAACTGCATCATACAAACACATGTAGGATCCCCTTGATTTCTACCCCTGCTCTGCAGCATACTCAACTGCATCATACAAACACATGTAGGATCCCCCTTGATTTCTACCACTGCTCTGCAGCACACTCAACTGCATCATACAAACACATGTAGGATCCTCCTTGATTTCTACCACTGCTCTGCAGCACACTCAACTGCATCATACAAACACATGAAGGATCCCCCTTGAAGGATCCCCCTTGATTTCTACCCCTGCTCTGCAGCACACTCAACTGCATCATACAAACACATGTAGGATCCCCCTTGATTTCTACCACTGCTCTGCAGCACACTCAACTGCATCATACAAACACATGTAGGATCCTCCTTGATTTCTACCACTGCCCTGCAGCACACTCAACTGCATCATACAAACACATGAAGGATCCCCCTTGAAGGATCCCCCTTGATTTCTACCCCTGCTCTGCAGCACACTCAACTGCATCATACAAACACATGTAGGATCCCCCTTGATTTCTACCCCTGCTCTGCAGCACACTCAACTGCATCATATAAACACATGTAGGATCCCCCTTGATTTCTACCCCTGCTCTGCAGCACACTCAACTGCATCATACAAACACATGTAGGATCCCCCTTGATTTCTACCCCTGCTCTGCAGCACACTCAACTGCATCATACAAACACATGTAGGATCCCCTTGATTTCTACCACTGCTCTGCAGCACACTCAACTGCATCATACAAACACATGAAGGATCCCCTTGATTTCTACCACTGCTCTGCAGCACACTCAACTGCATCATACAAACACATGTAGGATCCCCCTTGATTTCTACCACTGCTCTGCAGCACACTCAACTGCATCATACAAACACATGTAGGATCCCCCTTGATTTGTACCCCTGCTCTGCAGCACACTCAACTGCATCATACAAACACATGTAGGATCCCCTTGATTTCTACCACTGCTCTGCAGCACACTCAACTGCATCATACATACACATGTAGGATCCTCCTTGATTTCTACCACTGCTCTGCAGCACACTCAACCTGCATCATTGCACGCCAAGCTCAACTCAGTTTATTGTTACACTTGTTACTTTATTTCCTAACCTTAAATACAATATCTGTCATGATAGAACCACTAAGAAGTATGGAAAGATTCAAATTATTGTGAAAGTGGAAGCTACGCAGGACGTTTTGCTATGGGTGATAATGTGGAGCATTTAGCATATAGCCCACTAGAAATAATTTAGTTTTCATGATACCTCTTACATGTTGTATCTGTGGTTACATATTCAATGAAATAGAACTGTCCATCAACATGATAGGCTCTGTCTTCAAGTTTGTATGAATGTTTTTTTCAGAGCTGCATCTTTAGATGTGGAGCCTGTGTACACGTTTCGAGCCCATGTGGGTCCTGTGCTGTGCCTCGCTGTCAGTGCTACAGGGGAGCAGTGCTTCAGTGGAGGCATGGACTCATCCATTAGGTGTTGGAATATACCAAGCTCTAATATTGATCCTTATGACTCTTTTGGTAGGTTGGATTGTAAGACCTCTTCTTTATTAAGCCATGAGCCAGTGGAATTCAGTGGCAGGATAGCTTCCTATACTTTCATATTTGTAAGAAGTGACTAGGATTGGATAGTCAAAGTGTATGCCAAGTTGAGTAGTTCTGTGGCAGTGGACCACTTTGAGCTGTGTGAGTTCATCTGGGACAGGCTTGACTACTTTACAGGCTGCTGTTATATAGCCGTAATATTGTGACCGGCATTAAAACTCCATTCACGTAATTGAATAATTACTGAGTTCTGTCTCTTTCTGTTATATTTTGGTTTATGTAATACTATCTTCCTTCAGTGTGTTTAGTTTTGACACTGAATCAAATGCAGTTATTTTTCATTCTGTTAGTTCTATTTATCTCTTTATGAAATACTACTTCAACAATGATTACTTTAATGATCAAGGTGTTGACTAGCTGCATAAGAACGTGCCTTGCTTTCCAGATCCCAGTGTTTTGTCCGACACACTGGTGGCTCACAGAGATGCAGTGTGGGGGTTGTCTATACACAGCTCGAAGATGCAGCTGTTATCGTGTTCAGCTGACGGGACAGTCAGGTTGTGGAGCCCCGGCAGCAAGTCTCCACTCCTCAACACATTCACGGTTGATACAGGTACTGTCAAACACAGTTACTTCTATACCATCTGAATTAAGCAAATATTGGAAGCAGTATTCAGGGATGCTAGCTGAAGTTAGTTCGGCTAATGTTATCCCAAGGGCTATTTGATTTTCAGGCTATATTGAGGATGCCCATGTATGTTATCACTGTTCTGTAAGTGTTTCACCTGACGAAGGTGTAAAAAGGAGCCCTAAAATGTTGTGTATGTATAATTAAGAGGTTGTGTTTATTAACTATATTGAGTAACAAACGAGGTAGACTCAGTAATTACAAGCCCTGTACTCTGTAAAGTTACCGTTATAAAAAGTCTTTTATGGGGTTTTAGTGCTGGAGTGTTGATGTTTGCGTCCATGTACGGATTTTGGGTGAAAATAGTTTCCTAGCAATCTATTCTTCCTTGTATGAGACTGGGTGAGTTGATAGATGTCATTGTATCGTGGCTGAGTGGCGCGTTGCTCATAATATCAACCACTGGTTTATCTGGTCCAGACTCGATTATTTACAAGCCGAAGTTATGTGGGTGAAATATTTTCTGATTGTGGCATTTAACAACAAACAAACATGATACTGTTTGTTGAATAGATCTGGTTACATAATATGGCATGTTTTACTTTTTCAGCAGAAGAGGGAGCACCTACCTCTGTAGATTTTGTGCGTTGTGATCCCAGTCGGATGGTGGCTAGCTATACGTCCTCTAATACCTATGTATTTGACATAGAGACTGGAAAACAGGTTCTCAAATTAGAAACAAAAATAAATTCAGGTAAGGCATCTTTGAAAATAGGATTATTTTTTGCGTTGTAAGTGGGACCTTCTGATGTGCCATGTTCTTTTTGTGTCCAGGGCAAAGGGCATTTTAAGATTTGAAGACATATTCTAACCTCTTATCATTTTGAGAACAGGTTTTTCATGTAAGTTAGCTATCTTTGTATCGAGCAGACATTGTCAAGAAGAAGAATGTCATTGAAAAACAATGTCCTGCAAGTCCAAATATCCCATTTCTCATGCAAAGCAGCAGTCAATTCATTGAGCGTATGGACAGGTGGGTCTCTTTGTCGAACACAACGGCCTAAAATGGGACAGAATGGGACAGAATTGCTCAGAATCAAATCGAGAGATTGATCCAAAGAATGAGGAGGCGTCTTGAAGCAGTTGTTCGGGTTCAGGGAGGTTACACAAGATACTGATAGAAAGTCAATATTTGGATGTGCAGGACATTGTTCTTCAATTCCGTGAACCAGAAGTGTGCATGGTACTGACAGTTCAGTCAATTCGTAATTGTTTTGGATGAAATTAAGTCATTTTTCTAAATCAGTAACATCTCCTATATAACAATTGATTCTGTGGTGTTCCAGATTCTAGCGGAAGCAATCAAATCAACAGGGTGGTAAACCACCCTACACTTCCACTGACCATAACAGCACATGAAGATAGACACATTAGGTTCTTTGACAATAACACAGGTGAGAAAGTAACTTTGGCATCATTGTAAAATGGGAGGTTTATAATTTTGACATTTCTGTGCCTTAAAATACTCAAAACACCCTCAGATCTGAAATAATTCTCATGAACATTGTAAATACAAGGGTAAAGGTTATTTGCCGTAGCTCTCTCTGTGTGGACTCCAAAAGCCGTGAGACATACATGATGTCACTCTGGAATGCACCTTAATCAGTGGATGATGTGATATGCTTCCATAACTGAATCAGTATGGCAAGCTGAATGAAGAGAAAACTCAACTTAGACAAATCTGTAAAGGCCAAATACCATGTTATTTGAATTTGGGACATGATACTTACGATGAAAAGTATTCATACAAGGTGGAAATTCCAGAAGAATTCCAGGCTTTGAATCCCCTTTCACAATGTCTTTTCACCATTTGGATTTTGTCATGCCTGTAACAGTGTAAATAATTTCAGAGAATTATCTTACATTTTAACAGAGACCAGGGGCCTTGGGCTTGTGACATGAATGATATTTAGGAACAAGTAGTTTTCAATACCTCTGGTTGTAAATAATGAAAAAGTACTGAATAATGTTGAAGATTATTTTCTGGACACTTGAATTATTGATTGAGTAGAGTGTCTGATTTTGATCTTATTTTATTTCAGGGAAAATCAGTCACTCAATGGTGGCCCATTTAGACTCAGTTACCAGTTTAGCAGTGGATCCAAATGGATTGTATCTCTTATCAGGGAGTAAGTATTGTAATGTATAATCATGTTGGCATTTTGGACATATTTCTGAAGCAACTCAGTTACTGATAGAAATAAAACTTGAGTAGACTTTTAACTAGTGGTTGAGAAATACATTTAAGTAAGAATAGCATGTTACTTGTGGATTTTACATGTCTAATTCTGTTTGTATTATTTTTCAGGTCATGACTGCTCTATTAGGTTATGGAATTTAGACAGTAAAACTTGCGTGCAGGAAATCACCTCCCATCGCAAGAAGTTTGATGAATCAATTCACGACGTTGCCTTCCATCCGCAAAAACCCTACATTGCTAGTGCAGGAGCCGATGCACTAGCCAAAGTCTTCGTATGACACCAATAAAGACTTCTAGTCTGTCGGCAAAACAATGAAAATACCAGTTTCTTTTGTGTGGCATGTTGTCAAGGAGGCTACCAACTAGTCTGGGCCACCATATGCTTACATTCTCGCTTACGTTAATGGCGACAACCAGCAGGCAGGGCTTGGTAGGTGGGTGGGGGTTAATGTGTCGTTGTCTGTCTGCGTCACTTGGTGAGTGATCCCCTGTCATGTTAACACCCCCATCCTCTTGTCCGTGCATAATGGATCACATACTCATTGCTCTGTTCTATTTGAGATTTGTGCTGCAGCTTTCAGTCGACAAAGTCTTCATGTGGAGATGTATGATTCTCAGGGCAGTCTTCACATCAAGATGAACAATCCGAAATTTTAACCCGAAAAATAGGCTACATAAGGAATTGACGTTGGTGTTGTCTCTGCCATCTTGCAAGTCTTGTGATAGTTGGTAAGAATTTGCCATAGGCTGTATGAATGCAAGTTAGGCTGTAGAAAAGAAATATTGGCATGGGTAGATGGTAAAGAAGAAACGTTTGTGCATCATGTTCTTAAGGGGAACATGAAATTGCACATGGTAAACATCCATGTAGAATGGCAACCAGGAATGGCATAACCCATCCATATAGGATGTGATACATCCTAAAATGTGACACTGCCGATTTTGAGGGGCTATTTATTGTAACAGTTTCTAAGTGACTTGTTTGTGGCGTCTATCATCCTCCTGAGGCACCCTCCCAGTGTACAGTGCTATGTGTGCGTGTATCACCTGTCCTAGAAGTGTATACAAGTTTGCAATAACACAAGAGTGGATGAGCCTGGACGGACATGGATGGACAGACAGATCTGAGGTTGAGCGAGAGAGAACAAAGGATGTTGACATTCATCCCCTTCCACACTTTTAGTGACTGCATCATCATACACAACCCCATTTGTACATTTTATGATGACATACTCTAAGGCTAACTATTGGTCGACATGTAATATTTGTAATTATGAAGACACTAAACTATTTCAGTATTTTGTAGTTAGCCTGTTCATACCATATACATTAACAGTGTGGGCACATGTTGATATTTGTGCTTGCTTATGTAAATAGGCATGTTAATGTTAGTTCTCTGTGTTCTCCCTCTTGGTTGATGTTCTTGTCAACTGCTTAGGCAGCATGGATTTCGTCTAGTTGATTCTGGGGGCAAAACCAAACCGCTGATTACTTAAAACAGGGTCAGTGCATGAAAGTCAACATTATTCCGTAGCACTGAATTGTAAAAGAATAAAATAGGGTTTCATTCTATATCTTTCAAAGTACAAATCTCTTTCATCATACTATTGCTCTCATAGTATTGTAATGTTAGAAAGGCTAATTCTGCTTTTATCTGTATATTCTATATATTAAAGAAATTATTTATCAGACTTAACCTTTCTAGAAATTAATTATATTCATTAATTTCTTTGATTTTTTGCGATGCAGATTTTGTTAATTTATGATCAAGCATGAGCGATAATGACATCTGTCCATTTTCATAACGGATTGAACTTTGGCTACAGTCTTGTTCAGTAGAGGTTGACATTGAGGTAAAGGATTTCTGTTCATGTATAACATGTCTTGTTTTCACTTGCTGAGCATGCTGAGTAGACATATTCTTTATACTCAATTTATTTCTCCTTACTGTTGTATATTATGTAGGTTTCAGTCAGTAATGAACATGACACTGAAGGACTGGACCACTAACAGTGATACTTTGTTCCATCAGTTCACAACTGTATTTCTGTTGGGTACTTTTAGCTGGTTTGATTATTTATTCAAATGAGTTCTGCAATTAAATCTTGAAAGGAGATTCCTAAATTTATACATTTTTACATAATCGTTCATTTATCTCATGTTTGTGTTCTTGTTTTTAGAGAGAAGATTACATACCACTAAATCATGTTTCTCATTATTATGGGCTAAAGAGCAGTCATACAGTTATATCAGAAGCAGCAGCATCTTTAAGGGAAGGAATGTGTTCAGCATATCCATATCAGACAATGTCTAATTATTTTGACTGCAAAGAGTTGTGTGGCTGATGCTATTAGATGACATGTACTGGTTCATCAGTGAAAGCGATCTCAACACTCTTGTCATTATCAATTCGTCCAGCTTTTCTTTTCAGTGGAAATATCCTGGCATAATCAGCACTGTTTGCTTTAAAGATTAATTCTTTGAACAGCTATTCTACTGCTGGTGAAATGATGACAACGATACCTGGTTTCTCTCTCAGGAAGGCCTTTGCATGCAGTTGCCAATGCTTTACTTGTAATATAACACACACTGGTTTAACAGCCAAACAGTCAATACAGTGACCAAATCGGTAAAATCACTAAGTCCCTCAACATTTATTTTTTACAGATGCCACCTTCAATGAAAATAATCCTCCCTTTGGAATTGTAATTATTCATAGATTGTGATAACTACTTTTGTAATGTCTCTAATACCTGAAGTAAAATGTTCCGGAGTGATCCTACACAGTATATATTTCTGTGTTCTTGTACATCACTTTGTAAAAGACATCTATCTAATACCATTATATTGATCAGTTCGTATACTAGCAATAGCTTTAGAGATTCATATACTTTATGATTGATACAGTATGTTCGTATTGGCTCTCAGTTTCCATCGTATATTAACTAACCAAAGTTTGTCTCTTGAAATCCATGCTGCTTGATTATTGATGTTACTGGGGGAAAATAACAAGTATATATGGATTGCCAATAGCAGGGATGGTATAACTACTAACTCCAACATAGATAATATATACATGGTCATTGGCCTGAACACCATTTCTTTGGTTCTTCAGAGGCACATGTAGGGCATTCGTAACACGGATTTGCTGTTTCACTGTGCCATTGTTGATATGTATCCTTATACTTACAAATATAAATTCAGTGGAAAATTGTTAAAACAATTATTTTTCAAGTTTCTTGCTTTGATGAGTTATTGTGTTGACAATTTTAGATATTTTAATCTTAGAGCTTATCATTTGGCGTCAGCATCATCTGTAATTTTAGAATTCTTACCTCATGTCATCGTTCATGATCATAGTGTTGATGAACGTATTAGTGTGTGAGAAAGACACTACATAGTAGTCTAATTGTATAATTATAAGGAAATACATGGTTGGGATTGTAGGGAATATATATTTGAATAACCCAGGAAAATGTGATTTTAGAAGGAGTTTTATTTTCACATATGAACTACAGTGCTAACCATATGATTACCAGTCCAGTCTTTTCTCAGATGATGAATTTTGTCTTTTCTAGATGTTTCTTTATTGTGAACCATGTGTTACTGGTCTTTCTGTATACAGTGTCTGCTCGTCAAGTCTTTGGACCTGCTGGTCTTTAAATCTCTGTCTCCTAACACCTATCATGAACCCTAGTGATTCAATCAAGCTTGCTTATTGTTAATTTAATAAGAAAATGGGAAATGCAAATTTGACCATCTGGCAGTGTCTATTTGAAACAGTATCAGTAAGTTCACATTATTTAAGAAAGTCAATAAGAAACATTCCAAGTAGGTCTTTCTGAACAAAAATGGGATGTTTGAGGAATATATTAATGCAATGACTTTGGAAGAATATTTGAAACCAATTATAAGAATAATATTTTCCAAGTATGAAAAAGAAAGGGATTTGTATGACATGCCAGATTGGTTTGATATAATTTTTTATTTGAATATGTATACTAACTAAATATTACTAGTCATTTCAGTACAACTAAATAATCTTGCATATGTACAGATAATCATGTACAGTCATACAAGAGCAATTTTTAACATATTTTTGGACTGCCTATGTGAAATGTACATTTAGTTGTGTATACATACATGTATATTGTATTAACTGCCATAGAAAATCAAAGAGATGAAGTGCTTTCATATCAAACTGATGTGTAATCTATACAGAAATAATGCCTCTAGATACATTAGGTTACTAGACGTGTGCTTTGCACCCTAGAATCAACACTTACACGTCTTGTCTTTCTGAATGAGTTACCGTCATTTCTCTGTATACAGCAAATTAATAAAACTGAATTTGAAATTATGGAAGCCTGTCTGTCTTGTTTATTGGGTTTAAAAAGTGTGCTTTGCATAAGGGTGTATAATATACACACACACACACTTTTACAAATCACTTTTACATTTAATTGAATGCATTATCATGTGTCATGTAAATAATCCTGATCCGTCTGAATAACTATTCCATTCCTGTCTCTGAGGGATGTACCTGCTTGGTTAACTTGTTAGTTTGCTTGTGTGAAGACCACAGGCTTCTGAAGGATAATACATTGATGACATACAATTTTGTTTTAAAGCAATAGCTATGGAGGATGAGTGTTTCATATTTACATGTATGAAATTGGGACATTAGGGTGAAAGAGAGAGGAGAGAGAAAAGATAATTAAATTAATATATTAGTTGGCAGTCATGAAATGACCTACTACCATTACTGCTTAATGAATTTGTTTGGATTGCCAATTGATGTGGAATGGAATCCCTTTTGAGCTCACTACTGAATGAACATTGCCTGCTCTGCAAAAGGCCTGATCCCAATTAATCAAATATTGTGACACTTGTGTAAAGGAGTATTAAATGTGTATTTGTTTTTCACAAATACTAGACATTCACCAGTTGACCCTGGCTCTATGTACGCCTCATTTGTCTATCACACACCTCTAAATGTTTTGATGTTTCATCCAGAACGTTTCCAGATGTTATATTGGAATATTTATGAACACTAATCGTTGGAAGGAAATAAACTGGTATAAGCCAAACCTTAACTGTCTATTTTAAGACCCAAAATGGGACTGTATCAGTCTATTAATTTAGCTGTAGTCCAGCTGCCAGTTTGTGATTTACCAAAATTGACGGAAAGGTGTAATTCATTATCACCTTTCGTAACATCAAAATATATGGAATGATATAAACAGTGAAACCGATTAATCTGGACCGTTCCTTCTGAAATTGTTCTGATTAACACATTTCCTTAAAAACAAATACTTCTATGTATTTTCCTTTATATATATATTTTCATGTCCCAAACAGTAATCTATTAGGTGGTTTCCTGACTCATCAAAACAGTTTTGCAGGAATTACCATCGATTTCAAATGGAAATGTCTGATGATTGGGGTATAACGATTGGTAAGCTATCCATGCGTATAAGTAAGAATCCACCTATCAGAGTACGACGAAATGCAACCAACCAAGTCACTGATCCTAACATCCGACCCCTCCGTGGTCTAGAGGATAGAGCGGCTGACGGGAGAGCAGGAGGTCGTGGGTTCGAACCCGGCCGCGTCATACCAAGAGACGTAAAAAGATAGTACTTTCTGTTACCCTGCCTGGCGCACTGCATTAAGGGGCTCGAGAGTCAGAATACTGTGTCTTGAGTGGGGTATTCATGTTAACCTGCGGCATGGTATATCAGTGGGCTGTCATGTAAACTGCGACATGGTATATCAGTGGGCTGTCATGTAAACTGCGGCATGGTATATCAGTGGGCTATCACTAAAAAATAGGCATTAGTCCGGACTAGTTTAAGCAGCCGCCCGCGCACGCAACCAGGTCGCTTTATAAGTACAACAATCTTGAATGGGCGGTTAAACCCCATTTCACCTCACGCACACACATCGCTGTATAAGGGCAGCAATCTTAAACTCGCGGTTCACCTCACCACCAACTGACATCCTGATCCACTCGGTGTCCTCAATCACTGGTTGTCGAGGCCTACTCTAACCCGGAATACCTATACCGTTCATTACTTGTAATCATGGTAATGATGCGATTGTAACACTGAATATCATACGTTCTCCGTTGATTTGCTCATATAGTAGGGGACCTTAAAGCTGCAAAGAAGTAGTGGGCCGTAAATGATAGTTGATATGGAAGTAAAACACCATTTTCTTGACAAAAGCAATTGTTTTTCGCATTTTAATACATACAGGATACGATTTTAAACAATATGACATATAATGTGGAAATTTTGTCAGGGGTGCTTAATTCCAGTTGTGTCGGTTGGTAACCAGTGTTTGACGCTGACTAGCATTTGTGAACACATGCGCAGTCCAGCAGACAGACACATTTGCTGGTGCTGTTGGATCTTGTCCAACGTGAGTTAATCATGATAATTAATGTCCGTGTCGTTTCGCTGAAGATTTACACTACAAATGAGCGTTCGTAATTGAAGTAAGTGAGTGAGTGAGTATGGTTTTACGCCGCTTTTAGCAATATTCCAGCAATATCACGGCGGGGGACACCAGAAATAATTGAAGTAAGGAATCAACCAAGAAAGAATACAAAACACTACACCACGCGGGGTTGCTTGCTTTGGTGATTCTGCTTAGAGTTCGCGCCAGGATTCCGTTTTCAATCAGAGAAATAGTCAATAGCTCTCCAAAATTCACCGGACCACCGGACCACCTGACCACCTGAACAAGGACATTACTGTAAACACCATGGCGTCATTCTTCAAATAAATAAAGCGACAAAACCCTTTCCATATCCAATAGAAATCTCTGCATAAAGCTGTCAATTGTAGATTCCGACTATATCATGAGCATGATAGGGGTATACCCCTAAAAAACCCAAGTCACTCATGCATATGTTTGTATATGTTCAAAGTACGCATCTTGAATCTTCCTGCAGCACTGTGCGCTGGGATAGCCGAGTGGGTTAAGCGTTCGCTCGTCACGCCGAAGGCCTGGGTTCGATTTAACACATTGATAAAATGTGTGGAGCCCATTTCTGATGTCCCCCGACGTGATATAGATGTAATAGTGCTAAAAGCGGCTAAATACTCAAGTCACTCATGCTGTACATATGATAGTAGTATCATAACTGTGTCTATAAATCCAGCATGCATCTTTACTCACACCTGTTGTGACACGATTGAAAAACTGATAAACTGAATAAAACTTGTCTCTCAAAGATAATCGGACATCTTAAAGCTGTTTTAAAGAATTCCAGCATTTTATTTTCCGATTCGTACAAATGCGTTTCCCATTCCGTTAGAGAATGATCTGGTCCTGCACAGTCAAAGACATCAGGCTTCCATTGCGACCGTTGTTTCCATCCTCTTTCGATATCTCCCTGCAAGAGAGAAATGATTTGGAGATCAGTCACTTCAGACACTCACCAGATCCTGACATGGCCATCAGTTGTTTTTATCTTTGGTAATCTTCCACTTTTTGACAAACCAGCCAAGGTAACCAAAAGGATTGATCGATGGCAACAAATTGGTCGGGGTGATTATAGTGGATGTTTGTTTGTTTGTTGTTTAACGCCGCTCTCAACAAAATTCCAGCTATATGACGGCGGTCCAACTATATGAGCCTGGTAATGACAATCCAGTGATTGACATCTACCCCACTGAGATACCAAGACATGCATCAACCAAGTCAGCGAGCCTGACAACCCGATCCCGTCAGTCGCCTCTTACGACACGCATGGGTGGCCGGAGACCTATTCTATCACGGGTCGTCGTGTTCTGATTACATATATATGATTATAAACATAGTGAACGAATGTGTCAGTCCTGTGAGTGATGGTTCACGGTAACATCCCCGGCTGGTGTAGTAGACTACGTTCTGGTGTCCACATGGTTATGTCTGTACATACATGTGTTGTGGACTGAAGTTGTGTCACGAACAGAGTACATATCCTGTCATTTCAGCGATTCTCTCGCACGTCAACATCACATCAAACAGATTCTCCACCTTTCTCAAGTTAAACAAGCGTTCCAAGATTCAGTCAACCAGAAGGTGAGGTTCAGACAATTCCTACTGAATGACGTTATTTGAGAATAATTCTGAGACTTCCGTACCTAAATTGAGACTGATCTAAATCTAGCTGGACACGAATTCGATGACCCGTGTCAGATAACAATATTAAGTGTTTTAAACGGAATGTGCAGAGACACTGGTTTGACGATACTGACATTCATATCTGCCAGACAATATATATATATATATAATCATGTAAATACATTTAGAAAATATACGTGCGCGGGGAACCTACAGTGCTTGAAGTCGCATCCGAATGCAAGAAGTGGTGTGATTTGAAAATAAGCCCAATTCAACATGTGAAGACATCACAGAAATTCAGGGTTTGCGAAGAATGCGTTGTTAGAATCACCATCCAAGTCAACTCCATAACATAACTTCGTATCCATATTTCAGAGTCACTTAGGTTGGGCAGGACATGCTTACCCTTTTCACGAACACCTGGTGTCATCACTGATTTTAGTGATCTGTTTATATAATTTTCATCAGTATTTTGAAGGTCGTTTTGAATGCAAGAAGTAAATAAATAATAATTATAATAATAATAATAATAATGATAATAATGATATACCTACCTTTATCACAGTGTATAATTAAACCACGTAGTGCCTGAAAAGTGTGTACACATAACCATGTGAATAACGATCAGTGTTTCATGTCAATTCCGAGTTTCACTATATGTTTTAATGGTCAATAAAAGGTATAAATACATGGACGACCAATTGTATAGCTTCACTATGCTCACACTACAATGCATGTTTTATTAAAGACGAATGCCAGATATCATTCTATTGTACAATGTATGATGTTTCAATAATTCTCAGGGCTCATATATTTCTCCGATGACACCGATATTGCTGAAACAGGTATACAACACCTCAATTACATTTTCTCCAACTCTAAACAAGTAAGTATAACACAGAGAGTATCAGCACTGGCTTACTCAAACCATCTCGCCCATATCTTTTTCTCCACTCCGAGGACACGAATGATGATTGCAAAGAAGGCCGTTCTGAAAATAAATTGAAATTATTCAAATCAAGAAAGTACGATGTAAAAGCAAATATTGAAAATACACACACTGAATACGAATATAGAACACACAATGGATGTCTGATCTTCATTGAAACAGGGATTTATGGTTAAATCATTCGCCCTTAAAGTATAAAACACGGGGTTCAATAGAAATATGCCAAGTCCAAGTTTCCTCCCAACTGGCAGAATAATACTGAAACAGCTAACTCATGCAACAAGTGGGTAGCGGATCAGATCAGTTAATCGAAGACTCTAAACCCTAACCTCGGCTGACGGTGCACATAATGATATCAAGGACCGGTAATGATATCAAGGACCGGTAATGATATCAAGGACCGGTAATGATATCAGGGACTGGTATGTCCAGCCCAGCCGAACTGTCATTACCACTGGCAGAATATTTCTAGACATACAGGAAATGTGATTAGAACCCGTGGGTCTTTACTTATCATTACATTGTCCACATAGCGTTTGTTAGGTCGGTCTTAATTAAGAGACTTATCACGACATTGTTACGTAGTGTATGTAAAGTAGGTCTTAATAAAACGCCTATTGGTCCGACTTAGATTGCGTACAAAGAGTGAAGCCCATGTCTGCTGTCTCCCGTCGTGATGTTGATGGAATGTCGTTACAAGTGGCTTAAAACCAAACTCACTCACTCACTCACCCATTCCTTCACACTCTGACAAAACGACTTTCTCTTTAAGATATGGACAAAGCACAAGAATACCTTCAGCAGATGCAGAGGACACGTCAGTACGTCTATGGAGGACCGGCATGGGTAGACCTTTAGTCAGAGTGGCTGACATGAGAAGACCCAGAAGCAACACGCGGAAGATCATTGTGCTCTTAAACAAAGGGGGAATGTGTGAGCAAGAGCGGATCAGCCTTTTAGAAAGAGGGTGGCGATGCACATCTATTTGGAATTCGGAACACAATTTATGCTTGCAAAAGGTATTATTCGTTGTTATTTTGGTTAAAAGTACATAATTAAAATATTAGTTATGTGTATTTATAAACGTCAATATGATTATTATACCTCAAAAAGGGGATAAGAGGGAGGATTATAGAAACATCTGATCGCTCAGGTTATCGGGGGAGTGACTGAGTTACCGGGCGCCGTCTTGAACAGTATTTCCGGTATATCACGGAAGTCGGGAGGAAAGCCCGAAGCGCTGCAGGTCTCAGGTGTTCTCCACTTTCCGGGGCGGTCGGGTAGCCTAGTGGTTAAAGCGTTCGCCCGTCACGCCGAAGACCCGGGTTCGATTCCCGACATGGGTACAATGTGTGAAGCCCATTTCTGGTGTCCCCCGCCGTGATATTGCTGGAATTCTGCTAAAAGCGGCGTAAAACCATACTCACTCACTCACTTCTCCACTTTCCTGAAACCCACAAGCAGGGATATAGTGCTGACAAAACTTGAAGCATTATCAGGTAAACTGGATTTATATCCACAACCCTAGGCTTCTGGGAATGAGAATTGCGCAGCTCAGGCGACCTGACCAGCCTCGGATCAATTTGGACCATTAGAAGCAGTAACACTTACCTCTCACCACAAATAATGCTGTCTGGTATATTTCTTTCTGTCTGATGCTATCTTGTTGTGTGATGATTTCTCAGTGTCACGTGTTATATTATATAGCGTGCAGACCACATTTATATTATCCAAATTATGTTAGACAGCAACATCTGCGTGTATATTTTTACACTTGACTAATCTACATATCAACAGATGTGCATATGGAGAACATAAAACGCCGATATTATCAATGCACCTATTACCTTACTATGAATGATGTATAGTACGCCCTTAACAGTTGGCATGTATCAAGCACAAAAATACTCTCCATGCTTAAAGGCTGCAAAGTTCCTAAATATTAATTTTAGACCAGTTAAGTTTAAAAAACATTTGATCCTTCCACCCTGACACAACTATCCCTCATGATAAATTGAAAGAGAAATTACATTTAATCAACAGGGCTTTTGTTTCCTAGGAATGAGTTCGAAAATATAACTCTATCATAAGCTAACTCAATCAAAACGAGACCCGTGAAGATTCGGGTAGAGAATAGGTCTTCAACAACCCGTGCTTGTCGTAAGAAGCGGCTAACGGGATCGGGTGGGCAGGGAATTTCGTTGATCGATGTTCATGATGTCAAACACTGCATTGTCTGGTCCAGACTCAGTTATGTACAGACCGCCGTCATATAGCTGGAATATTGCTGAGTGCGGCATTAAACAACACACAAAAAAACCCAATAAAGATGATGGCAACCTCGGTACCAGCTTATCATCAGCTCCAGCTTATCAGGACCTCTTCTTTTTATTGCAATGGAAAGACACACTTTGCTTAAAGTTATGTTTTTCAGTCAAGGTTTCACCATGAAAGGTTAATTTGTTCTAGAAATATTGTCATGGGTATTTAGAGGAATTTAGTAAAGATGACATGCTGCTTGTCGACATGATGCGCGATGCTCTCCATATTATATACCTTTACAAGGAGTCTTTCACGATCTACTCGAACTAGACCGACACTAACTAGACCGACACTAATTAGACGTGGTGATAGTTCATGTACTTTCTGAAAACAGGAACCTGAAACGTATGAAGTACAGGAATTAATACAGCAATATGTGAAATGGTACAAGTGCACCACAAAAGTAGGTATTTATTTAGATAGCAGATCGTTCATACTTTAAAGACCTGAACATAGCGTGGTATTAAACCACTTATATGCAATCACAAAACTATATATACAAATGTACATAAACATTAAAGTTAAACACCTGTTAAACATCATGCGATAAACACAAAAAAGGAAAGTATATATATATGGTGATGGTCAGTTTTGTTTGCCCAAACGGGACACACTGTTTGGCCACAACCCTGTTGCTGAGTAACAACATGTTTGATCCAACGTATCACTTCCTATCTACCACTACCTCTTTCGTACTCCTCTACTATTCCTATATTTCTCCTATTTCTCTTTCCACTTCCTATTATATGAAAACCAGGTTTGTACTATCAGAACATATAGCCCCAGTGACCTCTAGCCACCGCGGGATGTAAGGGCCAATGATGAATGCCTCTGGATGGGATAATAAACCCTGGAAAAATACTTTTATGGATCGGGTGGTCATGCTCGGTACCTTGGTTCATTGCATATGGTAGGGCGTAGAACGTTGCTGATAGTATCAGTCACAGGATAGTCTGGTCCTGACTCGAACATTTACAGGCCGCAATGAGACAGCTGGAATATGGCTTATTATGGAGTTAAAATGAATGAAAAGAATGAAATGTAAATTAAATTAAACTAATAAATTTGCAATGAGTAAGTTGGTTGGTTTGTTTGTTGTTAAACGCCGCACTCAGCAATATCCCAGCTATATGACGGCGGTCTGTAAATAATCGAGTCTGTATAATACTGTATAGTTGAAGGATTCCCATTTAGCCACTTCCGGTATAAATATAATTGGATAAGATCGATAACGTGGCGTCATTGACAACATGGGATAGCCTAGAGGTTTCGTCACGCCGAAAACCCGGGTTTGTTTCCCCACATGGGTACAGCTACAATGTAAAGCCTATTTCTGGTTCTCAGCGCCGTGTTATAGCTAGGATATTCCTGAAAGCGACGTAAACCATACTCACTCAATCAATTTTCATCACTATTTGCATTTTACGTCCGATGGAATCTGATTCGGCAGATAATCGAGACGATTTGCATTTTTATACATTGTGAGATATGATTTGTCTAATGTTATCCTATTTGTTACGACTCATCGCCTTTAATATGTATGTAAATATCAATAAACGTGTAACTAAAAGCATTGTATGAAAACACATTTCAGGTAATCATATTGTGTTTCATCATATCTGAAAAATGATTGTTTAGACTCTGCATACTGGTATCGTGTGAAGGCATTTATCCTCCAAACAATTATACTATCCCAATACCTGTCACTGTCGCGTTCTTTCTTTACTTCCCTTGAATTATTACCAAATAATAATTATGAATATTCATTGCCTTGCATTTGTTTTTCAGGGATTGTTAGTTACAGGATATGTTATGTTCTCTGTTTCAAAGCGAGAGATTATTTGTGGTATTGTTCCATTTGGAACTTGTTTCTTGCTGTCGTTTAAGTTATATTTCAAAATTAGTCTCATCGATCTGAACGATTGAAATATGGTCTATTTCCCCAGCAATTTTATTCGATCGCCGATAGACGCCATCTTTGTTAGTAAACACTTACTCATTATATGCTAATGGATTGCACCACTTTGGTAGATGGTAACGCCACTCTGACGGTGGGGGTATACTACTAACACTCACGGAATCAGAGTGAGTGAGTGAATTGGGTTATGAACCGCTTTGAACAGTATTTCAATTCTATCACGGCGTGTCAGTTAACTGTGTTAGGAAAGCCCTAACTGATGCATGTCTGGGACGCTTACCACTTTCATGAAACCCATGAGCACGGATATGGTGTTGACAAACCTAGAAGCATAATCGGGGCGAACCCAGATTCGAACCCACGATTATAGGTTTCTGGCCTTCCCATGGACGCAATTTAGCATTGCGAATTGTGGCACTTTAGACGTTTCATAAATCACAAGAAATCCAGCAACTCACATATTTGGAATATTTCTGTAAAGAGTGTTTTTCAGTTTTAATAAATTACATCGCTCATTTTATTTGGAAACAAAAGCCTTGTTGATTGGAAAATGTTATTTCTATTTCAATTTAACACACTTGCTGAATGCACCCTCGGATGCATTTTGCTGTACACTGTTTCGGACTTCCTTGTTAGTTTAATGATGTTGGTATAGCAGTATGGTACAGTTGGAGATACTTCATGACAGGGCGGTAGCCAAGTTTGTCCATTTTCCTCAACAGAGAAAACCTAGTCACTTTTATGCCTGAAGAAATATGCTGTCTGGATGTGCATTTTGTTTAAATGCTGCCTTTAAGCCTTTATGCCAACTGTTAAGGGTGTACTGTACATCATTCATAGTTAGGTTATAGGTGCATTGATAATATCGGCGTTTTATGTTCTCCATATGCACATCTGTTGATATGTAGATTAGTCAAGTGTAACAATATACACGCAGTTGTTGCTGTCTAAGACCATTTGTATAATATAAATGTGGTCTGCACGCTATATAGTAAAGCATGTGACATTAAGAAATCACCACACAACAAATAAACAAACAAACAATCAAACAAGCAAACAAACACAACAAGAAATATATCAGACAACATTATTGACAGCCAAAGGTAAGTTTAACTGCTTTATATGTCCAAACTGATAGCGGGGTACGGGTGGCCCAGTCGCCTAAGCTTCCTTGGTTATACCGGAAGCCTATGATTGTGGGTTCGAATCCCGGTTCGCAGTGTCTGTGGCTTTCACCAGAGTGGTTAACACCTTAGACTTCATCACTTCGGGCTTTCCTCCCGCATCAAGCCCTCACTCCGTGATATAACTAGAGTAAATTTCAAGGCGGCGTTCAGCAGAGATGTCTTATGATTATTGAAATAGTTTTGTTATCATATTCATTTAAACTCACTTCCTCGATAACGTAATCGGTAACCTATTACTGCTACCCTCCTTCTTTTTTAAGCATACTAATCATGTTGACGTATATAAATACACATAACATGTTCTTCCATGACTTCTTAAAAGCTTTGATGAGGCCTTGAATGTTTTAACCTTGATCAAACAACTTTTGAACAGGGGTCGTATGACGCTCTATGACATTTTCATAGAAAGAGCATGCTCGATTGTACCTCAAAATGTGTGAAATGTATTGCTCGCCTTCAATGGAAAGTTGACTATTGTAAAGTTGAAGTCACCCCTCTTAACATTAATTCCTTCTGAATCTTCATGTATAGGTCTTAACTTCTTGACAAAATTCCTTTGTTTTGATTTTGCCAATCCGAGCAGAACTGCCGATTTACGAATACATGTTTACGAATCAGATCAGCATGAATAGGAGCATGGTTGGTGCCCATGGGATGCCTATTTCTCGCCTGTATGTCTTATCCCCCAATGTCACACAGATGTTACCAGTGGGGAAGTCCAGCATAGCACGTATTGTTTTCTCAGGCAAATTCAGATGACATTTACTTTCATTTCAAAAATTGTCTTGAACCTTTGAAAATAAAGACGTAAGTGTATCTATCGTTTAGTAACAAACGTCCCCTGGATCAGGGAATGAAGTTGTCTCCCAAGTTTGTCGTTTGTGACAGTGGTGTACAAGGTTGAAAAACCAAATTCAACCAAATCCTTTGAACTTTTGAGAAAAAAAATCCCTTATGATATAATTTCGCTTATCTCAATACTTTCTGTTATGAAGAATGTCCGCATTCAACCGAATTTAGTTATGACAGCGGCTTTTAAATGATTGATTCTGGACCAGACAGTCCAGTGATGTATGTCATGAGCAACGTCCGTCACAGTCGGGGTACGATGACATCAATTAAGTCATCGAACCTGACCACACGATCCATTAAGTCGCCTCTTACGACCAGTATAGGTGGCCAATTCTAACCCGGAATCCCACGGAATTTCATTCATGAAAAAGTATAAGAAAAGTAAGCGTTAAGATCGTTTAAACGTTATGGCCAGTTAATGGCAAATATCATGCACAGATCTTAAACTAATACGCATGTTATATAGTTAGTGTTTTCTCATTCAGAAGCGAGGATTAACCCGGTAATCTTCGAACGCGATACTTGAACGACATCTTCCGCTTTTTAACTTCATGTTTTCAGAAGGAATCACAAATTGTGAAACGATTACAAAACACGTTGTGTTATAAGGCGTGAGAATCTCTACTGAAAAGCCGCTGTCAAACATGACGGAAGTTAGCATCCATGGATTGTGTATGTTCATGAATCCCAAATCAAACTATTTCAAAATGCCACTCAAAGAAATGTAGTGTTACGATGCTTTTATTACACAAACATACAATAAGCTATTCAGACGGAAGGCCTGGTACATCAGCACAGCTGTGTGCGGGATTCCTTCACGTGTTTCATTAGTTTCTATGTCTTGATGCTGAAAGGGAGAAGTTATTTGAAGATTAAACATCTATCCATTCCAGACACGTCAGCTATGTGTCTATCGACAGCTTGTCTAATGAAATGGACAGAATATGTGCAGCACATTTGCTGTATCGACTGACATGCGATATCGGCAATAGTTCTGTACAGTTCATTATAGAACTCGCTCTTCAGTACAGCTCATTATAAAGATGGTTCTAGCTTCTCCTTCCATGACTGGACTGGTATTACGCCTTGCTCTTAAGCAACCCAAACAGTGAAACAAAGGGCAAATATCTGACATATGAGTCCCTTTATATTCACAACCCTGTCAGGTGAAAGCCTATAGCAGTATATATACAGGGTGAGTGAATTGTGTTTAATGCCACTTTTCACAGTATAGCAGCTATATATCACGACGTTCTGTAAAAGGAATGTCGCCAAGGATAAGGGAAATAATATCGTAAACTAGGAATCTTAATTTGTTTACTGATCGTACTCATCACTACACTGCGTATACACTGCTTGTAAAGTGGGTTTAACTAACCATAGTTCTTACTGTACTGTTACTACATACGGGAGGAATGCAAATGAAACAAAATGAAAAAGGTTAAGGCACAGATAAAAATGAGTCTTTGGTTTCACCCAATCAATCCTCATAAACAGACATTAATTACATCCTTCTTTTGACTCCAAACATCACTCAGAAGATGAGGAAGATTATTCAAAAGACGACTCTGAAATTGGAAATCCCGTTCTCCATTTACAAAGCAAATGGCTCAATTGGTCCAATAACATGAAATAGAAAGAATGTGATAAACTTTCGCCCAACTTGAGCACGAGATAAATCAAGTAAAGATTTATTTAAGGCAAGAATTAATTTATTTATTAGAAAGGATGCCATTTGTCATTTTGTTGGTGTACAATACGTTTCAAGTAGTACCAGATGAACTACAGAACAATCCTCTCAAATTAAAAGCTAACAACCACGATCACTTTCACTATCACGCTTCACGTCTTCTGTTGAGTCCGAGGCTGATGAGGAGGAGGATGAACCCGATGATTCAGAGGAAGACTCGAATAGTAAGACATTAAATAGATATTAGTGAAATATTGGTTGTTTTAATATATGAATCTATATTTCTTAACCCCTCGTCTCCGGATAACGTAGTGTGATCAGAAGATATTTTAAAGTAACTGTTCCAGTATATAAATAAGTGACGACTGTGACAATTGTAAATATCTCAAAAACTGAATTCATGGAAGGCTTGTTTTCATTTCTTGAGATGCAGGGTAACATGATGCTATGACATACTTATCAAGGATTACCTTCGTCATTGATCTCGTCTTCTTCTGTCGATTCTGAGGATGACGATAAAGATGAACCCGGGGATGATTCAGAGGAAGACTTTGGGCAGTACCCCTTAATGTCACCACATCAACGAAACAGCTTAATGTGAATACAACACACGTGTTACACGGTTACATTTCTGCAATATTGCTTAAGTACATGCAGATATAAACAGTTAATTCTCACAGAAACATAATTTTAGGATTACCTTCATTACCCTGTTGATGGCTAAATTCTGGATCATCGCCATCAGTTGAAGGGATGGCGTAAATCCTGCTGGGGAACCGTGCAGGTAGCAGAAGTATCGTAAGTCCACACGATCCCTAGTATGGAGGCCTAACTTTGGTTGCTCGATTTTATCATGTTTTGTTATGTATAGTGATATCGTTTTATCGTTCCAGACTAGTTTTAATTATGTCTCTGATACTCTAGTTATTTTACTGTCCTTTGCTGACAGTTAGTCTAAACATATTTCGCATTCATGTCTAAAATGTTGTAGTCACGATATGGCTGACATACTGCCGATGTAAGTGTGGGGAGTATGGCAACACTTTCTCAACTTGTTTGCAGCCTTTCGGGGGAACGAAAGTTCCTATTCGTGTTCTCCATAACTGTAGGGGTATTCCAATTTTAAAGGGGCACTGATCTAACGCAATTCCCCGGACTGGTTGTTGCCTTTGTTATTGTTTTCCCCCCCGTGAGTACCCGGATGATACGCAACGCAACTGAGCGTGACCAGAGACTGGGCTACCGTCTGCAAGGACAGCTACATAAACTTGGAGGCTGGAGGCAATATTTGTTTTACGCTTTTTTGCATAAACACTGATTGGTTAACTGTGATCTATAAAGATTTCGACAAAGGGCGCATGTTAATTAATTTCTTCAGCCTAAACAAACAGACAAAAAGAACGGCGGAGCTCATCGGATGTCGTTATTTGGAAATACCCCAGATGGTTATAGTTGAATACTAAAAAAAGTATCCATGCAGTGAAAGCATTTTCGGATTTCGGATTGCGTTGATAATACGATTACTACTCCCTTGTTGTCATCCACGTTTTCTCGTCTAACCCTACACTTGTGAATTTGTCGTCATTCACTTGATGCTCAGTTAATGAATTTATTACAGGTACAATTAGTGGTAGCACAACTTAGATTACCTGACAAAGGTTCCCATTTGGCATTTATTGTGTCTGGGGTACTTATTCAATCTAAATCCAGGCTTGAAGTGAGGTGAAATGTGTGTTATGTAATATGCACGTGGCAGCCCAGCAAGAGATGAATGATCAGTTCATTTACTTTTTTTTGTAAATCAACAGATCGTTCCTAGTCATCAAAGGATTAACAGAAAATACGTTGATTGATTAATCACTGTTATCTTGCACAGTGGATATGTCAAAAGTGAGTGTTTACATGTCTAGGTTTACTAAAACAAAGGGAATACACTCATATCATGACGTGAAGTGCCGATGTAAAAACAACATACTTTGTTCAAAGGGTTAACTGATAATACGTTGATTGATTGATCATTGTTATCTATCACTCAATGGATTTTTTAGGAACCGTGGAAAGTATGAAAATAGTTGTCACGTGGGCTTTCTCAGCCGACCCTTGAGACTTGACACCTATGTGAAACACCTGAAACAATCCAAGTGATCAGTTGAGAAACGAACAAGGGTTATAATATCCCGAAACGATATATATCTTTTAAAATATTTGATTGTTACAGAGACACGTGACATCGAATAAGTTTCTTTGTACAGCTGCAGACGAGTGGGATATTGTTCCTTTGTGTGGATATTCATGGATACATTCCTCGAACAAGGAAGCTGCCTAAAATTTATACACATAAATTTGGTAGGTTGTAATTATGGTATTTGCATTTTGTTTTCCTTCATTTGAACCGATTCGTTCTTGTTTTTCTACGTCTTGGTTGGGAAATTCTTCAATGCGCGATGGACGTTGTTTTCACAGGTCTTTTCCTCTGTAAGCGTGTATATATTACCGTCAATTTGTAAAATGTGATTCTCTCAGGCAATTTATAAAATGTGTAAATATTTCAGCCATTTTGACTAAAAAATCTGTCCAGATTGATTAAGACGATCAAAAGGGCCTACAAACATCACAACAGATTATTATGTAGGATTAGAAGCCAAACAACATAGAAATGTACTTTTCAACGTAACATTTTCAGTCTCTTGGTGATGACATTAAACATAAAAATGTTTGGAATTCGTTATCATAATAATACAGATGGAAATGTTTTTCAGTCACTTTGTAAAATATTTAGACGTTTAATAAATATGTTACACATTTTGACAGAAACAAAATATGTACACTATAAAAAAAGCAATGCTCAGGTGAAATATTTACTTTGTGTTGCAAGTCAAAATAGTGTAAACGAAAATCGCAAAATTACCAAGCAAGTGACTTATCCAAACTTATTATCTCGAAAACTGTATTTCATTTTGTTGATCAATGTGACCTTTTCGCCCTTATTACTACCGGTATCCATAAAAGTGACTAATGCGCTTACGAAAGGCGCAGCAGAGGTCGCGACCTAGTCTAGATTTCTGCTATACATCCGGGTACTCACTGGGAAAAAACAATAACAAAGGCAACAACCAGTCCCGGGGAATTGCGTTAGATCAGTGCCCCTTTAATATATGACTGACGATAAGCATAATGTACCACAGTTAAAATAAATTGATCTATATCAATATGCACATTCAAAGGAAATGTGCTGTAACAGGCCAGAACATCTGGCTTCTGAACGGAAATGAGATTTTGATCAATTTCAAACACTATATTCATATATAGATATAAATAACATAAATCTGACACGTGTTTCCTGATCATTTGATATCGACATACACATTCAAAAGTGAAATGTGCTGACCAGCATGTTTTAGATACGATACGTGATCTTTGAGCTGATTTCATTTGGTACTTTGTTGCAAGTTGACTTACCGTGTGCATAGTGTTTTAGGTAAGAAGATGGTTACTTTATTCAGATGTCATGAATAATTATGCTCCAGATGTCGCATTTTAAGAATATTTCGATAATAATGACGTTATCTAAAGTACTATATAAATGCCCTGTTGATCGGCAAGATTCTAAGAATACACCAGTTCACTTTCGCAGGTAAGTACGAACCATTGTGGGTTTTTTTCACAGTAGCTTGCGATTTTTTAACATCATCGTCCTATACTGGAATACTAAAGTGTTGGTATGCTTGTGTTAACAAACAACTATGTAGTTGGTCTCGTTTCACTTCATGAAACAAATGAATTTCTAACACCGCCAAAAGAAGAAAAACGCATTCTTATTACAAAATGTCAATATGTTTCAGTGCAAAATGATCGTACAGGTGTTGCTCTCCGTTCTCCTGGTGTCAATCACTCTGACTGAAGGTAGTCGCATTCGAGGAGGAAACATTAGGGAAGCTTTTGAAGGTAATGAAAATGATTACGTTGCAAGTGATTTAGTGGCATTTAAATGACTAACAAAGCACTTTTGCGTTTATGTTACCATAAACCGAACAAAATTAGGCCAAATCGACAAACATACTACTGTTTCCTGATGGACTGATAATAGGAGGGGCGAGTGTGTTAAATGACCTTTGAACTTAAAATTGTGAATAATTACCATAACAACTAATGTCTGTAACTAGCTTTTTATGACTAACATACTGTTTGGGCAACATAACCACCTGCCCTTGAATTCGATTAAACAATCCGAGGCGGAAGGAGACAAACTGGCCCCATCTCATCCTTCAAATTGCGCAGCACATCAAACATTAGGAACCTTGTTTTATCACCAGTGGCGGATTTCATTCTTTAGGGCACTATTTCGCCTGTCAATTTTTATCGTATTTTTAATGGTACTTCCGTTTTTCAAATTAATTTTGGTCAAACATTTGTGATTAGGTATGTCTTAAAGTATGAAGTCTGCCCTTTAGTATGAAAATCTGCCCTTTAATGTGCCCTTTAAAAACAAAACAAGCATGTAATAGCATTCAGCTACCAATGCATCTCAAAAAAGGAATACTATTCTTCCAATTAATCTTTTCTAGATATCTAGAATTGTTACAGTTGTCACAATCCATATACAGGAAACAGCTATTTTAGAATGGCCTCCTGATCACACTTAGTTTTCCATAGACGATATAGGAGGATAGGAGAAATATAGATTCATAGATCAAAACAACAAATATTTCACTAATAATTGTTAAATCTGTTACCATTAGAATCTTCCTCTGAATCATCCTCTGGTTCCTCTTCCTCACCATCTTCGGAATCAACAGAAGAAGTGAAGCGTGATACTAAAGGTAATCATGTTGTTAATGTTCAGGTTGAGAGGCGTGTTCTTCTGTTGCTCATCTAGTGCTATTTGACAGGTTATATAAGAAAGATGCAATCATCTCAACTGAAATGTTAGGAAAGACATATCCTTTGTGTTAAAAAGAATTTACATCTGTGAAAGTATTATCTAATTATCTGAATAAATTGAGGACCAATCGCAAAACACATGCTTTTTAATGAAAAAGAAATTATTACTATACAAACAATTTCATCAATTTTATATGAAAAAAGTAACAACGGGGGACGGAACACCTTAATTTTGTATGAATGTCACTGATTTATACCTGTGCAATGTTTATGCAAGACATCGTGTGTTCTACCTGGTTAATCTGCAATCTTGAAAGTCATATAGCAGCTTATTAGGTTAATACACATTATTTTGCCTTCCATTCATGGAACGGTTGAAATATCAAGACATACTGATGTCATCAACTCTTTATAATCGAACAAGGTAATTTCGAAATATATATCTAAAAGCGTTATGAAGCCCACGCTCATTCTCTCTTTCTAACTTGTTTGTTATCCTTGTATTTACCTAGCACCAGCTCGTCTGGGTAACGTATGTTCCTCACTTGTCTGTGCATGTTGAAGTACTTAATACTTGTAGAATCATCCTCTGAATCATCAGAATCGACAGAAGAAGATGAGAGCGATGATGAAGGTAATCGTTTATCTAGGTTACATCACTTTTTACAATAAGTAAGTGATGGCTGAGTGGGTGGTTTGACGTCCGCAGTGAAAGTATTGTTGCAATATCACAATGAGAGAAAGCCTGGTAATTATGTTCTGGCGTCTAGCCATCCCACAATACAGTGAAACAGATAAAAACATGACGGTATAAACCATAGTCCTCAGCCTTCCGCGAATTGAAGCTTGTAAGTTTCTACTGACGCAGTTGCAGTCAGAAAACCCTTCATACGTGAAACATAGTTAAATGAGAATTAGTGTTTTACCAGTATGCTGGACAGTTCTTCCTCCGTTCTCTATTTTTTCTGTTTTATCCTTTCATGCATCAACCATTAGAATTTTAGGGAAACATGATCAAAGATCTAGATTTATTTGTTATTACCTGAGCATTTGATAAGCAAATGTGTTAAATTATTCAATTTAGAATCGTCTTCGGAATCCTCCTCAGAATCGACAGAAGATGGTGACAGCAATGATGAAGGTATATTTCATGAGTATTCCATATACAAAAATACTACAAATTACCACTGCATCACCAGAAATATAGATTATTCTTGTATGTGTTCACCCAATTAGATATCTATCAATGTCGCAGTCGTCACTGAATCATATACTATAACAGTTACTTAGAATGCCTGACCCCACTGCTATGAATCATCAGAATCGACAGAAGAAAGCGAGAGCAACGATGAAGTTAATTGCATGTTGAGGCTCCACAGCACGAAGACTATATTCCCACGAGTTCATTTGTTTAGATGTCCAGAACTGTGATAGTTGTCACTGTCGACATAATGGAAACAGTTTTCCATTGAAGATGTAGGAGGATAGGAGAAATATAGATTGATAGAACAAAACAACCAACATTTCACTAATATTTGTTAAATCTGTCACCATTAGAATCTTCCTCTGAATTATCCTCTGGTTCCTCTTCCTCATCATCCTCGGAGTCAACAGAAGAAGTGAAGCGTGATATTGAAGGTAATCATTTAGTTAATGTTCAGGTTGAGAGGCGTGTTCTGTAGCTCATCTAGTGCTATTTGACAGGTAATATAAGAAAGATGCAATCATCTAAACTGATATGTTTCGAAAGACATATCCTTGGTGTTAAAAAGAATTGTCCATATGTGAAAGAATTATCTAATCATCTGAGTGAAATGAGGACCAATGTAAACAAATCGTGTTTTATAATGACGTGAATGGAACCAAATCTTACATGGAAGGAACAATCTTTTGGACCATCACTTGATGATTTGAGTGTGTGGGCGTTCCTAACCACGACGGAGCAGTAATTTAGTAAAGACATCAACACTGATAAGAATGAAAATGAAATTATTACTATACAAACAATTTAATCTCTTTTATCTGAAAAAAGGGCAGATCACCTTAATTTTGTATGAATGTCAATCATCTGTACCGGTGCAATGTTTATTCAATACACCGTGTGTTTTACAACCTGGTTAATCCACAATCTTGAAAGCCAAATAGCAGCTTATTAGGTTTATATACACATTGTTTTTCTTCCATTCGTGGAACAGTTGGAATATCAAGCGATACTGATGTCATCAACTCTTTACAATCAAACAAGGTTATTTCGAAATAGGTAGCTTATGGCATTAGGTAGCCCGCGATCATTTTCTCTTTCTAACTTGTTTTTTTTTTTTTTATTTATCTACCACCAGCTGGTCATTGTGAATTTTGTTTCCTTGTTTATCTGTGCATTCTTATGCCACACAAAAACACGACAAATGTGTCATAGTGTCCGTGTTACCAATGCATCTCAAGAAATGTAGATTATTCTTGTATGTGTTCATCCTCTTAGATGTCTCAAATGTCGCAGTCGTCACTGAATCATGTACTGTAACAGTTACTTAGAATGACTGGCCCCACTGCTATGTGATGGCTAGTTGACAGGATGACGTGCCTTATATTTACAGAATCGCCAAAAGAAAAAAAGAGAGCAACGATTAAGGTAATTGAAAGTTGAAAACATATTAAACATCCTATGTATTGTCCATAACTGTTAAACTTTGTTGCAAGGTGTTATTGCCAATGTGTAAAATACTGCAGCAATAACACGATGACGGACAAACAAGGAAAACTCTACAGGTCATAGCATCTTGCTATCCTGGCATCTGAAGAAAACAATAATGGCATGATGCCATAAACCACTCCCTTTTTCATTCCGGAAAATGTTCTACATGTTTTGTTTTAAGTATCCTTTTATGTATCTACCAACAGTTTGTCAGATGTAAAATGTTTGATGTTTCTCTCGTTCTCATTCAATGTTGTGGCTATCTGACATGATAATGTGATATATTTGAGAACCATCATCCGAATCTTCCGAATCGACTGAAGAAAGTAAGAGCAACGACGATAATAATCCTGTATTCAGGATTGATGTTAGAAATCGACTGTGAGAAGTGAATATGATGTTTATTGCCCGTTTAGAGATTATTGTTACATTTTTAGGGCGATTGAGGGAATGCTACCCTGGCATCTGTTGATTGAGTGAGTGAGTTCGTATGGTTTGACGCCGCTTTTAGTAATATTCCAGCATTATCAGGGCGGAGAACACCAGAAATGGGCTTCATACACAGTAACCATGTAGGGAATCGAACCCGTGACGAACAAACGCTTTAATCACAAGGCTAACCCAAGAATGGCCAAGAAATGTAGATTATTCTTGTATGTGTTCCCTCTCTTAGATATCTATAAATGTCGCAGTCGTCACTGAATCATGTACTGTAACAGTTACTTAAAATGACTGGCCCCACTGCTATGTGATGGCTAGTTGACAGGATGACGTGCCTTATATTTACAGAATCGTCCTCTGAATTATCAGAATCGACAGAAGAAACTGAGATTAAGGAAAAAGGTAATCGTTTATCTAGGTTACATGTTAAAAGAAAATCACTTTTGACAATACGTAAGTAATGGCTGAGTGGGAGGTTTAACTTCCGAAATGAAATGATCGTTTAAATATTACAATGAGAGAAAGCCTGCAAAAACACGACAAATGTGTCATAGTGCCCGTGCTACCAATGCATCTCAAGAAATGTAGATTATTCTTGTATGTGTTCATCCTCTTAGATGTCTCAAATGTCGCAGTCATCACTGAATCATGTACTGTAACAGTTACTTAAAATGACTTGCCCTACTGCTATGGGATGGTTAGTTGACAGGATGGCGTGCCTTATATTTACAGAATCGTCCTCTGAATCTTCAGAATCGACATAAGAAACTGAGATTAAGGAAAAAGGTAATCTTTTATCTAGGTTACATGTTAAAAGAAAATCACTTTTGACAATACGTAAGTGATGGCTGAGTGGGAGGTTTAACTTCCGAAATGAAATTATCGTTGAAATATTACAATGAGAGAAAGCCTGCAAAAACACGACAAATGTGTCATAGTGTCCGTGTTACCAATGCATCTCAAGAAATGTAGATTATTCTTGTATGTGTTCATCCTCTTAGATGTCTCAAATGTCGCAGTCGTCACTGAATCATGTACTGTAACAGTTACTTAAAATGACTGGCCCCACTGCTATGTGTTGGCTAGTTGACAGGATGACGTGTCTTATATTTACAGAATCGTCCTCTGAATCTTCAGAATCGACAGAAGAAACTGAGATTAAGGAAAAAGGTAATCGTTTATGTAGGTTACATGTTAAAAGAAAATCACTTTTGACAATACGTAATTGATGGCTGAGTGGGAGGTTTAACTTCCGAAATGAAATCATCGTTGAAATAATACAATGAGAGAAAGCCTGCAAAACACGACAAATGTGTCATAGTGTCCGTGTTACCAATGCATCTCAAGAAATGTAGATTATTCTTGTATGTGTTCATCCTCTTAGATGTCTCAAATGTCGCAGTCGTCACTGAATCATGTACTGTAACAGTTACTTAAAATGACTGGCCCCACTGCTATGGGATGGCTAGTTGACAGGATGACGTGCCTTATATTTACAGAATCGTCCTCTGAATTATCAGAATCGACAGAAGAAACTGAGATTAAGGAAAAATGTAATCGTTTATCTAGGTTACATGTTAAAAGAAAATCACTTTTGACAATACATAAGTGATGGCTGAGTGGGAGGTTTAACTTCCGAAATGAAATTATCGTTGAAATATTACAATGAGAGAAAGCCTGCAAAAACACGACAAATGTGTCATAGTGTCTGTGTTACCAATGCATCTCAAGAAATGTAGATTATTCTTGTATGTGTTCATCCTCTTAGATGTCTCAAATGTCGCAGTCGTCACTGAATCATGTACTGTAACAGTTACTTAAAATGACTGGCCCCACTGCTATGTGATGGCTAGTTGACAGGATGACGTGCCTTATATTTACAGAATCGTCCTCTGAATTATCAGAACCGACAGAAGAAACTGAGATTAAGGAAAAAGGTAATCGTTTATGTAGGTTACATGTTAAAAGAAAATCACTTTTGACAATACGTAATTGATGGCTGAGTGGGAGGTTTAACTTCCGAATTGAAATTATTGTTGAAATATTACAATGAGAGAAAGCCTGCAAAAACACGACAAATGTGTCATAGTGTCCGTGTTACCAATGCATCTCAAGAAATGTAGATTATTCTTGTATGAGTTCACCCTTTAGATATCTATAAATGTCGCAGTCGTCACTGAATCATGTACTGTAACAGTTACTTAAAATGACTTGCCCCACTGCTATGTGATGGCTAGTTGACAGGATGACGTGCCTTATATTTACAGAATCGTCCTCTGAATTATCAGAATCGACAAAAGAAACTGAGATTAAGGAAAAAGGTAATCGTTTATCTAGGTTACATGTTATAAGAAAATCACTTTTGACAATACGTAAGTGATGGCTGAGTGGGAGGTTTAACTTCCGAAATGAAATGATCGTTTAAATATTACAATGAGAGAAAGCCTGCAGAAACGCAACAAATGTGTCATAGTTACCGTGTTACTAATGCATCTCAAGAAATGTAGATTATTCTTGTATGTGTTCATCCTCTTAGATGTCTCAAATGTCGCAGTCGTCACTGAATCATGTACTGTAACAGTTACTTAAAATGACCGGCCCCACTGCTATGGGATGGCTAGTTGACAGGATGACGTGCCTTATATTTACAGAATCGTCCTCTGAATCTTCAGAATCGACATAAGAAACTGAGATTAAGGAAAAAGGTAATCGTTTATCTAGGTTACATGTTAAAAGAAAATCACTTTTGACAATACGGAAGTGATGGCTGAGTGGGAGGTTTAACTTCCGAAATGAAATTATTATTGAAATATTACAATGAGAGAAAGCCTGCAAAAACACGACAAATGTGTCATAGTCTCCGTGTTACCAATGCATCTCAAGAAATGTAGATTATTCTTGTATGTGTTCATCCTCTTAGATGTCTCAAATGTCGCAGTCGTCACTGAATCATGTACTGTCACAGTTACTTAAAATGACTGGCCCCACTGCTATGTGATGGCTAGTTGACAGGATGACGTGCCTTATATTTACAGAATCGTCCTCTGAATTATCAGAATCGACAGAAGAAACTGAGATTAAGGAAAAAGGTAATCGTTTATCTAGGTTACATGTTAAAAGAAAATCACTTTTGACAATACGTAAGTGACGGCTGAGTGGGAGGTTTAACTTCCGAAATGAAATGATCGTTTAAATATTACAATGAGAGAAAGCCTGCAGAAACGCAACAAATGTGTCATAGTTACCGTGTTACTAATGCATCTCAAGAAATGTAGATTATTCTTGTATGTGTTCACCCTTTAGATATCTATAAATGTCGCAGTCGTCACTGAATCATGTACTGTAACAGTTACTTAAAATGACTGGCCCCACTCCTATGTGATGGCTAGTTGACAGGATGACGTGCCTTATATTTACAGAATCGTCCTCTGAATCATCAGAATCGACTGAAGAAACTGAGAAGAACGATATAGGTAATTGAAAGTTGAAAAAATATTAAACATCCTCTGTATTGTACTTAATTGTCAGACTCTGTTGCAAGGTGTCATTGCCAATGTGTAAAATACTGTAGCAATAACACGATGGCGGACAAATAAAGGAAAACTCTGCAGGTCTTCGCATCTTGCTATCCTGGCATCTGAAGAAAACAATAAAGGACTGATGTCATAAACCACTCCCTTTTTCATTCCGGAAAATATTCTACATGTTCTGTTTTAAGTATCCTTTTATGTATCTACCAACAGTTTGTCAGATGAAAATGTTTGATGTGAATGTGATGTTTAATGCCCCTTTAGGGATTATTGTTACATTATTAGGGCAATGGAGGGAATGTCCAAATCTCTGTTTATTTATCAAACCACACAGAGAACGAAATACATCTTTATCACAATGTGTACAACTCGATTGACGGGCAAACATGTCAACTATGCAATTCCTAGAATCTTGCTACCCTGGTATCTGTTGATTGAATGAGTGAGTACGTATGGTTTGACGCCGCTCTTAGTAATATTCCAGCAATATCAGGGCGGAGAACACCAGAAATGGGCTTCATACATAGTAACCATGTAGGGAACCCGTGACGAACAAACGCTTTAATCACTAGGCTAACCCAAGAATGGCTTGATAGCATCAACCACATGCATTTGACTTTCATTTTCACTTTCATCTAAACATCCTTTCTGTAAGTTTGTCAGGATGCCATATGCTCCATGTTTCTCTTGTTCCTGTACACTGTGTGGCCTTTCAACATGAAAATATTATGTTTATTTTTTTAGAATCATCATCGGAATCATCCGTCAGACGAAAAAGAGAACGTAGAAGGTAATCTTACGTTAATGGGTGCAGTAGCAAAACTCGACTGCTTTTTGTGAAAGGACGACTGCACTTGTATAAACGTATCTTGTCATGTGATGTTGCTACCTTGAAAGATATATTCATCTATAAAATCAATTGATAATACACAATATTCATTAAGTCTATTAGATCCTCAATTCTTCATATACGCATCAAGATTGCTTTGAAATTACCGCGTTGTCAAATATATGGCCAGTTAAAGGTTTTAACATCTGCTAAGGAACATGAGAAAGTGCAACAATAACATAACGCATTCTTGCCGTAAAAGGCGGCTATGCTTGTCGTAAAATGCAACTAACGGAATTGGGTGGTCAGACTCGTTGACTTGGTTGAAGCATGTCATCGATCCCAATTGCGTGGATCAATGCCCATGATATCAATCACTGGATTGTCTAGTGCAAACTAGATTATTTACAGACCGCCGTCATACAGCTTGAATATTGCCGAGTGCGGCGTAAAACAAAAAACAAACAAACCACTCGAGCATCTGGAAAACAAAAGTAATCTTGACCTAATCAGATGATAAGTAGACGATGTAGTCACATTTTCAAGTCGTGTTTAGAACAAGAACTATGATGAAATATAAAATTACTGTAGGAATATGGTATAATGGTATAGTAAATGGTATAGTATGCTCGTGATAGATATAACATATGTACCCCTGTATATGTACGAGTCAACAATACCCGTGAAGATCCGGGTTAAAATTAGCAACCCCTGTATGTACTAAGAGGCGACTGACGAGATCGGGTGGGCAAGCTCGGTTATTTGGTTGATGCATGTCATCTTGTCCCAAATGCGTTTATTGATGCTCATGATGTCGATCACTGGATTGACTGGTCCACACTTGATTATTTACAGATCGCTGTTATATAGCTGGAATATTGTTGACAAACAAACATGAATCATCAATGTATGTCCAAGATGGAGTTTCTGGTCTTAAAATCAATTCTCTTTTTCAGCGAAATTTGCATAGAGGATGGAACACTGCTTGGAAACCTGCCTTTATCAACTGTGCAGAAATATCGACCGATAGCATTTTGATTGTATGTTTTATAGAATAAAAAGTTCGTGACAGAATGTGTCTTTGTGTAACATTATGCGACAATCTATGGCGTTTCAGTCAAGGTTCCCAAACCTTTGAATAGGCAAAAACATGTTTGTCAGTTCCCAGAGAATAATGGGAATCTTCTCTGAAAACATGCAGACGGTATCCTCCATATACCGTGATGAAGGTAAAGTGGATCATTGGCCGGATGTAATTGTGACAACGACATAAATCGCTAGCCCTATGGCAGCCGTATAACTTTAAAATCATGTGCTTCGGCAAACCGTGTTTCATTACTTTTACTTTTAAACTGCCCTGATGTGAGCAACATTCCACTCCGTACGGGTACAGTGACACACCAAACTCAAGTCACCCACCTTCCCTACCCGTATGGGTGCGTGGGTGCGTGCGTGCGTGCGTGCGTGCGTGCGTGCGTGCGTGATTGCGTGCGTGATTGCGTGCGTGAGTACGTGCGTGCGCGGGCGTGTGTGTCCCGAATCTCATTCATGGAAAAAGATAAACCATCAGAAATGATGATTTACACAAAAAAATAGAATAAGGAGTAAAGGAGTCCTATTCTCTGCGAGATGGTTTAGAGAGAAGTTAATGTGAGAAGTGACAATGTTACAGGGGTGGGTGGGTGAATGCTTTTGCACAAAAACAATGTAACAAAGAATGTCAATGGGCAATCGAAACTGAACCAGACAACTGATGGTTGGTCGCATTGGCAACGATACACACAATCGATGACACGTCACACAATCATGCAGGTCACATGAGTGCAGTTTTAATGTCTTTATGCTTTACATCAATGATCTGAAATCGTTCAATAATCATCAATAAGCATATTCCTTCCACTGAAATAAAGGAGATAAATGAGAACGTCTCGTCTTTCTCATATTTAGATCTATGCATACAGATTCTGCATGACAAAACACTCTCCACAAGACAAGACAAAGAGATGACTTCAACTTTCCAACAGTCAACTTTTCCTATATGTCGAACAATATTCCTGCAGCTCAATCCCTTGGTGCCTACATTTCACAACTTTTGAGGTACAATCGAACATGTTCTTGTCCATATTCGATCACTTACATCCGACGTCATATTGCATCGAGCTGTATTGATTTAATACTGGTGTATGTGTAGCGATGTTGGTGACATATAATGCTCGCAAAGAAAGTGGTGTGGGGACCTGCAGATTATTTGTGGATTATAATCTTCATTATTTCTTTAATTAATTGTAATGTCACGTGCGGATATCACAAATAGTAGTCCAATTTGTTATCCAAACATGCACTTTCTAATAACATCAAGGTACAAGCTTTCTATATGAGTCAAACATATTCGTATGTATGGTATGGTATGGATATCTATAAAATTAAAGCCACAAAGTTCATTCCATAATCTTGTTTTTTTTTTTTGTTGTTGCTTAGCGCCGCACTCAGCAATATCACAGCCATATAACGGCGGGCATTCAATAATCATAAGAAATCTCTGCGATTCCGACTATATCATAGGCATGTGTTCATGAATCACTGTCAAATAGTGAGGATAAAAGGTGTTCGCCAAAGGTGAGCGTATTCTGCCCCATTGGTGGCACCCGTCACAAACATACGCCAAGTAGTTATGCCAATGTGCAGATATAGACATTGTAATTATAAATTAAGGAGTTCTTTTGATGATCTGAATGCTCATTTTTGAACCACAGGGGCAGCAAAAACTCATGGCATGATTGTCTTGCTTTGCCACATCACCCCTTAATGTTTGGTCACCTTCGTCATGACCCTCATGTTCTTCTCTCGATTCTCTCGATCGAGATTATGGATAACATTTAAAGAATGGCCATCGTAAGGGATATGAAGATATATAGAGAATAGACACTGAGGATGTATCAATTCAATAATGAATGGATACTCTCCAATCGGCTAAACGTAGAAGTTAGTGCATTAAGTGAAGTAATTCTGAAACAACAGACTATTGGATCATGACAACAACGTGCAGATAATACAACGTGGGGCCACTATCAAACAACCTGAAAATAATAACTGTTACTCCAAAACAGATGGTCATCTAACATGACCATGTGCGTGAGTAAGTATTGTTTTACGCCGCTTTTAGCAATATTCCAGAAACATCACGGGGGACACCAGCAATTGACTTCACCCAGGGTAGTATAAGTGAAAGAATTTTTGGTGCTTCCAAATAAAGAGAAAGTCTTGAGCAGCTTCAATGTATCAGCCAAAACATTTCTCACCATAATTGATAATAGCTATTGAGCTGATGGTGAAACTCGGAATCTTCAGTCCATCAAGATAACATCGTCCCAGTTCAAGTAATATTCAGTCAACGTAAGAGAATAACCAATCTCGATTATCTGCCAAAACATTGGTCGAAGAAAGGCAAAATAGTGATGAAAAAGTATACAGTGGTGACACTATCGACTCTTAACCAGACAATCCAGTGAAACGATATCTCGTTTCAACTATCAACGATATTGTTATTTTGAATAACGTCTGCTGCTTACAAGTGAAGGGACTCTGCTGTGTCGATTGTGTCATCACTGATTTACAAAATAACATCACTAGATTATCTGGTCCAGACTCGATTGTTTACAGACAAATTGGCTACCAGTTCAGGCTACAGGCTACAGGCTACAGGCTACTGATAGAGTAGGGAATGCTTCCC